CATGCCAGAGACGTTCCGGAGCTGATCAAATGACTGTCTGCCGGGCTGACCACCGGAGGCTCCCCGGCAGTGTGCCTATCCGCCGGGCCGACCCCCAGAGGTTCCCCGGTCGCCTGGCCGACCGCCGGGCCGCCCGCCAGAGTTTCCCGGGTGGTCCGACCAACGTCTCGGGTTTCCCTCCCCCCCACCCCTTGTTTCGCTCTAGTGTGGGCCGCCTGGAAGTCGGCCCTTGAGGGGGGGGTACTGTCACGGTGTGGTTCACTTCCTGTCTTATTTTGTAGTTTTCTGCCACTCGTGTCCCCGGGTAACTTCACTTCCTGCCTTGTCTCGTCATCCCCTGTGTTCCTCTAATAGTTTCCACCTGTGTCCAATCACCTGCACCTCCCTTGTGTATTTAAGCAGTGTGTCTCCTTTGTCACTTGTCGCGTCATTGTCTTTCGTCACACATGTTGCCTGCTGTTTTTTCCTCCCGGTTCCTGTGTTTTGACCATTGACTATTAAAGTCCTTTGTGTTCCTTTTGAACTCTGCGTTTGAGTCCTGCCTTCCACCCTCAACCCTGACAGAATCAAGGTTATTAGAAATACAAATGGTATAATGTCAGATAGTTGAGATAGTTGGTTAATTGGATTTAATCCAAAATTGGTTTCTTGTCATATATTATTATTTCTTTCATGAGCTAAAATATTTACCTATGTTTTAACTCAACCTGAGTAAAAAAGACAAACGACTATTGGTATGAGTGATTTTCATTTTGCTTTATTGACATTTTGTAACTGGCATTGTAAATAATTTACAAGAGAGATGGTTTTTCAATCTTTAAATGAACAGTTGAACAAGGTAATCAGAAACAAAAATGGAATAATGTCATCGGACTGAAGTCTGTGAGATTATGCGCATTGAGCGCTGCAACGGCAGGCCACGTGGGCTTCGGCTGTTTCTCTAATGTCGGCGCTCTTCTCGAAGATACTGCTTAGACCCTCAGAGCGGTTCAGGTTAGATGCTGCAAAAAATGGAGGGAGTAAAGCAATTAAGTATGGCTTAATATAACATATTATATACGAATCATTTCCTTTTGTTTGTGCATGTTTTTTGCTGACTCACCAGCGGGCACGCAGTGGTAGGCAACATTGACGGTGGTTGTCCTCACTGCCACGCAGCCGGGCAAGCAGCGCAGCACAGGCTCAACAGAGTAGCATTTGGACTGTTGGCCATGGATGACCACCTGCTTCTCAAGCTTCACAGATTCAAGATTCATGTAACACTCTGAAAAGGGGGGAAATTGATTTTAATTATACATATATCTGCCTACAGCAGCAATCTTTTAAAGTAGTTTATTGATATTATTCATTTTATATTCCTCCAATGGCAAATGTTGAAGCAAGTTTTGTATTACCAGAGGCGTCACGGCAGCTTTTTCCAGGCAGAACCCAGCTATGAGCAAAGCTGACTGCGTTCTCGGTCTGGCGTTTGTTGGGTGTCTCGAACTCCTTTCTGATTTCGCCGTCAGCCGTTCCACAGAGTCCACAAGTCTTACTTCTCATCCAGTCCACAATTTGAACCTGGAAAAACCTCAAACAATTCAGTCTTTGACCCATTAACAGCTTGGATGTGAAAACACCTAAATCTTAAAGATAGCTTTTGGATTTCTGCAATCACCTTCACTGATGCCAGATCAAAGTAGACCTCCTGGAGACCAAAACGGGGAGCAAAGACAGAGATGCCCTCAGAGCTCTTTTTGATATTGAATTTTCCTAAAATGAATGAAGATTTTAAATATGTAAGTTTTCAGTTTCAGCAATTTGAAAAATTTGAGCATGACAAAATAAATTGAATTAATAGAATAAAGAACCTTCGGGTTGATCATAAGGCAGTTTGCTGAGTTCTACACCGTTAACCTTGGCCTTAATAGCACCGTCCTTGGGGTACAGTTCCACTTCACTGTTGGAAAACAATAGAAATACATGTATGGAGGTTATTTTTTTGATTTGTTTTGTTTAGTTTGTTCCTACAATTTACTTAGAAATACTTGTTCTTACACGTTGTCGATCTTGACATAGATCCAGTTCTCTTTCTTTGACTGATCCCTCTTCAGCAGAACAATGAATTTGAGTTCTTCGGTGCAATCCTGCGCCATGACCTGGAAGCAAGAGTGGGGCATCTCGATCCTGTGTTCCCTCTTGTCGAATGTGGTCAGCGTATCTTTGACCATGGAACACTCAGCTGAAATGGGAGGAAACGATTGATCAGTAAGCTATCTATTTACTTGATTGCTGAGACTATTTCATAATACCTATGCCTTCAAATGTTTTCACCTGCATTAGCCTTGGTGATCATGTAGATGAACTTGGCGGCCAAGTTGTCCTCGTATGGTTTCAACTCAGCGGCAGCGTCACCGATTGGTAGAGAAATAGGGATAGTAATTCCAAGTTTGTAAAATGTCCTCTGTAATATCGAAAAATTAGAATGATTACAATAAGTATATTGGCAAACTGTGTGAAAAAGTATGATCCAGACATTTTCTGTGTGTAAATAATTGGGCAATCAAACCGTACCTTTGGTGTCTTCAGAACAACATTGAGGGTCTTCTCAGAAGCAGCAGCCACAGACAGTTTGATCTCATTGCGAACATTTTGGACCTTCGCCTGGGTTATTCCAAATCTCGTTGTGTAGCGGGAAAGGAAGTCAGAGCATCTATGGATAAAGATTAAGGTTATTTTAAATTAAAAAACAAATGTTTGATAAACACATGTCGGAAAAATCAGAATGACATAATGCCAAAGGAAGGCGATAGACCCAAATGTCTACATTCAGGACGCCTGATAACAGTGAAACAAATGTTGCATTTTGAATATAGTACTTAGAGTATTTTGAAATTCATTACTTTGTTTTGCATTCCACATGAAATGAAAATCGCTGAAATCACAACAATTTACCTTTTTGCGAAGCGCTTCATACTCTCTGGAAGTTTTTCCCAGGTAATCTTCATGCGGACTGCAGCGTCTTCTCCGATACGGCCAGTCTCAGCTGTGACCTCAGTTGAATATTCTTTGCACTGAAGGCCCCAGGCAAGTTTAGCCTGTAATATATTTAAATCAAAGTTAAAATCTCAAGTATCAGATAGATAGATTTTTACCAACGTTACATTACCAAAAACAATTTTTACCATTATTTTGTGGTCGCTCAGCTTCACACCATCGGCACAGATTCTCCAGTGGTTATTCTGTTCCAGGCTAGCGAAGACGATCTGCAGTCTCTCATTAGCTCTGTCAACATAAGCTGCGACCTGGTATCCCTGAACCTGGTCGTCAGCTCTCACAGCACGTATGAGAATGGTCACAGCAGGATTGACGGTATAAGAAAGGTACTTGGCCTTTAAGGAAAAAGTAGAAATTGATAAAGATGACATTTTATATTGATTTTCCACCAATCACAAAAGTCTGTAAATGTCTTGGTCTTATGACTTACCTTATTGTAAATGTTCTCAAAGCTGTGAGCACTGCTTTTTCCGTTGGCACGTTCCCTGGAATCGGCATGCTGCAAAAAAAGAAACCATACATTTAGCCTGCTGAACATGTCATGAACAAAGTGCCTGTGTCATCAATCTGATGATTACCTGGTGGATGTGGTCCTTGGTGAAGTTCATTGCGTTTAGTTGTTGCTGCAATAGGAAATTAGATTATGAGATTATTTCATGTACATTTGGGTTTTAGTTTGTATTTTAGAGGTAAAGTTGAATCACCTTGGTCCTGTAGGTGATCCTGGAGCTGGAGGAGCTGGAGGAGCTGGAGGAGCTGGAGGAACTGGAGGAGTTGGAAGAACTCCTGCTGGAAGAGGACACCTTGCTCCTGCGGCTAGAAGAGGAGCTGGAGTTGGAAGAACTGCCTCTGGAAGACAGAGATGGACGTCTGCTTGAAGAACTGCTGCTGGAAGAGGACACCTTGCTCCTGCGGCTAGAAGAGGAGCTGGAGGAAGACTTGGATGACGCAGAGGAGGATTTGCTTGAGCGAGAGCTGGAAGTTTTAGCGCTGCTGGAGCTGGAAGAAGATGATGTTCTGTTCTTATGACCAGGTGCCAGGATTTTCTTGAGTTTCATCAGGATGTTCTTGTCCCCCAGAAGATCGTCTTCCTCACTCATGTTAATCACTTTGATGATCTTCTCTGCTGCTTGTTCTCCAACCTGAATCTCAATTTCAATCCTCTCGACGGCTGGTCCGGCAGCTGCAATGGATCAAATGAGCAGATTTGAGCAATTAATAAAAATATTACGTACATACTTTTTTCCTTTGGGTTTGTGCAACTAAGCCTAGCAATATTGCACCTTTTAATTAGTGTTGGGTTTGGGAAATTTTGGCGAGAGGCACACAAACTAATTTAACGTTTTGCGTATTTGATTGCGTTTGCCTTTGAATGTTGTAAAGGCTTCTTTCCTTTGTTGAATGCGTTTTTGAACAACCTTGATTTATTGTTGATTAACCACAGAAGCCATTGTATGACAAGCCAAGCCAGTCATCACAATTTTGATTAAGACAAACCCATATGTCTATATGCTACAAGTCGTCTAAAGCCGCTTCTAGAAGGTTGGTAAAGGGAAACTGCAACATCATCCGTTGACTTACCTGGTGAAATCTCAACCAAGAAGCTGTGTTCTCCAATCATGCTGTAGAGGGGGCAGTCTTTGATGAAGGTGGCGTTGCGAGATTGAAGCTCAGAGCACGCCTTGATACCGAAGGTAAGGCTTTCAGCACACATTCTCTTCTGGATGGCCCTGGACCTCAGTGTGCTTTGAGCGTTACCCCCAAGGATTTCAGATGATGCTGACTGTAAAACAACAATAGAGGTCATAACATGAATTTGAAAAAGGGAAAAAAGGTGTTCAGTGAATCAAACTCACGATGCTACTAGCCACAGAGGAAGCCACCCTTGACATCTTTGAGGAAAAGGTCCCCCTTGACACTTCAACTGCAGATGGAACCATTGGTGTGATTTTGGCAGCAGCGAGGTCTTCCACATTTCTTGCAATGGCAAAAGTCTCAACACTGTTGGAGGATAAAATAATTTGAGGCTACTAAAATGTCAAAAAAACTAGTTAATTAATGTTACCTGATGACCAGTACATACCGTGCGGATGCAATTTTACTGACACCCTTAAGAGGAAGGAGCTGAAGCTTGAAGTTGCCCTTAATCATGTCGAGTCTTGCTTCTAATTTTGCAGGAAGAAGTGTGTGAACTTTGGCTCTTGACATCAGAACAGCCTGGAGGAAAGCAGTGTTCACTCCCATAACTGCATACACATGTGTGGAAACACTGCAAAGGACAGAGCACATCAATGTTTAAGGGTATTCTATTCAAATAAATTTCCTTTTGATAGTTAAACTGATGGGAAGAACCTGAGTATTTTTTGAAGCTACAATTGTATTACCTGGGGCTAATGGTAGTCCTCATGCTTATGTCAGACTTCAGGAGCTGGGCAACTTGATAGTCAGCAGGCAGTGAGGGTGACACGGTTGCTTTGACTGTGAAAACACATTTTGGGCATTGGTTTTAATAGTTTGGAATTTAGTAAAATCAGGGACATTTAAACTACACAAATACGACTTACATTCAGCAGATGCAGCAGCCACAGCAGTAGTATATAAACTGAGCTCCATGGGCAGACCAACGCTGGTGGGAATGATGCGACGGACTTCAGACAACAGCAGCGGTTTAGCGTAGTGCAATGTGACACCCGCCAGCAGAGCATCCAAAGACTCTCTGCCATAGCTTTTCATTGCTGGTCCACTGGCAAGCTTTAAGCACATGATCTCTTATAAGACATCAAATATTTGGTGCACATTACATGTATTACTTAGCAGTCACTTCAAGTAAAGCTGTAAAGGATAATGGTGTACCTGAATAAGCTGATTGAAAACGTCTTTGTCAACATTGGCGAAGGCAACTTCCTGTCCGAAGACCTTCACGTAAACGGAGGCCAGGGGCTGGCTGGAAGGAGTAGCCCTCCACTCAGAAAGCTGTGCGAAGAAGAAAAGAGTTTAGAACACTGCATTCAACTTTTGGAAATGAACGTCAGAGTGATCTTCCATTACTTACAGCTTTCATCACTTGTCTCATCTTGGTCATCCTGTCAGCATTCTCAGGAACCTCTTTGATTTTCAGCAAGGCCTCCTGCATTCCCTCGGTTCTTACTCCAAGCTGAAAAAGACACGCATTTGATGGTAAGTACATATTAAATGATTCCTTTGTGCAACGTTTACAAAACAATATTAATGGAGCTTGTGACATTTATTGAAGGATACATTAATAGCCAGTTAAATGCCCTTTTGCTACTATAATTTTATGCAGTATTTTGTGTAGAGGGGTGAAACAATGGACGGAAGATGGCCGATATATAATAAATAAATGTATATATATGTAAAAATAAAAGCCTCTCAGTGTTTAAGCTTGCTATGTCAGACATGATTACCTCAACAACATCGGCATAAGCTCCTGCCAGGTAGGTACGAGCTTTGGCCACAATGGATCTTGGCAAAACAGTTGCAGCATCGTTAATATAGAAGGCGCTGGCAGCAGCTCCCATCATCCAGGGGTCTGCACAGCAAAATACAAGGGTTAGCGTTTTATACATATACATAAATAACAACATATTTTAATCCTAAAATCTCTCTATCCTATCATGCTCTTACCGTTGTAGGTATCAACATAGAGAGATCTGCTGAAGCGATAGCTGAGTCTGTCGAACTTGGGACTGAGGATCCTCAGAGCAACATTGCAGGCAGAAGCACTGAAAGTAGCACATTATAACATAAGTGATTATTGATGCTAACATGTTCAAATTGCAAAAAGGAAGAAAAAAACAAGATTTGATGATTCTTACACAGAGGCCAAGTCAGGTGAAGTGTTTCTGGTCATGGACTTCATGTAAGAGTAGACAAAGCTAGAAACCTGCAGGCTTTTCTCAGTCAAGAGGTTATTGGCAAGAGTAATCACCAGTCCCATGGGCAGCTTGGTCTCAAACAACACAATAGCAGCAGCCATACGGACTTCTGAGTGGAGAGCCTTGTCCATGAACAGCTGAAGAGCCATATCCTGGATCTGATTGACAAAGATTTGTTGTAAATAAAATGTCCTTGAATCTATCCGTTCATCCTTCGTAATACAAGGAATATGACCATGTAGTCTCACCATCTTGGGCTCCCTCTTAGCAATGTTCCTCATGGCCTGAACAGCCTCAATGTGAGCTCTGAGTGGCAGATCAGCAGCAGCACTTCCAATGCCAGGCAGGAACTTTGTGATTGGCTTCAGGCTGGAAGGATGTCCAGCATTTCCCAGTACTTTCAGAGCCATAATGAGTCCCTCAATGTCGTTCTTGTTAGCCTGGACAGCCAGTTCGTGGATGGGCTGTGGAAGGGACATGAAAACATCCATGTAACACGTCTTAGATGCTATAACTGAATGTAATATATATATATATATATATATATATATAATCCCTCGCAATAAATGATACATACCCTCACAAGCTCAGCGGGGCATGCTGGGTTCTCTACACAGTATTTAGAAACCAGGGTGCCGTATCCCAGCATGACAACCTCACGCAGAATTGGGTTTTCTTGGATCTTTTTTTCAGAAAACATGCTCTGAAAAGGGGTAAAAGAAATTGTGAATTGATGATAATCCATCCCAATTTTACAACCTTGAAATAAAAATGAAACAATGACGCTAACTTGCCTGTATCAGCGTGATGGCCTCGAGGTCAGCTGTCACCATGTGAATAGATGATATCAGTGCGTGAGTAGATTCTGCAACGGTCAACTCGCCAGCGAGGAACTTCTCCTTTATGAACCTCAGAGCAGCAGAAGTACCAATGGCTGGGATAACATTCAGGATCCAGTGCCTGGGGAAAATAAATATCATATATAATTGCATTATCAATGGAACTTTTTTTTTTATGGCTCTTAAAAGTCACAATTACCTGTGATCGGCTTTAGCTTTGAACTGATTCCAGATGGCCTCGATACTCTCAAGTCTCGCCACACGCAGGAGCTGGATGAGCTCAAGGAACTTCAGAGGGGCATCTTCGTGGACCTTATCCACATTGAAGGTCACCAGGTGGTTCAGGATCTCAACAACCTGCCAGGATAAAATGTTTCTTAGCCTAGAGTTTGTCTCTTCAAGATGAATTAAAAAGAAAATCTGGGCGATCATTTTATAAAGTACCTGAGCCTCAACATTGCTGATCCTCAGCAGCTGGATGGGTGTCTGAAGAAGCTCGTTGCCGAACTCGTACTGTACTGATCCACGGTGAACATATTCAGCACTGTAAGGGGCCGATCGGGTTTCCTTAATCTCCAGGAAGGTCAGGTTTTGCCTGCAAATGAACATAAATTCTATCAATCTGCACAGTGACACTTTGAGTATAGTGCTGATAACACTGGTATTGCCCTCTTCTTTTTTATTTAAACTACTTACCTAGCCTCCATCTGAGCAGCACCGTTCATGATGTTGAGAGGGGAAAACTGGATGATCTCAATACCCGATGCATTCAAGAGCAGAGCACCGGTGGCTGTTTCCTTGATGACGTAGTTAGAAGCAGCGGCTGCCTTCAGGTTGTTTCCTCTCTGCAATGAGAAGACACAATATCACCACATCAGAGGTGTCAAGAAGTAAACTGTATTAGAGGTTATGAGCCGAGAGGGGAATTGCACTTACAGCCTCACACTGAACACATCTTTCCGTGTAAGTCAAACCGATGTCCTTCATGATTCTCTTCTGGCATTTGTTCAGGTCCTTAGACTTGGTCAACAGGATAAGCTCATCCTTTGCGTCCTCACTGAGGAGATAGTGGGTCTTGCACACACCTTGTGTTCCAGGCTAGTTGACATAAAAACAGTTTGTCAGTATTGTGGCAGTTTGTGAGTGGAAATGAATGAAAATGAGTTATTTGTACCTCTTGCAGCTCATAGACATTTTGAGTCTTCTTGATGTTCAGCTGGAAGATGTTAAGGACTCCTCTGTAGATATTCAGCACAGTTTCAGAGACACCAGCTGGAGCGAATACTTTTCCGACAACACCGTTGGAATATTCAAACTTGATGGGTGTCGTGAGCTGAGCAGCCAGGGCAGAAGTTATCTTGGTAGCTGGGGAGAAATCATCTTTGGGCCAGAGGCCACTGTACTCCAAGATTTCAGGCTCCTCAAGCTGCAAGGAACATGACACTTTGAGTAAATATAACACATGATTGTTTATAAATCACTTTTTCATTACAGTTAATTTGATATCACTCATAAATAAGCTAAAAAATTTAAATGGTCCTTACCTTCAGCGTGTAGCTGTTTTCCGCCTCTGCACTGATCCAAACTTTGCTGAGTAGTTTCACTCCGCTCCGTGCCAGACCCTCCTCGGGTAGGCCGCCCATAACAAATGCCTCATATTTGTAGACATAGGTCTTTCCATCAGCAAACTGGGGAGCTGAAATAATAGAGAAGAAAGCACAGTAGTGAAATATCCATTTCAGTTCAATTTTTAAACTGAGAAACCTTTTATATCCATGCACCATATATTGATAACGTAAAAGAATAACAACTTACCCAAATAGGTTTGGTGACACGCTGCAACACAGAAATATTGGTTATTAATAGTTATTTTGGCCAATTGTATTTATCTGGAAAGACAGTTTGTAAACCTGAAGAACCGTATGTTTATTTTTCTGCTCCATCATTGGTTGTGTATAAACAGCATTGCAGCAAGTGCTGAAGTAGTTTTTTGTTTAAAAATTTAATTCATCTTTCAGTTGATAGTTTTAAATACATAAAGAAATACTCACCCGCAAGGGCTACCGTGAGGGCCAGCAAAATCACCCTCATGGTTTTTGGATGTGACGTTCTACAGGGAGAGGTCTCCTTTTAAAGCCAGGTTTTGCCGCTCTAAATTAATCATTAACTATGTATCAGCTTTCATTGTCGTTGATGTTACCTTGCCCTGACTATACAGACCAGACAAACAGAGTATGACACGAATGAAAAATGTCAGGCAAGTTGTCCTAACCTGACATCCTGGCAGCCTGATGTCCAAAATCTATAGTTTTGCTCTCTCTCCCGGCATAACCGTTTTGAGAGAATTAAAGGAAATCTTAATTTTTATTACAGTTAACACATTTATATATATATATATATATATATATATATATATATATATATATATATATATCCCTTACATTTCTTAACTAACAATACAAATCTTAACATGTTATTTATGTATGTATTTTTGTGTCACTCATTAATCAACAACAAAGATAAAACCTTTCAGTTTAAAACCTTCAGTTGTGAATTATCCAATGACTAAAAATACTTTCATTATCAAAAAAAACTTCCCAAATAAGACATGATAAAAAACAATTATGGAACGGTTACTGTTGCATAAACATGTCACCATTCAAATTTTTCATTAAAATGTCAGTGTGTCATGACCTGAGATTTTATCACGTTTTTGTCAGCTTGATCGAGAAATTGTTCACTCTGCAAACAACAATCCAATATCTGTTTACTTAAGCCACATTGTGTTACAAAATCACTTTGTGGAAAACAAAATTGTGGCTGAAGTGAGTGTTTTAGCTTTCAATACCCTTTTTCTGCAATAAAGTCTGAACAGTTTACTTTTACACATATTACACAGAAAGTTTACCATTGCCACAACAATCCAAGCGTATCCAACAGGACTCGCTCATTGAGGAAAATAGCACTGTGAGTCTGTCCTCTCCTGTTTCAGTTATAATTAATGACCTATTTTGTTTGAATATGCATATTTATTAGATAAATTAGATGTTCTCACAGACAGATGTTAGTTTGTCGGGGGCTCCAAATTTCAAGCCAAAAGACAAAGACAAAATCGTGGATGGATGAAAGCAGGTTGGGCTCTATATTCATAATGTAGCCTAATGCCGTTTTCTTTTGTTAAAATCATATACACGGCTAACAGACATTTAGCTTTTCAAAAATAGTTATTTGGGGAGTTCCCTAACGTTCGCGCGTATAGTTCTGGAGAAAGAGACTGTTGCTGACAAGTCTAAAAGTCTAAAACAAAATGTATCGTTTTCGACTTCGGTCTGAAAGTGACATTTTCAACTGTTCCCTTTCCCTTCAATTAGGCACACACGTTCGATTCATGGACGCCAGCTGATCGAAAAGAATCTCTCTGCGTTTTGGTGCGCGTTTGGGTACAAATGATCTGAGGCCTCATTTATAAACGTTGCGTACGCACAAAGGAAGGCGTACGCCGCTCTCTACGCAATAATTGGTATTTATAAAAAGCAAACTTGACGCAAGCTCGGACCCATGCGTACGCACAAAAACGGGTGAAATGAGAACCGTCGGAAAATGCAAGAAACACGCAAACGTGTGTGAAAGTGTGTAAAACTAGACTGTTGTAAAAGAAATGCCAATACTGCCTCTCATAAATAACACCTGTTTGATCGATCTGCAGCGTAAAACAAACAGAAATACAAATTAACACATTTTCAAAAAGGGAAAAGGGAAATATGTTCTGCAATAATATTGGCATGTTATGCAATTCATCCTCAAAACACTGCTGTTGCTTGTCAGATGCAATCAAATGGACGGTAATAAAATGGCATGATGCCATCACAATGCGTAATGACGCGAGATGGCTGATCTTGCGCTCTTAGAAGATGTGGCACATGGAAGTATTGGCGCTGTAGTGCAGCGCATCATCGGCCTGTTTAAGGGCAGATGGCGCTGCCTCGACTGCACTGGAGGGAGGTTACTGTTTACTCCTGAAAATGTGTGCAAAATCGTGCTGTGCTACATAATGTTGCACAGCTTCCAAACGTGCCTCGACCCCCTGACGCCGATGGCTGTGTTGGCCAAGACCCTGTCCCCAATCATTGCCGCCAGTCTCTCATCATTTCACTTCTCCTTTCCACCTTGCCAATGATGATTTCGACTTCACACTGAGTGAAGTTACGTTTCTTCGTTTTCCTCTCAGTGCCATGATTTCGCGATCGATGAATATTAATTTGTGGGCGTTCCACAGACTATATATGGGCAACTATGGGCGTGACATGAAGCCGCAAAACGCTGCGCTGCATTTAGAAGTGATTGTGATTTATTAAGGGAAAACTGCGTAGGACGTGCGTGCGCACGGTTTTATAAGTCTGAATATTTCTGTGCGTACGCACGTCCTATGTTTCATCCGTACGCCACTTCTGGCGCAAATCCTACGCAAGGTTTTATAAATGAGGCCCCTGGCCTTGTGCTTGAAATGGATGAAGATTGAGCCGCGTCAGCCTCCGTAGCAGAGGCACTGCTCGGCCCACGTGACGCGTTCGCTGCTTGCAGTCTGACCGCACAGACGTCACTCGGTTCAAAATGCTTCCTGACACTTTAACGTCGCGCTGTCTCCTGTTTTTGCCGTCGATAATCGCGGTGTGCGGCGCTGCCGCGTGCCCGTGCGAGGAACCCGAGCTCTGTCAACAGATCCGCGCGCAGAGAGACTTTGAGGTAACGTCACGTCTCGTTGAATCACCGCAAACTATCACGACGTGGTGTTGCGCAACGCGAACCTGCAGCACGTGATTACCAGGCTCATTGCCCTTTGCACAGGTTCACCGATTCATGAGCTACTTTAATATCTAAACTCCTACAACACGCACAAGGGAGACAATGAATCAATTTTACAATCCTCAGTTCGCGATTAGGTCATATGGTTGACGTGGGCATTAAAGTGGCACTTTCTTCAAAACTACAAATTGATCGCTGTCGAAACCTGTTTAAAAATTAAAAGTATTTTTCGGGTTTTCTGTTCAATGTGTTTGCTGTATGGCAACAAGTAATATTTGCTCAGATTTCTATTATCACTTTTATTATTTATTTTGTTGTTCCTCTTTATCAGTGAAGTCAGTGTTTGTTTTACGGCCATGCGATGAATGAAAAGGCTTCCTTTTTTGGACACACGTGACCTGCTATTGAGCCCTTCTCTAACTGAACAATCCTCAATATCTAATATTTGATTAGTTGACACACTTGTAATGGACCCTTCTCCAATTTGACTTGACGGAAATGGGCTCGACTACTAACAATGATATTGTCCACTGTAACTCAGATTTTATTGGCACGCTGACCTTAAGCTTAAAGTCAAAATAATTCTTGTTCAGTGTTTGCTGGTGTTAAATCATTAAATTGACATTACCTGAACATTTACTTTACATTGCTTCTTTTTCCAAAGTAGTTTTTGACACACCTCATTAGAAGAATGAACATTTATTGATCAACTTCATCGAAAGCCACTTTTAACCAAACCGCTTAACATCAATCTAATTTTTAATACTTTTTAGTCCATATGAAACTATTTTTTTTTTTAGAAATCAGTCAGCTTGTGGTTGACATTTTACAGACCAAACTAAATTATTAATTAACATAAAATAAAAATCGATTTTGATAGTAAAAAAGTTATTTTGCAGCAACCATCTTCACCTGTACTTTGTTTATAATAGTCAGATAGTTATCAGGATGCCATTTTTTGTAGTAGGACAAGGAGTAACTGATATTAACGGACTATGTGAAATCAACTTCTGTGTATCAAGGTTTTTGTGTTTGACGTGGGCGGAAAGACATGGAAGTCGTACAACTGGAGCATGGTGACGACTGTGGCGACATTTGGAAAGTATGACACTGATCTCATGTGTTATGCGCACTCCAAAGGAGCACGGGTTGTACTGAAAGGTAAGATAACCACTTCCTCTGTGGAATGGTATTCTTTTTAGCAACTGTAGAGTATGGTCCATTTTTCTTACTTTAGGTCAAGGCCTAAACAATCCATCTACATCAATATGACATGACATCCCCTGTCATTGAGATTTGTTGTGTTCATCCATCCAGGGAGTGTTATTGGCACAGAGCTTCAATCTAGAATCGATTCATTGCATTTAATACATTTTTCTTTCACTGTTCGCTCCTGCCGTCAACATGCATCAACCCCATTACCATCTCCGCCCCTCCATTTCCTTGTTGGTTGGAAAAGGCGACGTTCACCTCCCCTACATTGTGGACCCAAATAACAGGACGGCGTGGATAACCGGAAAGGTAGACTTGGCCAAGAGTCAATTTATGGATGGAATCAACATTGACATCGAGCAAGCCGTGGAGGAGGGTTCCCCGGAGTACCATGCTTTAACAGACCTGGTCAAAGAGACCACTGACGCCTTCCACAGCGCCATCCCGGGCTCCCAGGTGAAAGCTGTTTTTGACACGGTTCTCCAAAGTGTAGTTTTGATTATCAGATTTCTTTCTTGTTTTTCTTCTTTTTTTACTCTTAAACTCTAAAACCTGGGAGGTAGTTTAGGTTTTCCATCCCCCTAAATGGGAATAAAGCGTGCAAGAAAATTAATGATTGAAGTACTGTGAGCCTTCCCTAACTGTCCTGTGCTCTCCCGTTTTATTGATCTTATCCCTGATCTCAAGGTCTCATTTGACGTTGCCTGGTCCCCAAACTGTATCGACAAGCGCTGCTACGATTACGTTCGCATTGCTGAATCCTGTGACCTGCTGTTTGTGATGTCCTACGATGAACAGAGCCAGATCACGGGGGACTGTATTGCAACGGCAAATGCCCCACTCTCTCAAACATTGAATGGTTTGTTGCCCAGGTAGCGCATCACGATCATTTTTTTTGTCAATGCAGACCTGTTCAGCACCAACTTATGGAATGCCTGTTATTCTTTTAAGGTTATGACCAGTTTTTGAGTCTTAATATTGATCCCAAGAAGCTGGTCATGGGGGTGCCGTGGTATGGCTATGACTATCCGTGCCTTAACTTTTCCCAGGTAAGATATGCTTGTATGTATGTTGTATATAATTACACACACAGTGGGGCAAAAAAGTATTTATTTAGTCAGCCACCAATTGTGCAAGTTCTCCCACTTAAAAAGATTGAAGCGGCCTGTAATTTTCATCATAGGTACACGTCAACTATGAGAAAGAGAAAAATCCAGAAAATCACATTGTAGGATTTTTAATGAATTTATTGGTAAATTATTGTGGAAAATAAGTATTTGGTCACCTACAAGCAAAATGTCTGGCTCTCAAAGACCTGTACCTTTAAGAGGCTCTTCTGTCCTCCACTCGTTACCTGTATTAATGGCACCGGTTTGAACTTAGTTATCAGTATAAAAGACACCAGTCCAAACTCCACTATGGCCAGGAAGAGCTGGCAAAGGACACCAGAAACAAAATTGCAGACCTGCACCAGGCTGGGAAGACTGAATCTGCAATAGGTAAACAGCTTGGTGTGAAGAAATCAACTGTGGGAGCAATTATAAGAAACTGGAAGACCTACAAGACCACTGATAATCTCCCTCGAGCCGGGGCTCCACGCAAGATCTCACCCCGTGAGGTCAATATAATCACAAGAACGGTGAGCAAAAATCCCAGAACCACACGGGGGGACCTAGTGAATGACCTGCTGGAGGTTGGAAACATCATGCTTTGGGGCTGTTTTTCTGCAAAGGGACCAGGACGACTGATCTGTGTAAAGGAAAGAATGAATGGGGCCATGTATCGTGACATTTTGAGTGAAAACCTCCTTCCATCAGCAAGGGCATTGAAGATGAAACGTGGCTGGGTCTTTCAGCATGACAATGACCCCAAACACACCGCCCGGCCAACGAAGGAGTGGCTTCGTAAGAAGCACTTCGAGGTCCTGTAGTGGCCTAGCCAGTCACCAGCTCTCAACCCCATAGAAATCTTTGGAGGGAGTTGAGAGTTCGTGTTTCCCATCGACAGCCCCAAAACATCACTGCTCTAGAGGAGATCTGCATGGAGGAATGGGCCAAAATACCAGCAACTGTGTGTGACAACCTTGTGAAGACTTTCAGGAAACGTTTGACCTCTGTCATTGCCAACAAAGGGTATATAACAAAGTATTGAGATGTACTTTTGTTATTGACCAAATACCTATTTTCCATTTCTTGCTATTGCTATCATCTCTATTATTTATTATATTTATTTTGTTTGTTGCAGTACATAATCATGCCTTTTTTCCATACCAGGACGGAGTGTGTTTCATAATCAAAGTTCCTTTCCGTGGAGCCCCCTGTAGTGATGCAGCGGGACAACAGAAAACGTACAAGTGGATAATGAAGCAGGTGAACGACTCATTTTCCGGCAGGCTCTGGGACGACAAGCAGCAAGCTCCTTACTTCAATTACAAGGTACATTGTCTTTGTATTATATGGTTTAAATGATCTTTTAAAGCTCAACAATTGAGGTAAAGTTCATTGAGTCAGTTTTATCCAGAGTGTCGGCCTCTCCTCAGGCTACCAGACTGACTCTTCACCCATTGGACACAGCCATAAAATGGATACAACAAAAATAAAACCCGATACGTTTTATTATACTGTGATAAATCCTTTTCGGAATTTTCAAAGTTTTGATGACTCCAAAAACCTCCTACTTTCTCAAAGTTGTCATCCTGTTTATCAAAGTACCGCACTCATAGGTGTATAACTGATATTGCTCTTTCCAATAAGACTTACATTGGGTCGGTCAATCGGTTCATTCTCTTGGTCTGTTTCCATGTCATTTATGATTCATTGATGAAGTAGTCAACAAACTCAAGATTAATTGAGTTTTCAAATGAACATAAGGAAAAGACTGTCCCCAATGTAACTGTTTATAAACTCAAAGTAGCAATGAGGTCTTAAATGTATGGAAAGGCTCTTAGGGAATCATTCAGGTCAAATGTAATTTTATTTTTTCTCCCCTCAGGACCAGAAAGGACAGATCCATCAGGTTTGGTACGATGATCCACAGAGCATCTGTCCCAAGGCGCAGTCTGTGAAATCTAAAGGTTTGCGCGGCATTGGCATGTGGAATGGCAACATCTTGGACTACAGTGATGAACTGGTTGCCAAGCAGCAGACTGCAGGGATGTGGAATGCGCTCCTGGGAAGCTAGCTGGGGTTCACTTGACACTTCTGCAGAAATGTACATCACCCCTCATATGTGTTGCTTAATCAACACATCCCTTTGTAGCAGTAATAAGGTGCAGCTTCGCTCTTTTGTGGATGATATTGCTGTTGTCGTTGAATGTATTCACGTCTCAGACATTCCGCTGCTTAAACAGAAATAACTGATTCTGGAAAAAATGAGAAAAACAATCTCTTTAATGTGATTTGGACAGTATTTGTTATGACAAATATTGCGTTAACTGAGATCTTTGCACTTTAAGGCTTTTCATAAATTAAACATTTTCTGATATTCTGTTTTTCTATTTGTTATTAAAGTGAAATAACCGTTTAAACATTTTAGTTTTGGGCTCTTCCGTGATCCGAGATTAAGAATACCTTTTTTATAAAAGAATGTGTTTTGCTGTATTTGTCTTTAGTAATAACTTAAATAGTCTGAATACAGAAGGTTATGAACCTTGCTGTTGACAATTGTTGAATTTTCATAAATGAGACAAATGGAGATATAATGACTTGATGAACCCAGGTTTCCTTTGAACAATTTAATAAAAATATCTTTAGCCACATATATTGGACACATCTCAAATAAAAAAAAAATTGTCTTGATACTATTAAGTTGCTTTTAGGACAGACTATTAAAGGACTGTGCGGTGCCTTTTATTACTCTCACTGTCAGACATTGTATAGTTTTTTTTTTTTATGGCACACTTTTTTTTTAACGACATTCATTTTCTTTATTCTAAAATACCATTTTGAAAAAAAAAATCAACTTCATATTAACGAATAAACAGGAAAAGTAAATGCACAAAATTACTTAACTGCAGCATAACAAATTAACATCAACTGGTCTCCCAACAAAGGAGTTATATTCAAAGCGCGTACGTTCTGAATTAAATGGAGATAGTATGAACTTGCGGTCAATCCCGTGTGGTCTTTCCAAAACCCAGAGAGGACAAGGGAACGGGATGAGAGGACTGACTCTTCTTCTGGGCCAGCTCAACCTTCAGGGCCTTCAGCTCTGTGGCAGCCTGTTTCCTCAGCTTCACAGTGAAAAATAACTTGTTAATAAAACGCACCAGCATATCTAATGTGATTATTACCCACATACAGGAAAAAAGATGAAACTCAAGATGAAACTCTTTTTATAGGGGTGTAACGATTCATTTTAACGATTGAATTCGAATCGCGATTCATGGTTGCCGATTTGATTCATGGACGATCTGGGTTAATTTAGAACAATTTGATTTGATTCAGTGACTTGAAATTGATTCAGTAACTTTACTGGACAGTGCAGGCAAAATTTCTGAGATCCCTGTTGTTTCTTGTAAGGAAATCAGGTTTAAATTAATTATGGATATTATAAACAAGCAAACAATTAATGGCAAATGTATTAACCTTTTATGTGAATCAAGTGCCATTTTCAATGTAAACATTACACAATAATTACACAATGTTTGGATCAATTCACAGAACCCCAGATTTTCAACTACATTGTAGGGTCGCATGTCTTTACAGATAAACTTGCCAATTGTTACTGTGATGTTGAGTTTGGTGCTGGCGAGGCCTGAGGTGTCTGCAGAGCTGGAGTTATCTGCTGATTTTTGTACTTAAATCCAATGTGCAGTTTCCAAGTATCGATACAATCGATTATGTACCATTTCAATCGATTTGTAATCGATATATGTCGTCTGGAATGCCGCCAATTTGCGGAGCACAGATCGATTCAGTTGGATCGCAGGAATATAAATCGATTAATCGATTCAGTGAATGAATCGTTACACCCCTACATTTTTAGTTTACTCGAGCCTTTCTATTTTAAGGAACTTTGTACTACATCTCCGAGGTGGAAGGAATAATATCCCGTGAGCCATCCATAATCTGGGATTATACCATGGTGTTGGTGAATACGTGATTGGCTGTATAGCATGTCTATTAATTTAAATACTGACAGTTTGAGTTTGTTGTCCTTCAGTCAATCATCCTTTAAACACAACAACAGTAGCTAGCTATTAAATCAGATTTTCACAACAATTGATAGGCCACCTGTATTGTCCACTGCAGCCTAAAGTAGCCAGTTGAATAGCAAATGGGATGTAATGGCGTGGTCAAAGTTGGAAGCCCGATTGTGCATATCTGACGTCCCCGTTTCAATTTGTCCAGGTCAACGTTAAGGTCACCAAATTGAAAGCGTGATCAAAGTTGGAGGCCAATCATTGTAATTATTAAATTATTTTTACTGTTAAAATATGCCAATTTTTATTGTAGATTACTAACCATTTTCATGCCTCCTGACCAACGAGTTATCAACTTCCTACGTTCTACTCATCTACTTTTTTTTCAAAGATTATAGAAACATTTATAGAGATTGATTGACAATCTGTTACCTTTATCTCCGTTACCAGCTTCATCTTGGCATCCTCTACCTTCCTCTTCAGGTTGTCAATCTCATGGCTCTCTGTCATGATCTGAATGATGAGCTCATTCTGCAACTCAGGAGGTTTCAATCGGCCTTTTGAAATTTGTGAATATTTCAAACTCGTACTACCTTTTTAAAAGACATTATGCATTAAAGCCAAGGTGAATTCTGTTTTACCTTCATGTGAGAGCTTCCCGATCGTCTTGGCTTCCCCCTGTTATCTCTGGCCTGGAGCTGGTGTAAGAGTTTGTTGTAAAATGTCTCCAACTCTCGCCGTAAACTTCTCAGATTTTCCTCCAATGGTGCTGTGGCCTTCTTGGTCTCAAAGTATTTTTTCTTCCAACTGTCACGTGCTTTACATCGATGAGAAAGGCGTGGGTCGCGTTACTTATGACAAACTTGACCTTTTCAAAAATATAGACATGCATTTATTTTATGTCTTAAGTGTCAACTGCAATTAAAAGAGACGTTATTCTACAACTCTGTATCAGCAACCAACAGTATTCAAACAGTGTTCGATTGCTCACCTTGGTTCCTGCGATGTCTGTTTTGAGCCAACAGATCTTTCCCCTTTCTCAGCAACTCCTGCCTCGTCCACTCCCGTTCCTTTCTCTCCTCCCTCACCAGCTTGATTTCCTCCATCAGTTCCTCCCCTAACAGCAACAAACGTGTTAGCAGGGTCACAGAATGAATTGAATCCTTGCTATGTGGTGACGGCTTACTGGTCGTCTGAAAGACGGGACGGACGGTTGTTTTTCGACCCGGAGGTGGAGAGGTGGGCCCAACACATCGAGACAATCCAACCTTAAAAGAAACAAGACATTGTGGACAGTCTGCTTTGAACGGACTGATCTTTTAACAGCAAACATTCTCATAGGTTTTGTCTTTGTAAAGTGTTGTCAGAAATTGGTCCACACCAAATGTTATACATTACCTTATTTGTTGGTTTAGTCCTTAAGGACTTCAATGCATGTAAATCTTTTGATTTGCCGAGCCTGCAAAAAGACACACTGTTAAGAAGCTAAGTAGTACGAGTGCTCACAGCAGGGTGCAAGTACTCCGCTCCATTATGCTGCAGTGTACCCGTCTGTGAGTGAGAAGCCGGAGTCTCTGTCCTCCAGAGTCTTCTGTGAAACAAGCAGCTTTGCCTTTTGATTATGAGGCTTCCTCGGGCGACATTCTTGCTCTGCCCACTCTGACTTGTTGGAAGAGAGACCTTCCTCTTCATTTTCTCCCTCTGCCTCTGAAGAACTATAGCTTGGGTCCTCATCTTCTTCCTCCTCCTCCTCCTCCTCCTCCTCCTCCTCTTCCAGGCCCGGAGTGGGAGGTGGCTGATGGGAACACTGGGGGATGAGGGGGAATTTAATGGCCTCTTTTGTTCCAGGTGGCTGGTAACTGGTCTGGAGGTCTGGGGAGCTGCTGCTGGTGTCTGGGGTGAGCAAATTGGTGCAAACGCTGCAGTCGATCTCCACACTGGGCAGCAGGTAAAGTTCCGGCTGTGGGGCCTGCTGACAGGTGTCCACGTTAAGATTACTGGGCCTTAACTGGTACATTATGAAGATAATACATAGGCGCTACAACGCTATACAAAATTTATTAAGTTCATACCAAAATGTAAGGAGACATTAGCAGCGTTGATGGCATAATAAATACAAATTCAAAGCCATATAGTTACAGTCACACAAGTGAAGAGCTTTTACTTTAATAGACATGGCAATAAAATACGTTTGAAATCGTCTTCCTGTGATTAGACCTGCTTCTGCTTTTCAGACATTTTGGTTATATTGAAAACCTGAAGTACTATTAATTATAATAACAAAACGTAGTATTGTTTTGCAATTCTGTTTCTGATTCCAAAGAACAAAATAGCAAATATGGATTGTACATACATATGGTGGCGCGAATGTTTTCACTTTCAGATACTTCTCCTGTTTGCTCTTGACCTGCAGCAGAAAAGGATTTCTTTGTTGTGAGAGGCTTAGCAGTAAAAACTGTGTACTCAGTTCCCTCTCGTTTACGCGCACACACACAGACACACACACACACACACACACACACAGCTTGAATAGTGAACTTGGAAATCAAACTGTCTGCGTTGTTTCTCTCCACTGTCTGCTCGTTTAAAAACTGAACCGGCTTTAGAAAAGCACAACAAAAGGCAGCTGCACTCACCAGAGCCAAACTGCGGCCGACACATTTGAGGAAGGAGCATTTTTCGATTTGCCTCTCAGTGCCGAGAACAGCCACCAACTCGCTCCTCAGCGTTTTCAGGGTGATGTCGGGATAAACCCTGAGTAGTGAAAAGGAGTTTTGAGATAGCTCAACACTAATTATGTTTCCGCACTTCCTTTGCATCTAAAAACCATCTATAAAACTATCAGAAATCTGGGTCTAAACACTGTCTAAGTAAATCTGAGGAAAATAAAACTTTCAAGAATTCACGTTTAAATAGAAAAATCCTATTATGCTATTGAGGAAATATGACATATTACGAATGAAACATTTACAATGAAACATGCTGTACATGTGCTACAAAAACATCTTGAGATAGTAACTTTTTGGTTTCAATCGATAAATAAATAATATAACTTTCTACTTGTGTGACAGAAGTAGGCTGCTGATAACAGCTTTTTCTTTACCTTATGAAGCCGGCAGATATAAAGCTCTCTATGGCGTCAGCGGGGACTTTATTGAGCTTCACATTCCACTGGTCCTCTGGTACGTACAGCACATGGAGCTCCACAAACTGAACACATATAAAAAACGGTCAACACACTTCAGTTTGCATATTTGCATCATTACCTCCCCTGGGACACAAAAAATAATAATAACGGTGCTTTGATTTTCTAAGCGTACAGTACCTTGCAACTGGCCGGTCTTCCGTCCTCAGGATGTCTCATTGACTCACAAGACAGCTCCATCACCGGTCAGAGGAGTAGCAGAGAACCACACTAGGAGGTTTGTTTGTTCGCAGAAAGCCTCGTTTATTGGGGTGTGAAGGCGTCAACTGCTTGGTAACAATTTGGTGCATTCAAACACAGACAGTCGCCCGTTGGAATTTCTTTTATGAGAGTGCCAGCGCCGGTTGCTCTGGTGCCGATGATGACAAAACACTGCAGAGAGAAAGCAGCACATCCAGTTTGTTGTCACCTGGCGTTGTTCTTAAAGTTGCATCCGCTAATGCAGGCAGATTCAGTTTAATTAGTGCACGAGCACCGACGCAGACGGAAAGGAGGATTTATTGTTCATCTAATGTTTTTTAGTGATATTATTCCTTATGAAAACAAAGTCCTTTGAATAGTAGCAAGGTTGTGAAATTGGCATTTGAGGATATTTTTGCAAAAATTCTAGCGTTGAGGAAGAATTGTCTCACTGGCGCCCCCTTTTGATAGGCAACAATACTGGGTTACAGCTAGCTGCACAACATTTGGGATGTATATGTAACGTGATGGGACGTACAAAAGACCAACTCTTTCAAGAGATTTATTCTGGTTAATTTCATTCGGTCCTTATATTTTATTTTGTAATCATAACGGTGAGAATATATTGAACGGTCCAACAGTTCCAAATATTAACAGTTAGATAAGAATAATGTACATATGTCTAATTAAAGACAATTTTGGAATAAGTTTAGGATTGAAGCAGCTTTGACTAACTGTGGGAAAATTGTGGCCACATGCCGTGGCAGCAAAAAACACTCTACACTCAACATTCCTTTTCTGCAACATGTTTTGATTTAATATTTTTTTACTTTTATTTACACGACATTTTTTTCGATAAAATGTTTTGACCGCATATATTTCAACGTCTTCTTCCATGACATTTTTACTTCATAATATATGAAATTATATATTTTCACTTTTTTCGAAGACATTTATTCTAATGTATATTTGAATTTTTATTTAATTTAATATATTTTGAATGTCCCTGAGCAAGACACCCAAACCCTAATTGCTCCCCGGGCAAAATGTAAAAACACAGGTTAAAAATGCAATGTAAGTCGCTTTGGATGAAAGCGTCCGCTAAATGTAATGTAATAAGGATTTGGGATTTATGCATGAGCATGCTTCTATCAACTGATTGTCTTGGCGCCACCTACTGGCAACCCTGGCCAAATGCAGGAGTCTATAAATACTGCAATCCAGAAACCAAAGGGTTTTATGGCACACCACCAGAAAAACGGACTTCTTTGATGAAGTATTTGCAAATATTTGGACATTGTGGAATTTCATTGTCCCTCAACTCTTATGCAAACAGTGGTGGAAATGTACTTTACCCAAGTACAATTTTAAGGTACGAATACATGGGAATTTCTGTATGCTTGCACTACATGAAAGGAATTAACAAATATTGTATTTCCCTGGAATGCTTTATGATAACATAACCCTAACCTAGATTTGGATTGTTAATACTCAACTATTATCAAATTGATGACGCAGGATAAACACTAAATTGAAGTTGTTGCAATTTGGAGATGACTTCAGTTACTTTAGAGTCGAATGACTAAAGCAGAAACCTTTCTGGAAGTTTTGGACCCTTTGATGCCTCGTTGGAACTGTAACATCCTCAGTAGAGCTTCAGTCAATTTGGTGACGTGTAACTTCTTGTTTGTTTTCTTTGCCCTTTGTGTAATCTTAGAAATATTTATTGGTGCTTACGGGGCACAATATTAGTCTTAGCCTACTAGCTTAGTAACCCACTTCTGAATGGTACATTTTTCATTCCTGATTTAGAATAAATGCCATTTCCACAATTTAAATCTGCAGCAATGCATTTTATTAAAATTAGTCAATTTTGAAATGTGTTCGTTGCATCCATAATTATTTTCAAACTCCCATCAAATACAAATATGCTGCACTGTAGACATAATATGAACCATGTAACCGTTTCCAGACATGGTCATAATTAAGTCACTTCTTCTAACATTGAGCAGCATGTCAGGTTATGATCATGACCGTGATTCATTTTGAGCCACATTCATACAGTTTATAGAGATACATTTAAAAGGAACTGCACACACGCCAGTACATCTGTGACATACACTTGTATTGAGGTTAGTGGGGTTCCTGTAGTCTTCCTGACTCCTCCATGGTCTCTCACATCCAACAGACAGAATAAAGTCCTTAGGATGAGCTACAGGCCCGTGTCCCCCACGTGGGAGAAGAAGCCGTTTTCAGGGGGAGTTTGAATCTACATCGATGTGATGATAAAGTCCAGTAATCCATGTTGTCGTCAAGATTAGTTGAAAGGACAGGTTGTAACTCGTCGTTCACCAAGAATCTGGATGTCCACTCATATGTCCTCGCCTGATCACAAATGCTGATTGTTGTTTTGCATTTAAAGTTGGAACTTTCGTCTGCAGGCATCCATCTCATGGCGCTGGAAACAGAAGAAATTCCTCTTTTAGCTTAACGGACATTATTCCTATTCTCAATTGCCGTTAAAAAGCACTTTGACAGTTTTCCAAGTGCAACAAAATTTGTATGACTATACGATATCCTGGCAGAAAATGTAGGCAAACATCAATGACCCTTAAGCAGCATGCCAAAGAGAAAATGACAATCGAGATGTTGATTCCATTGGTTCCACCACCACATCTCTTCTCAAAAAAAGAAAAAGGTCTGGCATTGAGAGACTCACCTTCAGGACCCACTCGTACTCCCCAAACTTTGAGTCAAAGGTGCCTTTCTGAAGAGAGCGCAGTTTGAGGGTGAAGCGAGGTCCCAGCTCCTGAATACCAACTTTCTTCTCATTCTTGAAAATGTACCTTGAGAGATCAGAGTATGCATTTATATACAAACTATATTCAAGATCAATGGCGGTGAAGCGCTTCTGAGAGATAAGGGATATATTACATTACTTTACATGTCATTTAGCTGACGCTTTTATCCAAAGCGACGTACAATAAGTGCAATCAACCATAGGGTACAAACTCAGGAGAACAAGAAACAAGAAAGTGCAATTTCCTCAAACAAGCCAATTTACAATTTGCTATAGATGAGTGACGTGGATATAATACCACGCAGGCCAGAATTCAGTTGAAATACCCACCGGTGAAACCTGAAAAAGACAAAGTCTCTCTGGTTGTGGAAGGTGGCGACCTGTCGACCCACAAACTGAGGGTCTTGTGGAAAGAGGGCAGCAAACATGCGGCCGATGCTGTGACCCAGACGCGTGGTGAAGTTGTTGAGGATAACCTCTGGAGAGTGTAAAGTAGGATCTTTACCCCGTCTCTGCAACGATAAAAAAAAAATAATAATAATAATAATAATAAACAGCTCCTGTACCTACCTAAACCGTTAAAAGTTTTACTTTTGAGTAAGGAGGCTCATTTTCATTATGAACATTGTTTTCTTAAAAACACAAGATGCACATAGTTTGAATGAAATCAAATATAAACCATTCATATTTTCATTGAATTACAAAAATCTCTTAATCCAAACAGAATCAGGGAATAGAAATCAACTGGCCTTCATCTCCTTGCGTAATCGAACACTGCTGATCTTGAAGTGTGCAGTCGGTCCATCAGGAAGATGACAGAGAACCAAACCATCTGAAAGTCGGGTTAAGGGTAATGAACGAGGTTGGGCCTGGAGAACTAGCTCACCATGTCAACGTCTGCTAGGGAGTCATTCCAATCATGTAAATACTTATTGTATATTAATATCTTAGTTTTCATCATGAAAGTTGTCTCTGAACTTGGTGAGAGTCAAAGGTCATCAAATCAAAACGGCCTTGTATACAACTAAACACATTCCCCATTCAAAAGGCAGCAACATCACAAATATAGAATAACATAAAACAGTATACAGAGCATTGAGCACCATCCTCCAACCCCCTCACACAGATGGCAGAGGATACTGGGAACTTTGCGATCCTCATTGATGACCATCAGGTAGGTGAAGTTTCTGGCGACGCACTGAGGAATGACCTTCTTCAGGGCCAAACCTCTTCTGTAGTACACATGGGCGTCTGGGACCACTGTGGCCAACTGCTCACAAAACCTCACGGTCCTCTGCAAGACATTCATCACAGAGCTATTAAGCTTTCAGAAATGTATGAAGTATATGCAAAATATAAATTACACAGATGTTAAATATGCTAATAAATGTAACAGCTTAAAAACGTTAACTACTACACTGTGCCAAGATGCAAACTCCACTAAACAGCCACTTACCCCTCTTGGTCGGTCTGATGTCGTGATGAGCACTTTGGGGTTTGTCAAGCCGTTGAAATAGGCAGAAAACTCATCAGTTGCCTCGTCAAATGCAATCTGTACACGAGAAAAAAAAACACACGTCAATGCAAATCCATTCATTATAACCTGAGGCGGTTCCAACAAGCTCGACCGAACTTGGTAAAGACCTCTTCATCTTCTGGATCCACTGTGGTCTCGTCGTACACCCTCTGGTTCTCTATCGTCTTCGGGATCTCTTTCGGCGGCGCCTTCGCGAGGGACAGAATGAAATAAAACATGAATGTGCAGAATAAATGTGTACCAACTAAAAGGGTCACTTTAAAAACGTTAGTCTTTGACAACATTCGGGATGAGACACAGTATAACAAAACTTACCTTGTCACCTAAAGCTGCCCGTTCTTTTTTCTTCTTCTTCTTCAGCATCAGCTTCAGCTGAAATATGAAGGCAGAAAAAAATATAAACACCGACAAGCCAGGATTGTGATGTAACTTAAACGATCTTTAACGTAGAAAGGTGTAAACGTCAGACATTGAGAACTCTAGAACACGTACTGTCCTATAATGTTTTATGGAGTATTTATATTAAATTATTTTCATTTTTAAATCGTTATTTGCAGGACTAAAACGACGCATTAAATGTATATTTTGATCATTAACTGTGAGAACTTTAACTGGAGCTTTAAAGTAACATCAACGTGGCGGAGTGAGCAAACGCCTCACAACCTGGACGTTAACGTACAGTAGCTCTTCACCTTGCTTTTTTCCTGCTTGTATTTCATGAACATGAAGTGTCTTCGCTGTTTGTTCTTGATTTCGGACGCACTGAAGGCGGGGGGGAAGGCAGTTTCCTCGCTCTTCTCCATCTTGACGTCCTCCTTCGTCTCGACTCCTTCGTTTGCCGCCGGACTCACGCGCTTATTATTTGGCTTCTTGTTCTTCTTTTTCTTACTTGTGTTGTTCTGACTAACGGGGACCTCTTGGATGTCCATCTTGGGCTGTCTGTTTGGCAAAATAGTTTCCACGTGTGTGTGTGTGTGTGTGTGTTTGTAGCTAACTTCCGGTTCGCCTGCTCGCAACAGGAACCGGAAGTGACCCGGTTATGGTGGTCGAGAATAAAGGTGAGGGGACACCTGGCGGTGAGGAGTGGGAACTAACAACAACTGGCCACACTTTCAGGATAATTTTCAATGTTTAATAGAAATAGTAGTAGTAGTAGTAGTAGTTGTAGTAGTAGTAGTAGTAGTAGGAGGAGGAGTAGTATAATAATAGTTCCATTTAACATATTTAATATATTTTACTAGAAATAATCCTGTGATCCATGATCAGTACATTCAAGTATGATTGTCAAGGTCCCCGTCCACTCAACAATGTCTGTCACTTCTCCGTTATGTTTGAATCGTCACTGTGCAGATAGATGCATGTAAGAAAAGTATGCATTCATCTGTTTGAGTGGGGAGGTTTCTCTGCACAGCTTAACCCTTAATACTTGTATTATATGAAATCATTTGCAAACACATCATTGACAGAGTATTTATATTATGGATTACTATGGCCGCAGTGTTGGCAAACATGTGCTTGTTTACATAACTAACTAAATGAATTTGTAGGTTTGCATCTGCCAGATGAAGTCACATATTCACACTCAACATACCAACTCCTGAGAGAAATATCTGTCTCTTTAAGTGGTAAATGCTCACTGTAAGTGTTTTTTGGTTGTCGTGCAAAAAAAGTCGATGTTACACAACACAACGTCTTTCCAAGTATTTATTTAGGACATTTTAAAATGTTGACATATATGCTTTTAAGAGTGGGACCCAGAATTTAAAAGTATGGTGGGGTGGGGTGGTAGTGTGAACAGGAAGGTGTGGTGTCACTGGGCAACTTCCTCAATAATCAACACCAAAGTGCAACACACCCAGTGTATTTATTTACAAGTATGATCATCAGCATTTAAGTAGAATTGCCCCTTTTAGAAAAAGTCTTTTCTCACTTTTCACAACATTTTAAATGAAGCATCCAAAATCACAAGTAGACTAAAAACTGCAGATCCCATTTGTGCTCTTTGTCTCTCTGCTGGTCAAACCAGCATACATTACAACATTAACATGCCTCCCAATTGTATCCTGCAACCACGATACAGCCATACGAACCCAAGTGTCCTTCAACATAACTCTCAAATGTCAAGGGACTTTTTTGAGTGTTGTTCATTTTCTCGCGTTTCAAGTGAGAACAATTCAAAAAACAGAACACACCTTCAGCATTAGAGATTCAGTCACCTAAAAATGTTTCGGGTTGCTGTGAGTAAACTTATTTTGGAAAATTAAAAAAATCTTTATTCTAAAGTTGTGCTTCATATTCCTAAATGTGGAGCCAGTTAGGGCCATTGAGAGAGACCTTACTTAATAGTTTATGAGGGGTCTTAGAGGACCAGCCACATATTTTGCTCAAGGGGCCCCAAGTCAAATCTGTGCAAGTCTGACAAGCTAATCCGCTATGAAAAGGAAAGAACAAAACATAATATTTTTAATTCAATTTAATAAACATATAATTTATTACAATTAATTTCATCTGCAGTGATAACCTTTCTGATTGCATGAAAGTTCATGGTATAATAAAAAATAAATTCACTTACACTGAACATGGTGTATTTAACAACTATAATGTAAAGCTCACGGTAGGTTTAAGTCTGGGTACGTAAGGGTTCATGGCAATTAATGCCGGGCTGCAGTTTTGGTTCTTGGTCTGGTTGTGTAGACACGCCTTTCCTTACATTAACATAAAGGGTCGTTACTTTAAAGCTCTCTAGTTTGAGCACGAAGACGTCGTGGTGCAGGTTCACATTGTTCATACGAATCTACCATGGAACTGAAAGTGTTTGCAGCCGTACGTTTTTCAATGCATATTGCTCCTCCACCTCTCTTCATCTGACTCTGTTCCCTGTTCGTATCGGCTATGCAGGTCCAGTCACCATCAGGAGTCACGCACCACTTGGAATGATCTAATGTATTGTTAAAGGATTTCTTCGGCTTTGGGATCTTTATGGTCTCCACATTGTACACAATATGTGGGATGCTGGAGCTGCAGTTAGAAGGCAGAGGACCGGCCGTACGCATTTTCCCCCAACTCTTGACATACAGATTATTCTTCAAAGAGTTCACAATGAGTCCAGAGTAAAGATCTACAAAGGTTTTGAAAACAAGCAAAACAAAATAACTGTTAATTAAAAAAGAATTCCATATAGAATAGAGAAATGCAAAGGTAGCCCTAATTTTGTTTTGTTAAAAAAAAGCTTTGGGCTTATTATAAATCAAATGTGAAATTCTAACACTTGATTGGTTTATTGAGACCACTCACCGTCCCCAAAACGTGTGTATTTTGCAAAGCTGGTGAATTTGCGTCCGTTCCATGAAGTCAGCGCCTGCACACGAAACCACGGTTCCTTCTTTGGGAAGCATTGATTTCGCTGTTCAACACATCGCAGCTCATTGGGGAAGGTTGTTGGGATGTCAGAATCATATGGATAAGGATGGATGTACTTCAGCTGCAATCCTGAGAATCAAAATCAAGTCGTTTTGTTTGATGGTAAAATAACTTTCATGAATGTAACCAGCATTCACCTACCTATGTCCTTGAATGTATTGTAGGAGTAAGTCACACACATAAAAGTTTGACCATTCACGCTTCCACTATCTGGCCAGAAGTTTTTATTGCGATATTTTGGAAATCTTGGCGTACTGTGTGAGAGCCAAACTCCTGTTCGTCTGTCCAACATCACGACTCCTTTAGGAAGTAAAACAGAAGCACAGGTTTGTAACACAATGTTATACTTAAAAAAGTGGAAAATGTCTGCACCTACCTTTACTGTGGCCATATGATGCAGAGACACTTTTTGGACCTGGGGGATCTGGAGGTTGATCATTATAGAGCATGTATCCAAAACCTTCAGTCTACAACAAAACAACAGCAAATTGAATCAGTGTGCAGATTAAAATCTGTGTTGAGGAAGAGAGACACGTGTCCTTTAATACATCACCTTTCTGTCGTAGAAGTCAAGCAGAGGTTTCAGGGTGTTTGCCAGAGCACCAGATGTACTGCTGATTTGTTTTTTGCTGACTTGCCATCCGTTGGTGCTCTCATCCATGTACAGATAGCACAAACCGTTACTCTTCACTTTGGGCAATTTGTATAAAATATACCTAACGATACAGAGATAAATATATTCTATCACATACTCAGCTGACACTGATAATTGGCCGGGTGAAAAGATATCATATGAATAATTTAAAATTTCCACCAACCAGTCCACCTCATTTCCGTCATCGTTCCTGCACTTCACATCGGAATCACACCCTTTAAAAAGGATCCCGACACCGAGGAGTAATTCCAACATCGTTCGCTGAAACAAAACATAACAACAATAAGGACAGCAGTCTTGTTTTGCTGATCAATCTGTAGTTGATAAAACTCTTTTTACTTTTTAGACACTCAGACAATTACCAAACTTTGACAGATAAACGTCATATTGGCAGTAAGGAGTTTCGACAAGCCAAAGTCCACGGAACAACCTTAAAGCCTACTGGCATGAATTACACAAATTTCTGAACGCAGACTACAAATAAAAGTAATCATTCGATGTTTTAATGATAGTAGTGGAGATTTAGGATACATCTGTATAACTGAACTTTTGAAGGGATAATTGTAACTGTAATTATCAATATGGGAATAGGAAACGCTGTATTACAATTTGTTTCAAGACTCACAAGTATTTCCTGTGTTGTTTTGGAAGGACGTTGATGAGTAATCAGAGGGCTAAAAGAGTTCTGCTTTTCTATAAATGAACTTCCTGGACCTACTAATCATTATCATTATTATCATTATCATCAGTGCAACACAACAGGTTTCATTTTTATATCAGCATTAGTATATAGTATTAACTATATAGTATTAACTATTAGGTCAAAACAAGAGTGAAGATTGGAATCTGAGAAAACATATTTTTACTGTAACAAAATATAAATACAGTAGTTCTTTGATTTAATCCAATTTAATTTCTTAAAAAATCTGAAACTACGAATTCATTTGAATACTTACGTATCTAGCCATCGTCATTTATCTTCACAGTCAACTGGGCATCTGTTTTGCGAAGCTGCGTTCGTGAAATCTCACTGTAAGACAGAGCTAAAAACCAATGTCTCTCATTTTCATTTGCTTCCTTGTTCCTTCTTCAAACATCACCTAGGTCACTAACTTACGTTGTGTCACACCAGAACCCGGATGTTCTCATAAGCCGGGGGCTAACCACAAAAAGTAAAAAGTACAGTGCTAAAAACTAAACTTGTTGTTCAAGGGAAACTTGAAGAACAGGTTTCTGCTGCAGCAGGAGCCCACAGACAATCAGCCACACGGCTGCCTGCATTTTACAGGCTTTGATTTCTCAATGGCCGTTGTTACCTGTAAACTTGCTCTATTTTCCGTTTCGCAGAATAAGGCCAATGTCTTTTTTAGTCCTAAGAATGTGACACGGTTCTAGAAAATCCTTAAAATAAGTCTGACCACAAGGAGACACTGTTTACCCAAAACAGTAATGTTATTCACTAAGTACATCTTCCTGACATGGTAGCAGCTACACAGACATAATGATGGACGATGCAATCCAAGTGTCTAACATAAACCTCCAATAGCTACACACGTGGTAGTTAAAGATGACGAGGAAAAGGAAGCAACTGCTTTTTACAGAGTAATGACCCATTGACATTTATATTGACACACTCCTGTGTATCTACAACTTCAGTCTGATATGAAGCTTGCTACTGGGCACAGTCCATTGAAGAATCTTTGGGGTTAAAGTACCTATTCGTGGAAACCCAAAGGTTGGAAGGAGGATTTCATTGCAGGCGAATGCTCTTTCCCCACACAGATTTAACTCACTTCCTCAGGCCGCCATTGTACTTGATCAATTACATTTCAATTTGTGACAGTGATGACTCACTTTTTTGTATATGAATTAATTCATTATTTTATTCATAGAGCCTCTTTACCTTTTTCAGCAGATTATCAAACCCGTTGCTATACCTCACATGCACATACATGTTATACACATACCAAGAGCCATTACTTCAGTCCAATCATGGTTTCATCTTTCATCATCATTTCATCATCTTTCTCTCTCGTTCAACAGCCAACGTACCGGTCCACAACCTGTCTGAACGCCTTGTAAATTACGGGGTTGAAGGTGCAGACCAAGCCCCCACCACGCCACATTTGGGCCTTTGCCCTGTTCAGATCCCCCAGGCAGGTGACCTGGTCCTCGTAAGACACGCACCACTTTGAGTGGTCATTGTAGGACTGGAACGGGAACGATCCGGGGATCTGAATCCTCTTGATGTTCATGGTGTGTTTGGGCAGGGAGCAGTTGGAGGGAAGCTTGTGGCCTTGTCTCTGCCAGGATTCTACCAGCAGGTCGGCATCCAGAGCCTGGGCGACCCAGCCTGTGTAGATGTCTGCGTGGGGGGGTTAAGATTAAGATGAAAAATGGTAAATAGAAAAATGTAGGTATGGTAATAGATAGATAGATGATTATAGGGACTGCAGTATATCTATGAAACACAAATGCAAACTTTTTGGACAAAACTAGAAATAATTTTTATTACTAAAATCTAATGTTCTGCAAAGTGTGAGTATGCAGTAAGGAGCCCTTAAATTCATATTCTGTATGAGCTACAATGTTTTATGCTGGGGGTTCAAAGATTACAAGATTGACGCCATAAAATGGGATGAGGGTCACAAGTAGGTCATGATTCATTCTGGAGGTTCACAGGCCAACAACATGCAAAGAGTACTTTGGAAAGCCTCGGGTGTGGTGTGTTCCTACGCCTCTGTGATAGTGTGTCTGCACCTGATAATGAGTCTGCAAAAAACACAGTTGCAGAAAAAGTGTTCTTGCTAATTAGTTTTTTTTTGCATCTATCTAATACATCTATCGTAAAAACTCTTTCCTCTGCACAGCAGAACAAATGACCAACAGTATGCATGGAAAATCTTACCATCCACAAAGTGTTCAGATTTGACGAAATAGACAAACTTGTCCCCTTGCAGTGAGAGAAGCTGCTCCACTCTCTTATCTGAGGCCAGAGGTGGTTTGGAGCCCTCGCATAACTTGGCCAACTGCGGCAGGTCGGCCATGAAGGCAGCAGGGACGGAGCAGTTATAGAACCGTGGGTACAGGTACACCATCTGCTTCTCTGGAGAGGGAAGTGAGTGCAACAAAGAAGAGGCGTGGTGTAGATTAGAAAACTAAAGGGTGCACTATGGAAAGCTTCGGCATCAAAATTGACAATATTTCTAAAAGCCAGAAAGAATGAATGAAAAAAAAAAACTTACATCCCACCTTGAACTAAATGATTGTGTTGACGCCATGCAATATTATACCAATAGCCACTTAGATTCAGTTTGTTCCAATGAGAACACAACCAGAAAACCTTCTCTCTTTTTATTTGTTTATTTAAATGCGTTGTTGACTTTCCATTGATAATTCAAAAATGTACTGAGCTCCCCAAAATCAACCCTCTCGGATCTTTATTATTTCTAAAGTTAATTTTGTCAATGAGAATTACTTCAACTTTCAACTTTTCCTTCTTTATTCTAATTTTTTTTTTTCAATTCAAGATCTCAGTGTACATCAAGAGTTACATCTGTATATGTGTTGGAGGTTGCGAGATAAGCACTCACTAACCTATGCGGAGGAACTGATCATAGGGGTAGGTCACGCAGAGGGCAGTCTGCCCATTGACTTCTCCGGAGGAGGGGTAAAGGTAGCCTCTCTCGGGGAATGACGGGAAATGGGGAATGCTGTGCGAAAGCCAGAAACCTTGAGAACGGTCAAAGAGCAGTACCCCTGCAAGACGCAGACAAACAACGCTTAATGCACACACCAAGTAACATGGCAAACATCAAAGTCATGTCACAGCAGTCATTAATCCAGAGTCAACGGCGGTTATCAGCTGTTTGCTCTTTGCCCGTTTCCTCCTACTGACACCAGAACAAACATATCGATCCGTTTTGAGGGGGGGTTCCCACAAAATCATAGAATTGCAAAGCTTGAAAAACAATATAGTGTCATTATCATGCACAGGTCCAAAAGGCACAGAGCGTTATCTTGTCACGTAGTCTAGAATCAATCAATGAAAACCCTTATTTTAAGGGCCGTACCTTTAGTGTGTCCGTATCCTTTTATGTAATCCAGGATTGGTGGTCCATCGTTGTAGAGTGCATACACTGAACTGTTGGACTGAGGGAAACACGTGTTTAATGTACACAACATATGGAATGGAATGCATTTGGGGGGGTGATTTGTTTCCAGTTATGTTGTATAAAGGAATAGTTTGTAAAACCTAATTTGCTTTCTTGTCAAAAGTCTTTCTGTACATGTGCAGAGTAAATGTAAAGCGACCGCCAGCAGAGTTAGCTTGTCGTAGCTCAGTCAATATGGAGCCACAGTCCAGGCAGCAATAGTTACGTAGGCTAAGCATAAAGCCCGGGAACTTCTTACTTGTCTTGATAACCTTTCTGATGTCCAAATACTGTAATGCACAATTGCAGGAGGATGATCGGCACGTTGGAGGACTTTGTTATTTGCTTCCATTCAGCTGGGGAAGTTGTTCCGTATCCAGCTTCAGTTCCCCAAATAAAACGAAAGACTGTCTACACAGCACCTTACGGGCCCTGTCTCTATATGTCTAAACAAAGGAATTATTGAATATAAACCACCTGACAAGCTGGAACACTAGTTCACCTTGTAGGCCTTTCCCATGTACAGCTGGTTCAATGTGTTCCCTATGGCTCCTTGACTGGAGTTAACCGTGAATTTGCTGAGCTGCCAGGTCCCCACTGAGGAGTCCAGGTACATGTAGTCCAGCCCACTGCCGATCTCACCAATCTTATACCTGGGCAGTTTGTAGATGATAAACCTGCAGTAGAAGGAAAATGAAATATTATTTTTTTTATTTTACAAAAAAGGTCGCAGGACATTTCAAGCGCCATAACTAAAATCTTTTGTGCAATGTATCAAATCAACTCACCAATCAACAGGCTCGCCAGCTTCATTCTTACAGGAAATGAAAGTAGTACACACTCGACAACACAAAAACATGATAATAATCTGGAAGCATAAACTGTGTGCAGCCATACTGAACGACTCCGACAGGCAATGTCACCAAAAAAGGGAATTTGAGAACTCGCGTTTGCTTGAGTGCTCCATGGTTGAGTAACTAGTGAAAGTGAAAAGCACCGCTGTATGTAAAGGCAAAACAGGAAGTCCTAAAATGTAATCACATGAAGGGGGATGTTCAAGGAAAAAATGAGAACTTATTGGAGCGATAATAAACTAAATGTTTGGAGGCTTTAATCTGTGTAACCACCCCAAGTCTCCTCACCGAACGTCTTCTTGTTCAGCGACAGTTTTCCCACCTTGTTACCTCCTCAGTCTAAGTATGTTCTGTGTTCTCACCTGGCAGCTTCCCAGTGCAACCGGACATCTTTTATTAGAGATGGAAACCACCTGATCAAAGGACACTTTCACCTTAGAAGAGAAAACTGAAGTAACACACTTTCATTTAACTTCATGCGTTCTAGTTTTTGTCAGAGGAATCACTTGAGACAGGTTTAATCAAGCATGTTAATACAACTTTAAAAGTTGTGCAGTTCATCTGTACATCTACATTACTTCCAAAATATAAAAACCCCCGTGAATGGTAAAACATGTCAGTCAACAATCAAATTATTGACATGAAGATCATTCAGAGACAAAACATTAAAAACATGTTAAGGTAGGATGAAGTCAGTGTTCATTCATGAATGTATTGGAATAAAATCCAGTCATCCTAAAATATGTCTTGTGCTTTTGAAGGGTCAAAAGAATACAAAAAAAATGAGGACACACGGCTGCTTCCCCTCTAGAAACTTGCTTGCGGCTGCATGTCCAGAGCACGTAAAAGGAAATAATAAATATAACTACCAGTATTATCTATGTTTTAAAATGTGTTTTTCACTTCTTTACCAGCACACAGTGAGTTCATACCAGAACATAGAAGCATATTGTTAATAAGATTCAGACATTACTCACACAATTTAAGCCGTGGTCACAAGTAAATGTTGTATATTGAGAGTAAAAAAAATGTAGAAAATCATGAAGAAAAACAACAAAAAACTAAAATAAGCCATTCAATAATATTCAGAGCATGGCATCAAAACAACTCTATCCTGTGTGAATATATAACTTTCTTGAGTAGTGGTTAAATCATATTTACACTTTATTTATTAACATATCATGGACAGATCTCATGTAAGGAACAGGATCATGATCCATGCAGGGTGTTTGAGCCACTCTGTCTAAAAATGTAACCTAAAGGGTTCAGTGAGTCAACAGGTGGGTCAATATAAAACAAAAAATATCTGTATTTATTTGTTTCTCAGACGTGTACATTGGGTTCTCTCACCATGTGCTTTTATTGAAGAGTGGGAATTTCTCTGTTCATCTACATGCCTAAAGAGTATTCATACAGGTTATAAAATGGGTTAAACTTCACCCAACGAGATCTCCAATAGCACCACCCTCTAAAAAAATCCTCCTCCCTCGGGAGAGACGTTTTATGCTGGAGAAGCTGAGCGCAGAGACAGAAGGTCAAGGAAAGAAATATATCATGGCAGCGGCTTCAGACCAGGTAACTATTTATTGTTTTATACATAACAGTTTTCTTTAATTTTCCAGATGTCATTTAAACACCTCAACCATGACGTTTCTCATTGTCAGAGGTCGACGACCATTGGGACAATCCACCCAACCAGTGTTGTCTCACAAAGACAAATAACGATGTCTTAATCATTCATCACGGGTCAATGCAGAATGTTTTTTTTATTTTCAATGTTGTGTTCCTCACAAATCCTCTTATTTCAAACAATACATGTTTGCATGAAAATTAATTAAATGTCTTCATTGATGCACATCTACAGATTTTTAAAATATATTTTAGAAACATCCTGTGAGCTTAATGTTAACACACACTCAAAAATCATGAAACTGTTACGGTTAAACACATTCATCTGTTAAAGGTGCAACAGAATGTGTTACGGCTGTCACCGTGGTCTGTATTTCTTGTCTTGTCTTGTCTGTACCAAGTAGGCTGTGCGGCCCTGTGGACTGAAGCCCCGCCTACTTACTGGTTTCGGTGGAGCCCCACAGGTTCACTCCAGCTCCAACCATTGGTCCACCCTGTCCCAGCGCGCCCAATGGCACGTCACCATCGCAGCCTTACCTCCAGCTCTTAAGCAGAGCCCACCAGTGGCTCTAGGCGGCTTGTCCTGGCCAGTTGACTTGTGTGCCTTCTGTGTTTGTAATTGAGTGCAACTGGGTAGAGTACTGTGTTTTGGTTCTGTGTGTTTTTGCCAGCACGGAGCTGACAAAAGGGGGTGAGTTAGGGCCAGAGTCTGTACTGATTTCACCACACGTAGTTCTGTGTTTGTTAGCTTCATAGGTGTAGTGGGTGCTGTGCTCTTTGTGTTTTTTTCTGGTAAGCGCCTACTGTTTGTTTAAACGTATATTCGGGCATAGTCCTCCTTTTGGGGATCTTTTATTTTACTTAGTTTGTCTTTTCACAGCACCCTCATCCACCCTCTTTTTGTTTGTTGTTACGTGCCTGTTTACCTCTGGTTGCCAATAAATACTACCCTTTTACAACCGACCAGGTTCTGCCCATATGTTTATGGTCCCCTCACCCCTAGACCATCCAGGGGGTCGTAACATATATGGGGGCTCGTCCGGGATACCTTTCTAGAGGAATCCCAATTGGCAGAGATTGGTCGCGTAGTCGATTTGTGTGACTAGCCGGAGCGGAGTACTGTAACGAGGTGCAGCTTGCCTGAGTGAGGGACTCATGGCCGCTGCCCGGTTTGACCTTGAAGCTTTCCTAAGCCAGCCCTCCGTGGAGCAGTTTGATGTGTGTCAGAAAGATGATTTGCTTCAGTTAGCAGCCCACTTTGGCATCTCGGTTCCCAAAACTATCCTTAAAAGGGTGTTGACACCTATGCTATCGTTAGCATTAGTCGAGAGGGGGATAATTGTAGTGCCAGAGCTGCCAGAGAAAGAGCTCATGTTCCCGGTTGCTGGTTCAGCTGCCAAAGGGGAGGTCACGCCTACCCCTGACCTTGCTACAGATGTATCTGATACCGACAGAGCAGGTGAGAGGCCTGCGACTCCTCTCACCCTGCCCCGGTTTGATCCTTCCTCTGACAGCAGTGCTCACTCGCTAGGAGGAGCGCGGCTAAAGGTTCGCCTTGCCCGCCTCCAGTATGACGCACAAGACAGGGAACGCCAGATGCGTTTCCAACTCTAAGTACGGCGAATGGAGATTGAGGCTGACCAGGCGGTGCGTCTGCGGACGCTAGAGCTCGAGAGCGCCAACGCAGCCATGGCTGGTGGGGCCGTGGGTTCTGCTGGTACAGTTTCTCTCCCCCACTCATCCAAATTGGACTCGGTAAGTCCAGGGTTTGGTGTTTGCAAAAATATTGCTTTAGTACCTTTCTTCCGAGAAGCTGAAGTGGACTCGTACTTTCAAGTTTTTGAGTGAATAGCCTTGGCATTAAAATGGCCGCCTGAGGTCTGGTCTTTATTGTTGCAGTGCAAGCTACAAGGCAAAGCACAGGAGGCTATCGCTTCCCTTTCTGTAGAGGATAGTACAGACTATGAGACAGTTAAATCCGCAATCTTGCGAATTTATGAGCTTGTGCCCGAAGCTTACCGACAAAAGTTCCGGTCACATAAAAAACCAGTAACGCAAAGTTACAGAGTTTGCCCGAGAGAAAACCATACTCTTTGACCGGTGGCTTGCGTCATCTAGTGTAGCTGGGTTCAGTGCACTTAGGGAACTCTGCTTAGTAGAGGAGCTTAAACGCGGTCTACCAGAACGCATAGTGATGTACTTAAATGAACAAAAAGTGTTAACGTTATCTGCTGCAGCTACGTTAGCGGATGAGTACATGCTAATTCACCCCAGTGGGAAGGAAGAAGAGCGCCGTTGTTTCTATTGTCATAAGAGTGGACATGTTATTGCTGATTGTATGACTTTGAAACGCAAAGACCAGCTGTCATCGCGTGTGCATCAGCCTAAAGGTGTCGGGTTATTTAACGATTCGCAAAGCCCTAAACTAAACTGTGACAACCAAAGTGAGGTTGACGCCTGTTTTCGCCCATTTGTATTCAAAGCCCTTATTTCACTGACAGGATTGCCAGCAGACCAGCAGTCTGGTAAAGTGCTACGAGACACCGCCTGTTCCCAATCAGTGGTGTTGGCTTCTGCGTTACCCTTTTCAGCTGAATCCGCTTGTGGATTCGCGTCCGTCTTAAGGGGCATTGAAATGGGATATGTGCCTCGGCCTGTGCATAAGGTACACATCCAGTCTGATCTCGTCAGTGGGTTTTTTCCAGTAGCAGTGTGTGATGAACTTCCCATACAGGGTATTGTGCTGCTCCTGGGAAATGACATAGCCGGGGGTAAAGTTACTCCAACTTTGGAAGTGTGCGATGTACCAAGGGTTCCTGGCTGCAGCACAGTTACCCAAAGTCTTTCCGGCCTGTGTCGTCACTTGTGCGCAGGCACGCCAGTTGGCGTTCGAGTCGGATATTCCGCTAGCTGATACAGTGTTTTGTGAGCCTTTTCAGACCGCTGATCCAACTCCAGTGAAGGAGCCAACGTTGGTGGAGTGCGAAACCGAAACGTCCCCTTCCTCCCCACCACTGCCAGCTACAAGAGAACGCTTGGCTGTGGCTCAGAGAGAGGATCCAACCTTACGGGCCTGCTTCAGGAATGTGGTGAGTGACAGCAATACAGCAAGTGGTGAAAAAGTAGCGTTTTACCTGGAAAATGGTGTGTTAATGCGGAGATGGTCTTCAGGGGTAACTCCTGATGCAGATTGGCAAAGAGTGCATCAGATTGTAGTGCCTTCAGTTTACAGACAGCATGTCTTATCGGTCGCCCATGAAAGTAAATGTTCAGCCCACTTAGGAGTCACTAAGACTTACCAGTCAGTGTTGCGACATTTCTTCTGGCCTGGGTTGAAGACCGATACAGCTACGTTTTGCCGTAGTTGTCATGTATGTCAGATGACTGGGAAGCCTAACCAAAAAGTTTCCCCTGTCCCTCTACATCCATACCTGTGATTGAAGCACCTTTTGGCAGAGTGATTATCGACTGCGTAGGTCCTTTGCCACGCACTAAGAACGGCAACCAATACCTGTTCACGATTATGTGTGCCGCTACTCGCTTCCCGGAGGCTGTCCCACTCCGTAACATCACTGCAAAGAGCATAGTTAGGGCGCTAACTAAATTCTTTTCCACTTTCGGTTTACCCCGTGTAGTACAGTCGGACCAAGGCTCTAATTTCCAGTCCAGGCTGTTTAAACGCATACTAGGGACGCTCAATGTACGCCATGTTGTTTCGTCTGCATACCATCCTGAGTCACAGGGTGCACTAGAACGGTGGCACCAGACGTTAAAGTCTATGCTTAAGAAACATTGCCATGACAATGGCACTGACTGGGATGAGAGCACTCCGTTCGTTTTGTTCGCTGCTCGCGACGCTGTACAGGAATCACTAGGATTCAGCCCTGCCCAGCTGGTGTTTGGACATACTCTCCGTGGTCCTCTGCAGACATTGCATGACCAGGTTCTGTCGTTGCAAGGCGTTCCGGCACAAAACGTGCTAGATTATGTTAGTCAGTTCCGTGAGCGACTGCACAGAGCTAATGCCCTCGCTAAGCACATGTTGACTACCGCACAAACCGCTATGAAACGGAATTACGATCGTTCCGCTGTGGAACGTACCTTCAGTGTTGGAGACAAGGTCTTGGCACTACTGCCAGTACCAGGTACCACGTTGTCCGCCAAGTTCTCAGGGCCATATGAGGTTCACGAAAGGCTCAGTGACACTGACTATGTGCTAAGCACCCCTGATCGGCGTAGGAAAACACGTGTGTGCCACATCAACATGCTAAAACTTTATCATGCCAGGAACAAGGGCCCAGACTCCGAGGTTACTGCTAGGGGGTGCAGACCGCACTCCGTAATTGGGAAACCTCAGCTTGGAGTGGTAGCTTTAACTGTGTCTGACCCTATGCCTTTACCAGACGTCGACGATGTACGGCCGCGTTGTCCCGTCTATCCAGGTTCCCGTCTCACTAACTCGGAGGCGGTTGAGGCATTACCTACCTGCTTACCACATCTGTCCCATGCCCAAAGGCAGGACGTGATAGAGTTAATTACCCGCGTCCCATTAAGCAGCATCCGTACCGTGCAAATGTAATGAGGCGTGAAGTAATGAAAGGTGAGGTAGAGTACCTCCTTCAGCATGGCCTTGCCAAGCCTAGTTCCAGTCCATGGAGTTCTCCATGTCTTGTGGAAAAGAAGTCTGATGGTTCACCGAGATTTATCACAGACTTTAGAAAAGTTAATGCAGTCACTGTGCGTGATTCGTATCCCTTGCCGCGGATGGAAGATTGCGTTGATGCCCTCGGTACAGCCGTGTTTGTGAGCAAACTAGATCTCTTAAAAGGATACTGGCAAGTCCCCCTTACTGAGCGTGCATCTGAGATCTCAGCCTTTGTGACTCCAGATGACTTTTTACAGTACACTGTGATGGCCTTTGGGATGTGCAACGCTCCCGCTACCTTCCAGAGATTAATAAACACCGTGCTAGCCAGTGTTAGAAACTGTAATGCCTATATGGATGATCTCATTATCTACTCCAATACCTGGGAGAGTCACATGCTCACCCTCTCGGAAGTGTTTTCTCGCCTTGCCCACGCAAACCTTACCATTAACCTCGCTAAATGTGAGTTCGGGAAGGCCACTTTGACCTATCGAGGCCGTCAAGTTGGCCAAGGTCAAGTTCGTCCAGTGGAGGCAAAAGTAGAAGCTATTTCTTCAAGTCCAGTTCCAGCCACTCGTAAAGCGTTGCGCTCGTTTCTCGGTCTGGCTGGTTACTACAGAGCTTTTTGTAGGAACTTCTCGTCTGTGGTCGAACCGTTGACCCGGGTTAGGGGGTTAGGGTTAGCCCTAAAGTCGACTTTGTGTGGACCCCAGAGTGTCAAGTCGCGTTCGATAGTGCTAAGTCCCTCCTCTGCCACGCTCCCGTCCTGGCGGCCCCCGAGTTTTCAAAGCCTTTTAAGCTAGAGGTGGACGCCAGCGCTGTGGGAGCTGGTGCCGTGCTTCTGCAGGAAGATGTAGAGGGTATAGACCATCCTGTATGTTACTTCTCAAAGAAGTATAACCGCCATCAGCTTAACTATTCGACCATCGAAAAAGAGACCCTTGCTTTGTTGTTGGCCTTACAGCATTTTGAAGTCTATGTGGGTTCCAGCTCTCTGCCGGTGGTGGTTTACACGGACCACAACCCACTCGTGTTCTTGGCCCGTATGTACAACCATAACCAGAGACTCATGAGGTGGGCCTTAATGGCACAAGAATACAACCTGGAGATACGGCACAAGAAAGGTTCAGAGAACATTATTGCAAATGCCTTATCTAGACTGCACACCTAATACAGCAGCAATGTGTTTGAGTCTAAACTGTCAAACTGGGGAGTTTGAGTTTATTGGGGGGGGGGGGGGTGTGTGTTACGGCTGTCACCGTGGTCTGTATTTCTTGTCTTGTCTGTACCAAGTAGGCTGTGCGGCCCTGTGGACTGAAGCCCCGCCTACTTCCTGGTTTCGGTGGAGCCCCACAGGTTCACTCCAGCTCCACTCATTGGTCCACCCTGTCCCAGCGCGCCCAATGGCACGTCACCATCGCAGCCTTACCTCCAGCTTTTAAGGAGAGCCCACCAGTGGCTCGAGGCGGCTTGTCTTGGCCAGTTGACTTGTGTGCCTTCTGTGTTTGTAATTGAGTGCAACTGGGTAGAGTACTGTGTTTTGGTTCTGTGTGTTTTTGCCAGCACGGAGCTGACAAAAGGGGGTGAGTTAGGGCCAGAGTCTGTACTGATTTCACCACACGTAGTTCTGTGTCTGTTAGCTTCATAGGTGTAGTGGGTGCTGTGCTCTTTGTGTTTTTTTCTGGTAAGCGCCTACTGTTTGTTTAAACGTATATTCGGGCATAGTCCTCCTTTTGGGGATCTTTTATTTTACTTAGTTTGTCTTTTCACAGCACCCTCATCCACCCTCTTTTTGTTTGTTGTTACGTGTCTGTTTACCTCTGGTTGCCAATAAATACTACCCTTTTACAACCGCCCAGGTTCTGCCCATATGTTTATGGTCCCCTCACCCCTAGACCATCCAGGGGGTCGTAACAAATGCAATACATACATCAAAATCAGTCAAAGCAGAGTTTAAACCTCCAACTTAAAAATACACTGGTCGTGAAAAACAACTGTCAGTAACATTATGCGTTCCTTTGTGTGCGCAGAACGTGGAGTTTGTGCGAACGGGCTACGGCAAGAACACAGTGAAGGTGCTGGTCATCAGGAGGAAGGCCGGCCAGCACTACATCATCGAGCTGAAAGCCGACGTGGAGCTCACACTCAACTCGCGCAAGGATTACATAACTGGAGACAACTCGGACATCATCCCCACCGACACCATCAAGAACACCGTCCACGCCCTGGCCAAGATCAAGGGGGTAGCCAGCCTCTCTCGCTACACACATCTACTGATCACACCACGTGGATCACTCTGTTGACAACAATGTAGGAAGTAATGGAGGGTAGTTTGGACCAAAAGGGAGTTTAAGACCTGACATGTCGACCCCTGCGAGTGATTAACGTTTTACGTTTTAAGGAATCGTATAAAACTGTGGTTATAAGCATAGTTTTTTGCCAGCCTTTTTTTTTTGCCCATCTGTTTTCTAGTGAGAAGGATGTTATCATGTTAAATTGAACATTGTGTGACTGAGGAGTTGTTGAAACTAAGTTGCGAATAATCAAGAGGAAATAGATTCACTCAGCTTTTAGCAACTACATGCAGCTGCACAGACGTCGAAAGGCGAGATTAAAGTAGATTAAACAGCGTTCATGTAAAGCACAGAACCTATTGCACCTTTTAAAGGTTCTTTTCTATGTGCTTAATAACGTTTTGTCAACCTGTGTTTAACTGGGATACTTTTCACATCTCCATATTGACACTAAGTGACACTGGTAACCTGCAGCACAAACGCACACTGATCAAATAAAATTAAGGGTTAACAAACCCTGTTGAGCTTCAGCGAGGACTTTAGTTTTAGGAACATCCAGCATGTTACCTTTCATCTACGAGAATGTCTTAAGATAGTTTTACTTACAATGTCTCACTCTGCTCTTTCCGTCATACTCACCTGTTCAGGTAAAGAGCATCGAGCGGTTTTCCCTGGATATCTGTCATCATTTCCTGACCTATTACAACCATGTGCTGAAGGTCAAAGTTCACATGGTGGAGGCTCCATGGAAACGGTTGGAGAAGGTAAAACACAGAGTTCAGTGACCAGTCCTGGATTATATCATTTGCATTTTTTTCTGGTCAAAACGGGAAAGGCGCATTTGGAGCAAATTCTTCTCCTGACATGCCAGAAGATCTGCACGATTTTCACTCTTTTTGTTTGTCATTTGTTTTGTTGTTCAGAATGGGGTCCAGCACGTTCATGCATTCATCCGCAGCCCAGAAGCGTATCACTTCTGTGACGTTGAACAGGATCTCAATGGTTAGCACAAAAAAAAACCCCACACACACAGTAAAAAATGCATTTGCTTGTCTGTTTGTTTTTTCTTCTGAGAGGTGTTTAACTTCCGACTTCGATTTTGTTCCTTTGCTTCTGTAGAAACCATGATTTTACTTTCTGTAGGTTTTGAGACCTAGCAGAGAACATGTGACCGCTACACGCACACTTGTTTTAATCATACAGATATTTGAGATATTTGTATATTATATTAATTATTTGCATGTTTTCAGGTGTTTATTTTTGCACATGAGGTTTTATGTGCTCATGTGCCTGTAGAGTGGTGTTAGTTAACCAGTGTTGAATGGGTCGGTAATCTGTGCTTATTGATTAAATCCTCTGTGGTTTGAACGTAGTGTAAATACCAGTTACAAAGGGATATTAAGCTGAAGTTTAGCCCTTGCGATTACTACTCATCATTAACTTTGCAAGCAAAATAATCCACGTCTACTGTGGCACGCGTCTCTTCTGCACTAGTGTGCAACTGTGAAGATGTTTCTGATATCTGTGCGCTCTGGACTGCAGGCGTCCCCGTTGTTCACAGCGGGCTGAAGGACATGACTGTGCTGAAAACCACCCAGTCCGGTTTTGAGGGTTTCCACCGAGACCGCTTCACCACTCTGCAAGAGGCCAAGGACAGATGTTTCTGCACCTCTGTGTATGCGAGATGGCGCTATAACAAGACTCTGGATATTGACTTTGATGCAGCATGGTAATTAAATTCTAAAATGAACGTCACAAAATAGAATGAGTGTCTCAGCGCTTTCCAACCGAATGAGACGAGAGCCTTAGTGAAATAACAATTACCACATCACCGTCCTCACAGGAAGTGTGTGAAGGAAACGATTATTGAGAAGTTTGCCGGCCCGTATGATACTGGAAAGTTCTCACCCTCGGTGCAGAAGACTCTCTACGAAACACAGGTTACGGTCCTGGATAGAGTTCCTGAGGTAAGTCCACACTTCTCAAACCTCTAGGTAGTCGCTGCATGAAAATTAAGATTAAATTCAACACACACTTAAAACATCAACTCTAAGCCACACAGTAAGTATTCTGTCCTTTAGGTTGATGAAATAGAGGTGATCATGCCCAACGTGCATTACGTCACCATAGACATGACGAAAATGGGCATCACCAACAAAGATGAAGTAAGTTCTGTCATTACAACCAATCTTTCGTGTTCAGTCAACGTTGTTACTGACCTGTCATATTCCCCTAAAAAGGTTCTTCTTGCCTTGGATAACCCTTCAGGCAGCATCACGGGCACAGTGTGCAGGAAACAGCGAGCCAAGCTGTGAAGGCTCCTGCCCATGCAGGAAATACTGCAGCTCATGTGATCTAAGTGTCAAGCTCAATAAGCCAATTAATATAAACGTAAACCCAAAAGGAAGTTCAGGAAACTAAAATGACCTTTATATACAACCAACTAGATTTCCTAAATGTGGTAAGCTTTGGATGTAAAGTAGAAGTAAATAAAATAAATTCATGAAACTAATATTGTGAGAAAAGAGCACCATTTATTGCAAATCTTAAATTCAGATATTCAAAATCCAGTGTTATGTTGCAAATATACATTGGTCATACACACTTCAATACAGTTGTCTTTGCAACATTTGTGAAAGCACCACAGGTAGGAATATAAGAATATATACACTAAGCTTTGCGCCTAAATAATGCAGGTGTGCAGGAACAAAGAGGTTTTTGTTTCAAGGAAAACAAAACGCTTCATTGTTACATGCCAAGGACGTTTCATGGACTCAGCTGCACTGTCCAGAGCATACGGACTGATTTGAAGGGAATCATGTTCTGCGGGTATCAAAATATCCAGGTACAACATATATAGTTGAAAAATGTTTATCATCTTTTATACAAATACTTTTTCTTTTTTTTTTTAAACCAGCATGGGTTAATTCACTTTGTACACACGTGCAAACACATGTACGATCACACACACACACACTCACTCACTCACAAAAATCCTACTTGCACAGTATTTGTACTTTCTTTCAAATAAAAAACAAACACACAGAAAAAACATACTGTATCTCAAGCAGAAAAAATAGAATGGATGAAAGGGTAAACAGCTGCTATTTGTTTTGCAGTCCACGCTTCTAAAAACATACAGCATTCAAATTCTGTTAAGGTGCCACTGTGGCCAGAGAGGCCTTAGTGAAGTGAAGTGGCAGCTAACCTTGGGGGGGGTGGGGGTCTCCTGACACAATGATTGTCACTGAGTTTGGCGCTGGGACGGCCTGCGGGGCTACGAGGCGTTGGTCTTGAGGTGTTGAGTTTGCAGCGGCTTCACGTGGTACTCGTAGATCTTCAGTGCGGGGCCCAGTTTTATCGACAGCCCCGTCAGGACGTCGTTACGCGTCATCAGCAGCAGGGACTTGCCGTCGATTTCCTTGCCGGGCGGAAGAGAGAAGCATCAAGACTGGGCTGTGTTGGTTGATTTTCGTCACGAGCAGGGGAAGGGTGGAGAACACCAACCTGATCCTGAAAAGCGGTGGCCTGCTCCTCGAACCCCGTGGCTTTGAAGTAGTTGACGACGTCGGCGACCCCCCAGTTGGCGGGGTCCGGCAGCTGGCCGTTCTCCACCGGGCTGCGCAATCACAGGGGATGCATCCGTCTCAACGTACACGCCGTTTAAACACGATGAATGTCTCACACTGAAGGGATACAATACCTTTTGGTGTCAACGGAGCCATTCGCCTTGTCTTCCATGCCAGCTGTAAGAGAAAGATTTTTTTTAGCTTTTTCTAAGCTAATAAGCTTTGTCTAAGCTAATAAACTAAACTAAGAAAGGCCAGTCCATTGACCATTAAAAACTCAAGTCAAATTACAATAAAACGAAACAAATTGGGCAGTATAACGTATAGCAACGTAAAACACGGTCTCAACATTCCCCACAAGTTGTAACAAAAATAACTTTCTTTTCATGCCTCCTTGCTTTGAGTAAAAAACCTTCAGCAACATTCATTTAATTTTACACACATTACTTTTTTTAGACTGGCGTGTTTGGTGTCATTATTGAAAATGTACACACTCATTTGTTGTTGTTTTTTAATTTTTTTTTAGATATTATGAGTTTAAACAATGCTTAGTCTGACAGATTACTGCTGCAATGTAACGAATGTTTAAACTTGGTACAAAAAGCTGCTCGAGTTGAGGTTTTCTTCGTAACTGACAAGCATGCTTTCTGCAAGCTAAAGCCATCCCGGGCTAAAGTGAGTCTCTTACAATCTGTAACGTTGCAGTAATTTTTCATCAGATATCTTCTCTCGGCAGCTCGCACACCATCGTCGTGTCTCTCTCTCTGTCTGTCTCTGTCGCGGGGTGTCTTCACTGCAACAAACATCCAACAAGTACAGGTGTTCCCACAGTCAAACACTAAAACGTGAAACCAAAACATCACCTACAGACCAGAACAAAGCTAACGCTAGTAGGGAGGAAAGGAAGGAAGGGAGGGAGGGAGGATGAGGCAGTGTGTCAAAATGACGACCCCGACAAACAAAAAACAGAACTCGCGTCATTAGCTGGGTTTAAACATGGCACAATAACGTTACGCGCAACACTAAACTGCCTCAACTGTCACGTAACGTCACGCCGACAAGACGAGAAGCAGTAACGCAGGACGGCACGTTAGAGGAAAAGATGGCTCGTGCTGCGCGGCGACGGCTAACGCGTTAACACGAAGCTCTTCGTATTTGGTATTAAGCTAACGGGGGAGAGTTAGCCGGGGTTTGCTAATATGTCATTTAACGTTAACAGTTTAACGTTACCTTATTTTAGCCGAGTCCCGCTTGACAACGCGAGTGAGTTCAAAGCTGTACACGCACGTTGAATATATATTAAAAAAAGAGTATCACCGAGAGGTTTTACGGATGATTAATCGGCGGCATTCATTTGATAGAATCAAGATTTAATCAAGTAAAGGCAACTAGCCCTCTTCATCGGTTTAGCTTCCTTCGCCCACATGACAGCAGAGAATCATGGGAAGTGAAGTTTTTGACCGTTTCAACGCCATCATCCGTAGTTCAGTACGATCCGGCACCTGTTTAAAAGTATTTCACTACACACCATGTTTCATCACGTTTAATAATGACCATTTTAGTTATAATAAAAAGAATTTATTATAGTGACATATCATTTGTTACATAAAATCTGCTACAGCAAAGTATATTCCCCTTGCAAACACAAGTAAATATGGGTGGGAAAAATGTGTCAGCCTCCTAAATAATGTGAAAGATATCCCACAAACGTAATACAGACACATTTCAGATTATTGATCCCATACTGGCATGTGTGACTAGCTACGAAGAACTCAAACTGATTTCCTTCAGTCAGGAGTGTGAAGTGGCTCAAGAAAAGTGCTTGAATTTACATCAAATACGTAGGACAAACATTATTACACGCACGGGGGATAAATAACACATAAAGATCTGTGGATTTCCTACACATTTTTACGGGAAGATTTATACACAGGCAGTTTGGATTAAAACATGCTGATTTTTCCCAGGTGTGGTTTTCAAAATTTGTCCAAATAGAAATGTCATCAATTCTGCATTACATTCTGTTCACCCTTCAAACTGGGAACTTAATGTTGGATCCCCTTTATGAAATTGGTTATTTTCAAAGTAATACAACCAAAAGGTTAAGAAAATTAATAAAACAATAACCTAAAAGGCTACAATTTGAAATCGGCATGAGAGGCATCAATGTGTATTAATTGTTGAAAATATTTTCTTTTAATGGTTTATTTTTCAAATGGACAAAGGTTGTACAAATAAATAAACCAAGATATTCACTAGAAATTACACTTTTTGTGAATAAAACAATAGGAGTTTCCTTATCTTTACCGAAAACTATGCAAGTCAAACAGTTAACATGTCATTTTATTAGATATCTCTAATATAAATAAAAATAGAATACGAAAAAGTTCTTTTGAAATGAACCCGGGGCAAAATCAAATGTCACATCATCTGTTCAATTTATGAAAAGAAATGTTTGAATTCTGGCATAGCCAATGTCAATAAACAGCAGATCACTATCTTAAAAAAAGCACAGTCACCAAACCTTTTTCATATTTGGTTGTCTAGGATTGTTGAACTTGATTAAATTACATTTATTTCATTCCCAGACACTTGAGCACCATGTCAAACAATGATCTAAACCTCTGAAGACTTGTTAAAGGTGTGGACCGTCAACAATGCATTATCGTTTCCAACAAAAACTTTGGATTTCCCCAGAAACTATGTGCAGAAACCTGCAGAAATGACCTCAAACTGACCTCTGCATGGACAGCAAGGACAAACTTCCTTCTGGAAAATCAAAAGATTACTGAAGCAGGTGCAATTAAGTCTTCTCTGACTTCTGGAAGTTCAACGAGTGGACACCTTGGCCTTGTGGGTATTGAATCTTTGACATACAGACTCTATGATCCCCTGTTGAATGGGACTACATTTAAGCAGCAAGAACGGGCAATGTTCGAATTCATGGGGAATGAGTGGTGCTCTGGACAGACAGATCTTCAAAACCTCATTCTCTTGAGGGGAGAAATATGTATTAATTAGATGTGTCAAATATAACTTAACGGGAGGGATTTACAATGAAAATGTTCTTCAAGTCAGACTCTTTTGACCTTACTCTCTTTGAAAATCCGTAACAAGACAAAAATACTTCTGTCTGCTAAAGTTCTCTAACTGACCGGACAGCCTGAGCCATTTTGTGAGGAAGAGTGAGCAAATATTGCTTCATCACAGTGTATAAATTGGTTAAAAACAATGCAAAGAGAACACAAACTATAGTTGAGGTAATATGTTTCAACCAAGTGATGACCAAGATGAATACTTTAAGGTTATGATAATTCCGTTTTCTGTTATTATTCATGGTTAATGGTTTAGTTTAGCTTCCATGGGATTACTTAGAGCAATATGTCAGATCTCAGATCAAATCTTAGATCGAATGCATCCACATCCCAGGATATTAGACAAATTAAAAAGGTTAAAAAAACAACAACAGAAAAGTATCGGAACATTTTCAGGGCACTAGTAGCTCGTTGTGACACTGCTATACAGACGTAACAAACATGCAAAAGTAAAATTGAAAAGAAAAACCAAAAAAAAAAAAAACATGGCAGTTGCACAATGTCTTCTCAGAGCTGTGTAAGCACAATTTACAAACAAAATCGGAGAGGAACCCAGGACAGGACAAAATACGCCCATGTGACCAACACAGCTTCCCAGCCACAGCAACATACTCTCGAGATAATCTAACAAACTGATCTTTCAGCAATTATACCATGTCAATACACTTCATACACTGGACGTACCAAAGACAGAGGACCCCTTTAGTGGTCCTTCCTGGTGAGTTGTACCTGAAAAATATATCTCATTCATTCCTTTCATTTTAGTTCCACACCCAGTGTGAGATGTGACCAGATATGGATAAACCGATGCTACAATTGACTTAATACAGCACTGACAAGTTTATGCTCCATTAGAACTCTTGTCACTTTTAATTTCTCTATTCAAGAACTGAGTGCTAAAGCAATCAGTGTTGCTATTATTTCACTGAGCACTAGTTTCTTTGTTGGAAATTTGGTCATGCTTTAAGAACACAAAGTGTTTGAATATGGTATGTCTCGTATATGTGTATTAATCTATATGCACAATGGTTCTGGGTCTTAAGAACACCAGAATGAAGAATAACGGTTAATGTCTAACGGAACCCTTAAACAGACAAGATAAAAATAGCAAGACTTAATGTCAGGAAATGCAAACCCCAAAAATCCTTTCTATTTTCACAAAGCTTGAATCACCATATGTGCAATACAAGCCAATACAATCATTCATTCTTCCTGCCCCAAATGGGAATGAGATAGTTGCTTTTCAAATAACTATTTGAATTTAAATGAGAAGGAAGCGGCAAAAAAAAAAAAGACAAGACAGATGATGACGTGGTCTAGTATTTTCTTGTGTTGCAGCACAAGGGGAGTCTGCATAATGTGCCTGTGTATAGGATAGTGCTAACTGCACGCAGGATCATGGCAAGAAGGACCTCATTATGCTGTGTGGAATGACGGAACGAGGCATTTGTTTTGAACACGCAATGGCCTCAGTTCCACCTTAACCCTCAGGAGAGTGCAAATATCCAAAAACTTGTGAGCCCTGACGGGACTCTTGCCCATCTACTAGAACTCGGCAAACTCTTTTGCACACTTTTCTGTTTGTGAGACACGGATGTCTTCCTCTTCGTAATCGTCAAAGTTGCTTGTGTCTCCTGGACCTCTGCACTTTGGCAAGAAGGGGGCTTCAACCTAGGAATGGAGAGAAAAGGATGGAATGCTTTTCAGATTATTATTTCAAATATGCCAGATACTGAACCTCATTAGGCCATTTCAAAGATAAAGAGAGTTGTGATGCCAACCATCAAGATAACATACGTTAGCCTCATGTCTTCAACCTATATAAGAAGTACATGTTGGATAGTAACAGATGCTTCATTACATATTTACGGGTTCACAAACAATGTTATTGTGACATAGTAGATACCTACCTTTCTCTCATAGATGGCGATCCAGTCTGTTTGGGAGAACCACTTGTGGTTCTTTATGTCATTCACACCATTCTTCAGGTTGCCAAATCTCTTTGTCAGGTCTACCTGCAGCAGGTTTCTCAGCAGATCCTTCAGGTCGGAGCTAAAGTGAGACGGAAATCGTACCTACAGGAGCCAAGCACGATCAACACAAGACATGTTATTCGCCCCTTTTAATACAACGAAAATGATGGGCTTGCGGATAGCGACAGAGTTTTAGAAAATCTCTGCATACCTTGCCAGACACTATCTTTTCGTAGATCTGGATCGGCTGATCAGCAAAAAAGGGAGGGTACCCAGCAGCCATTTCATAGATGAGAACTCCAAGAGCCCACCAGTCCACAGCTTTGTTGTAGCCCTGGAAGATTTTTACTTATTATTTTTGTCAGTACCTTAGACAACGACCAGAAGGGAAGGCTTAAGATATGCAGAGCAGATATATACAATACAGAGTGACACTTTATTTTTTATCTGGTTGTATAAAGACTACCTCGACTTTAGGACACAAAGTAATGGGACAACTTGAAATCTCTGGTCTCAAACATGTGCACCCTACATGATCTGACATTAGTGGGGCCTCACACACTACAGTATATGATCAAGATCACGTGATCTCGTGAGGGAAGCCGATGTAAACAAAATGGAGACTGCCGTGGCGCTACAAGTTGCCGTAGTGATGCTTTGTTTTTGCAGGGAGAAAAAAAACGAGAAGCAGAAGGCCAAACAAAACTGGATAAGGAAATGTCTGGGGTCAACCAGAACCAGCTATTCTTTAAAATTCTCTGGATCTGGTGGTGCGCTTCAAAGGTTGCTTGGAAACACAGTTATCTGCCCCGGCTTGTTTTTTCTACTGAGCAATTATAGTCCAGCTAATAAATATTGACGTAATAATTTAGATTTGAAATCAAACATGTTGAAATGATGGTAACAGATTTGGAGATCTAAAAGTAGATCTGTAATCCCCTTATGGTTCCTCATAATCAGGATCGAACATCAATAGCGACAAAGGTGCCGCAACGGAATTACCCCGATTGTAACTATTTAAACATTACATTACATGTCATTTAGTCCAAAGCGACTTACAATAAGTGCATTTCAAACCATTTATCTTGTACATGTTTGTATGTTTTTTATTGCTTAATTGTAACGTACTTTGTGATTTTCTTTTTTAATAGGATATAGAAATAACGTTATTACTGTCATAAAGAAAGCAACAATTCGTGACTATTTTCATGAAATATAAAAGGTGAAGGCCGTTTGAAATGGAAGGTCAACACTTGTATTGGGCACAAAGGGTTCACCTTGCTGAGAATAATCTCTGGAGCCAGGTACTCAGGAGTCCCACACAATGTCCAGGTCCTGCCTTTCACTCTTTTGGCAAAGCCAAAGTCTGTGACCTGAATGAAGAAGAACGGGAGCGTGATAAGAAAAGACGTGAAGGCAAAGTTCAAGTTTTAACATCCAACTTGGCTTAAGCAGACTAAATGTTTTAATTTTCCCATTTTTGTGTCACCTGTCTTTAAATTCATGAGCAGTAGGCCCACCTACTCTTCCTTAGTTGTTTTCTATAAGCGAGTTTCTGATTACCTCTTCAGTTACAACTAATAGTTTACAGACAGAACTGATACCTTTGCATTCAGTTCACATGTTGTTATTATCAGTACCTGGATATAACCATGTTGATCTATGAGCAGGTTTTCAGGCTTCAGGTCTCTGTAGATGAGGTCTAGGGAGTGAAGGTACTCAAAGGTGAGTACTATCTGAGCTGCGTAAAATCTTGCATGGTGTTCGCTGAAAGAATGGAGGGTGGAAGGTCAGACATACTATATGAACACGAGGCTCCTCTAAGGGAATGAAAAAACTCAATGATTCATTGCACAGTCTGAAAACAATGTTGTTCATGAGCTGTTCCATCCATGACTTTGACAGACCACAGTTAGTAAACGAAAAGGGTCCAGATATTAGTGGCTGATCCAGTACTTAACAATACATCCCCTCCTCAAACATAATCTCAATGTAGACTTTACCTGAACCTTCCAATACGCCTGAGGTGTGAGAACATCTCTCCACCGGGCACATATTCCATCACCATGTAGAGGTTGGAGTTGTCCTGTTAGTCAAAGAAAGACATCTTTCAGCAGGAGGTCTCCAGTACCAACTGATGACATTTCATTTAATGATACAGTAAGGAAATGAAAAAAAAAACCCACAAATGTTATGGTACATTAAGAGTTTATCATTTGTTGAGGTGTGTTTTAATAAGCCCACATGTACCTTGAAGGAGTATTCCAATCTGACGAGGAAGGGGAAGGAGACGGCCTGTAGTATCCTCTTCTCATTTAGTGTGTGTTCTATCTGCTTCAACTTCACCACCTGGAAAAAAAGACAAGAAAAAGTACTACGCTTGTATCTTGATGAGAGAGCTATGCCAGATTTGAAAAGTAAACGAATAAATGTTCAAGCTAAATTGTGAGCATTGCATTTTTTTTCTCCAACTTCAGTCAACACCGGTTTCTGTTGGTTCTCCTCTGTCTGTTGCATGGGTGAAGGTGCAATAAGCTTGAAATGTCCCCCAATTTGTCCCTTTATCTGGCGAAATTGATGAGTTGGTGTGAATTTCGGACAAACATTACGTGAAAGTCAGGTGTTAAATGACTTTGCATTCACGGGAGGTTCTGAAAGTTCATTTACATACCCTACTGGAACATCTAAAGGGAAAACAATGACGACCAACACGTTGGAAAACCTGTGAATCCATGGCGTGCTTTTGAGAACGGCAATGGGGAATTTACATGATTAGTAGTGTTATGTATAGTAATATTGAATAAAATTCGAAACCCATGTAATACACTAATAAAAGTACAAGTGTGAATGTGAAAAAAAGGAGCCATGTGAGCGGACGTCGATGGTAATAAGGAACGCTTTCAGCATTACAGCTGAAACAGAAAGCACGAGAGCTTTAGCTCTTAAGCAAACTGTGTGAATTAAAAAAAACAGTGTACTGTTACATGAGGAAGGCGCGCAGGACACGCTAACAGATCGAAACTGCTATGTGAAGCGCCTCTGAGGTTTTCAACGATAACGTGGCCACAGTGCACGAGAGGAAAAGTTCCATTTCCTTTTGCAAGATGTACGACATTGATGAAGTTACACTCCTTCTCAAGCGTTTTCTTTTTACAGATTACTTAGATTGTAACACCAGTTCTTTCGAAAAGGGTAAAGAGAGTTCTTTAAAGCCACACACTTACTTTTTGTTTATCCAAGATCTTCATGGCGTAGAACTGATTTGATTCTTTATGTTTCACAAGCATAACTCGCCCGAATGAACCAGTGCCGAGCGTCTTGAACCTGTCGAAGTCATCCAGGCCAGTTGTGCTCTGAGGAAACATAGCAAACGGAACTGAAGACAGCAAACTGATGATTGAAATGCTTTATTTTTTGCATGTAAGTTTTGTGCCAGTGGCATTTTGTCTCCATGAAGCTCTGAGTAAAAACACTTAAGCTGGGTGATGTTTATACAAAACTACCAAACCAAAATACTATCAGCTAGCCTTCAAGTCAACAAGATCGGAGTCAGGAAGTGGCAAAGTGCTACGAGACCCAATGTTTATCCATCAGTTTGCCTCATTCAGACTCAAAAAGTGGAAAGAAAATTAAAGTTAGAGTTTCAATAAAGCAAAGGAGATAACTTACCTGTGGTGGACACTCCCATTTTCTTAAAAAGTCTTCTTTGGCTTTAGCTAAGAACTCTTTCACTATAAAAAGAGACAGAGGTATCATTTATCAATCAGCGTTTTGGTACTCACACAATGTCAGTTAACACAGTGAGGAAAATAAACTGGACACTTTAACGTGTTGGGGAAAAACAAACATGTTCAGGGAAACCAATGCATCTAAGAGGTCAAGCAAATGTCAAGTAATTAGGATGCAGGAATCTACTTAACAAAACAACCAAAAAATATCCCCCCGCCCCTCCCTCAAAAACACACGCCTTAGCTGGACATTTTGTATTAATGAAGTGATGCAAAAAGCTTGACTTGACTTTACTTAACAGGCCAATTCAAAGACGAGCTTTTGTGCATCCCTTTCAGGAGCAGATGGGAGTAAAGGAGGGAGGCAGCAACACTGGGCAGAGCAAAAAACAAACAAAACAAAGTACCGAAAACATAACCGAGGCTACAGTGCAGGCAATAGAAAGACATTATAAAAGTCACAGCAGACATGAGATGTCCCAAGTCACAGAGCCATGGCGGGTATCCGTTACGGCCACATTCCCTATGCGGTTGCTGATTTAAGTGCATATACCTGGCATTGAAGAACTATGTGTGTTAACAGACTATCCAAACTAACCTGAATATTATTAATACTTATACGTAGGGTTATTCAAGCGTGGTAGAAATTAAACTGCAGGTTACACTCTTTCTCTGTGACTTAGGATGGCTCATGGAATAATGAGCATACCAAAAGTCTCTACAGTTCACCAAGGGTTTGCAGGAACATTCACCCACATGGATGGAGAAATGGTGGAGAAGAGAAAGAGAGGAAGAAACATTTATGAAGTGCCTGAAACAAGAAACATTTGACATCCAAGTGGTCTGAATGCGACACGTAACAAAATGACACAGGAGAGGACAGAAGTTGAACCTGATTTAAATAGTCTACCGTCAAGTAACTCAATGTTTTCAGTCAGAATTTCTTCTATTGCCTAAGAAAACAGTGCTGAAGCTAAAAGCAACAGTCAAGGGCTTTTAGTTACTTACAATTAAGCAATAGGTGGATATTTCTGTAAATGTAGGTTTGATTATAAACAGCAGGTAGCTTTAAAAACATAAACCTAACTGTCTTTCTTTCTTACCCGTCTTGTAGGAAGCTTTTACAGTCCTTCAGTGAACAAAATATCGTTAAACTACACGTATCTGTGACAGAGACAATACAACAGTGGTTGAAAAGACATTGTGTAAAGCACACATAAATCACATTTCACACTTGAAAAACAGTAAGCACAAAAAATGACGCAGGACAGAGATGATGCAAGCGACTGTGCTTGATACAAACTCGTGAAATCCTCAAAGCGTAGCGCTTCCCCAAAACCCGTCAATGGAGTCGTTCGACAGTAGACGAGAAAAGCCACTTCGGTTAAAGCTTCGTCTGAATCAGTTCCGGACACAAAATGTACAAACGCAAGCTGAGACTCGCCCCAACTCAAGGGCTGCAGATGGCATCCGACAAAGAGAGCGTAAACGCAACAGAACGCACTTACTGAACTTATCCCACATGATGGCGAACTCGGATATATGAGGCACCTCACTCTCTTGGACCTTCTGCTCTTGGCTACTCTTACGACATCTGTGGAATAGGCGACTGGCGAAGGATTGGTCCTTCCCCTGGGCCATTTTTAGACAGATTTCTTGCTGCGTGAGGGAAATGGCTCACAGGCAAAGTAAGTTTTCCGACTGAAGACCAATGAGTGATACACACTTCCTGTATGCAGCAGAGTGCATTGCAATGCTCGGCTAACCACACAAAAACAAGCTTCCTGTTCAAGTATTCTGCTGCAGTTCAAGCGGACAACTGCACGCGTACTTTCTCTACACGGTATGAGAAACACTTGTTTGGTCTGAACAAAAACAGTGACGTTTTTTTTCTCACAAAAAGTATATAGATAAAGCCTAGCACGAATAAACGGCAGCCTCTTATGGTCATGTCAAAAACATTACACCGTTGTGGTACATTCCGAGTGCTGATAAAGGGAACTGCGGGGCCGTAACACCCACTGACTGACTGAGAGAGAAGTTATCTCCGGGTTATCATGCTCTCTGGCGGTAAAGTTTATCAATGCAGTTTCCCTCTGTGCTTAAAGTCACCCTGACAAACTGACTCCAAAAGCTGCATACTTTATTTTTCTGTTATTGAATTTGGTGTATTGAAAATGCAGGTTTGTTTTTTTTTGCGCTACAGCAGTGTGGGCCCTCTGAATTATTAAAGAAATAATAAATTAACTATATTATTGTACGGATCTTTCGATGCCTCCCTGCAGAAACTACGAGCACCGCGAGTAAGAAGGCTGTGCTGCTGCGAATAGGAAAGCAGGTCAAGATCCGTACAGTTTAGTGGATTAGTTTGGTCATTACTAACAAATGAACCCTAAACACGACACGCCGGCCTCTGGCTATCGGTCAAGGGATTGATGGAGCACTTTGGATTGAAAACACTGCCAGGTGCGATTTGACAAGGAGCCTCCTCTCCTTGATACTACAGCTCCAAGGCAAAACACCAACGACTTGATTTACAGTAAACTTGTCGACGGCTGACATGGCGCTTCCAGTGAGGGCCCTGGATATAAAGTGTGGCAGGGGGCCACAAACAAAAAAAAAAGCACTCACTAGACACCCAAAACATCACCACCTGTATTTCCATCCTAGCTTGCTTTGCCCACATCAAGCAGCCACCTGGTCAACTTGTCCTTCCATCTTATCAGGTACCCGGTACTTGTTGTTGTTGTTGTTGTGGTTGCAATGACTAGGCCTTGTGCTGCAACTTTAGTGCATTTGAAAACTTTACCTGCACGCCTGTATGATAAATAAATAAATACACTCACTTCGTTGTCAAGGACATACGTGCATTCGCTGCTGTGAGAGACCTTCAGCTGGATGCTGGGGAGCCTCACTGTCGTTTGCTCAAATTATCAAGTGTCAATAATGGGATTTATAGGTGCATCGTCCGCGGCACTGTTTCCCAAATGCAGACACCGTGACGAGGGCGCTAACAAACCCACACTGCCCCCTTTTACAGAAGATGGTTCTTCTCTGCAGCCCACATTACTGTACCGCTGCTGTCAGCTACCACTGGACAACAGCTGCTAACGGCTCGCGCAGACTTCATCATACGACGTTAACGTTAGCGCGACGTTCACTGATGACAGAATTGAGACGACTAACGGGGGCGGCTTAGCTGGACGGGGTTTTCAGACACTCACCGCTCTCTTGCTCGTTGCCTTTCTTGGCAGTCGCTGCGTTCCCCATCGTGGGAGGACAGGGCGATGCACAGCTGGCTGGGCGCGACGATGGTGGCGGTTAGCTAACAGGGTCCTCCGTTAGCTAACGCTAGCTAACGAATTTCAGCTCGTGCTGGCTGGTTGGCCGACAACAACATCAATGTCGTCCCTTTTGCGGACAGAACCCTCGACGCCCCGTTGGTCTGTACGTGCAATGTCCCTTTGGCGTTCAAGTATGACTCCGCTGGAATGAAAACATGATCCAGACTTTTCACCTCTGCCTGCTGTCGTTTTGTGATGCGTTCATGTCATGTGGGAATACCCGTGGAACAGACTTCAGTGGGGGAAACGCTGCTTTCAAGTACCGGGTGAAAATTGTAGTTACTCGTGTCACATGCGTTATTATGTAAAAGTTGTTTGTTGTATTCATAGCGTTTATATTATTCTGCAATTATTTATATACTAGACTCAGTCACTTTGAATGATGGCAAGTAATCGCTTTGTACCTATTCTGCCTCTCAAAACTGTTATTACTATTATTGTTTTGTTGTAATTACCATGTTGACCCAGCAAGTCTCCATCAGACATTACATCTAGGTGTGCTTTTCTTTGTTGACAAGAAAATTGGGTATAGAAAAAAAACGATATCGTCATATTTAACTATTTTAGAACATTTTTCGTATTTTGTATTCAAATGTGTTACTTAGTCAGGGATAGAGATTAACATTTTTAAGCCCTCATAATACATTTTTGGTAACCCAAATGAAAATGTATGTATGTATAAGTGATATGTAATAAAAATGCATCCCTTCCTTTACATAGTGAACTGTCAACTGTCCTCTCTCAGTTCCTATAAAAGTAATTGTTGCATAATGAAAATGAATAGAAAATAAATAATTAAACACAACAATTCTCCTGACTGACTTGAAGCTTATTACCTAGAAAGTAAAAATGTCCATTTCAATATGGACGCAGAAGTCAGTTCTTCCTCTTCGGAGTAAACATTAGTGGAGGACATTAACCAAAATTAGGAGGGAATCCTTCCCATAAGATCCATCAGTGATCACGGTAAACCCTTAAGTAGTAAAAGCTTACATTTGAGGTCAAATGTTTGTTATATGTAAATGTTTAACTCCATAGTTTTACCACAACAACTCAGCGTTATGTAACAATATGTAGAACTTGTTAAACATACCGATCTTGATCTTCCTGAGATGCTCTAGAGGTGTTTGGACAGGGGCACAAGTCCAGTATTACATATCCTTCAATCAGAAGCGTTACATCATAATACACAGTTTTACACAAATCCGAAGGCAATTGTGTCTTGTGATTCGGAAGACCCTGTCCACTCGACGTCTCACGATAGTCAGAGATGTGTTTCTCAGAGTAAAGGAAACCCTCTGATATCTTTCCAGTATATCTGTTGACGCTGAAGAAGACCTTTGAGAAGCCTTGAAGCATATCTCTGTATAAATGGTAAATTATATCTCCTGCTTGCAAGTATTATTTAATAAACGCCCTGTTTAATTATTTTACACCAGTATTGTGTAAGAGAACAGAAACATAAGTACGCCGAAGTCTTTAAGATGTTTGAATAAATGAGTATACGAATGAATTGGTTAATAGAACAAGAATGAAAAATAAAAAACACTGAAGAAAGAACCACTGAAAAAAGCCAAAGTAGCATGATTTAATCTAATGGAATAAATTAGATTTCAAAACAGTGATGTCAAATAAAAAGAAGGATTTATTCAATTAAAGATGATTGAAGTAAAACCAAACCAAACACTAAACAAAATCGATGCTCTGAACTTCTTGAAAAGCTTGATTTTATTTCTCAGTTGACCGATAACATGTTAACAACCAAATAGTCCAATTAGCTGTTTATTGTAACGGTTATTTGGATATAACTACGTAAAATACACAAAATATGAATATGAAATAAAGTGTCGGTTTGAGATTATTGTCACGGCAATAAGTAGTCACCTCTGTGACCTCTGAGCGAAACGCAACCACGATCGATAGGTGCACTTTTAGCACCACGGTCAGCGACACAGTCGCTAAGGAGCTTCCCTGTGTTTGTATCTGCGAGTCGCGTGGAAACCCACGGAAAACAACGACCCGAACGACGGCCGAACTATACCTTACAGCTTTGGTGAGACTTATGCTGTCATTCACTTCTAGTTCAAACGAAAACAATATAATTTATATAACTACACACGTACTACCTGACAGCACAGCAAACGTTACGTTTGAACCAGATTGAGAATGCAAACTTCAGCACTTCATTCAGCGCCCCCCCCCCCTTCTCACAGAGCAAATGGTTTAGCCCATGGACTCGCTCCAACACACAGCACACAAGAGACTACAAGATACAGATTTAGTCAACCAGCCTCCGTTCGTAATAACGCCGTTTCACACCACAAACACTGTTTTGTTCTTTAAGCTACCGCGGCGGCTGAACTGTTTGTTTTTTTATTCTTTTAAAGAAGACCCCTGTGTACTTAACGGCGGCCGTGTCGCTCGGACGTCACGAGCGAAAGAGCCGCACTGTCTGGAATAAATAAGGTAACGTTAACGGGCTAACTTCCCCCCCTTCGCCTCTCCATCCTTGGCTAGGTAGTGCGGCTAAGCTAACCGTGCAGCAGCCCAGGGTCACTGTGTGTGTTTCTCTCAGGTATTAGACCGCATCCCATTTAGCAGTGTGTCGTTTCCTTCGGACGCTGCAGTACACGGCGAGGCCGTAACGAAATAGCTGTCTGCAGTTACACTTGATGGAGTTAACCGGGGAAGCAGCACTGCCTGATTGCTTCCTTGTGTGATCCTTCCACCTGACCTATGCAACGTTAGCCACCCGCATTGCTAGCAACTCATTGACAGCGATAATTCACCTGCTGTGGAAAATGTGAGCAATTTCAACCCCTCGGAGGACAGGTGATAGCCACGATGCCCCTCTGCGCGGTTTAAGAAATCCACTCCCGAGTTAATCCCGGAATACAGACAAGAAGAGACGTTAAAGGGGATTGGCCTACTCTTGTTTCAGTGGTGAGGGTGATACCATGATGACAAGCACTGGTCCCCTAGCTGCTCGTGTAGCATGGCTTCTTGGTTCAGGCTAATGCTCTGTATGTAAATACATCTACCCCTCATGTGTTACATGGTCTTTGAAGAGCCATCTGATTTGTAGGTCAGGGGAGGGGGTGGGGGGGGGGGCATTTGGAGACCACGTTCCTAAAAAAAAGCAGATGTGTTACATAACATTTACAACATAACATCTGAGTTCTAGATGTCTTCTGGACTAATCCCAAGGGATACGGGAAATGTGTGAGCTTTTGTATTAATGCAGGCTAAAGTTTGCATCCTGCAAACGCTTCGGTCAATACGGGACACTCATTGCAGCACATTGAACCATCGATAACTAATCGAACAGACTCGGTTGCTGTTTGACACAAGGGTTAACACTTTTTAATTACATGCTATTTGCACAACAGTTCTGATACATTTGCTGTCACCGGTTGTTTTTTTTGTTACACTTTCGGACAGGGACCTTCCCTTTAAAGTGTCTCTGAGTTCCCTTATATCTCGCTCAGACCCTCGCTGGGTTCGTCAACCGTGAAGCACAACCTGAAGTCTCATTTGGAAAGAATCAGATTGGATTTTGCAAACTGTTCGATTGACAGTTGAACTCATAGGTGGTGAAAGTACATCTGCGTACAGCTCACCTTGAGCATGTTGCTTCGGAAAAACAAACAGCGATGTGTCGCCCACCGTTGAAACTGTGCCTTATTTGCTCTACAAGGTCAGACAAGATCCTAGTTAATGTCAAACTGTAATCGCGTAAGAGATGTCTGCATTTTACAAATAACAACTGTAGATCAAATCGAATGAAGTTAAGCATAGCATTCAGCGCTTGGTTGGTGTATTTCAGTACCCGGTGGGCTGACAGCTCCCACACTCGTTCCTATCTGGAAGAAGGCCCGAAGCAAGAGTTGGGTCACTGGTTTGAGCTAATTTTAGATCCACCGGCAATTCTAAACCAACTTCTTTGCTGTGAGAGTAGCCAGCAAAACTGGCTATCGTCTTTCCTGTTAGGACAATGTGGGGATAACAGCAAATTGGACGATATAATTAGTTCTTACAAAGGGGCTTTTGCAGGCGTACTGAGATGTACACAATCACATTGGCGTTGTGCCTTTCGGTGTCAGGTGAATAGGGTTCATATTTTCAGGTCAAAAGCCATTTTGTTTACATTGGCTTTTCAGTGTTCGTTAGTATAACGTATAATGTATCCAGCCTTAGACAGTTTCTCTGCCCGTTTGAATGGTTGTAGATACCTTGAGGTCTCTGCAATGTTGTAACTACAAGACTGGGGCTCACTGCATGTAGAGAAAAGAAGTGCTGACACAAGGCTACGGGGTGTTTCCCCAAGCCTCTCTGTTGATTCTGTATATTTGAGGTTTTCAAGGCGTAGTTTTTTTGAAGAAAGGAAGAACTTAAAACAAACCCTAGGGAAGTACCTCCGGTTGTTGTGACACCGTCTGTCATGAATAAACAAGTCTGCTGCTTTGGTTCAGGTTTTCCTTTGGCACACTTTGTGCAAAGTGCTTTGTTCTGTCCTTTTGGATTTGCTTTTTATGCTTGCCGTGCTATTCTTGAAGTGTGATTGTCTTTTGACAGTTGGATAATAACATTGGCAAAATTAATTTCTCGATTGAGTTCTGAGCGAGAACTACTTTACTTCTTAGTATTGTGTCAGTATTTTTCCGTGATGTAGTCTTAATGCTGCAGAAGGAAAAGCATTCCTGAGAGAGGATCCTTGAGGAATAATTACGTGAATCACACATTTACAACTTCGACTTGTGGCAGGGCAATTAGGGGGACATTCTGCATAACGACGCCTTTGTCATGCATTGAGGACCCGTGAGACAGGGAGCGATACAGAAGAGCAGCATGAAGAGCTAGCTGTCCACAATGAAGCCTTTCTGTGCTGTCGAGACCGTGGGGAAAAGTGCATGAGATCAGCATCAATAAAGGTTCTGCCTGTTCAGCACTGCGCTGCCTTTGTGGTCCTACGGCTCCCTCTGCTGGACAAAAGGTGTCATTGCATTATAGGATTAACAGACTCTTTGCAGTGAAAGCAATGCATTTAATACTTCACTCAAGGATTAATTGTGTTGATGCTATTAGTAGAGTATATCGTCATTTTGAAGTCTGTACTCACGTTGTATTCCTCACAATGTTACACAAAAAAACAGGTGAAGAAAGGTCACATATTCTTCAGCATAACACAGTCTACTATCAATGATGGTGTTGTAATATAAATATAATTATTTTCAAGTAAAATGCAGTGTTTCTATTTTACTAAATTTTAAACAAAAAGACTGCACACTAGGAAGTATTGCGTGTGATGGTGACCACCGATCTCATTCCAAACCTCTATCAATCCCTCTAATCTGGTGTCGGGTTACACACAAGTCCCTCTCCTGTCATGTGAGTGCAGTTAAAACCAGGCAGTCTTGCCGCCGATAACCACCAACTAAGACAAATGAATAATACTCAAAGTCTCTCTGCTGGGTCATCTATCAGTGTGCAACCACCTGTGACCTCTACAGTAACGGGATCCATGCAAACAAGCATAGACAGAAATATAAAATCTAGAGGCGCCAAGGAAAATATGGCATCACATTTTCAGGGATGAAATTTAAAAAAACGGAATTTCTAATGACGAAGGTGCTCTATTGCTTTGAGTTGTCACCATAACACGATTTTAAAGTTGTGGTCGGAGCTTAATACAAACTACAAGCTGATGCTGATTGCATTTTTAGGGCTTTTATGTGATGTGAAGATGTGTACATGCAGAGCTTCAGCTACATCTGAGTAGATAGAGGATGGGTTTTTCGTGCAGTGGCACCACTAGAGGTTACTGTTGATCTCCGAATGAGAACGAGAATGCAGAAGGAGCAGCGAAAAAACGGTGTACTTTCAAAACAGCCCGGTATATATTACCGATGATTGGTCGTTCACGTAGTTATATATTTTACTATACTTCATGGACTGACAGCCAGTATCTTAATGAGTCATTTCTAACCGTGGCAATTTTTCCATGTAAAATGACACATCTTGATTAGAATGTGCATATCCCCGTTTCAAGAAGCTGAGCAAGAAACTGCCTTACACACATGCAATGCGTGGTTCTGGTTTCTGGTTCTTGAGTCACGAAGATGAATATGCCTCATTTTTCGTTATAAAAAATATCAATTTTTTTCTCTCCCTTAATTGTGTCACAACAATTTATCCTTTCAACCTGTCGGTATGCATCGCTGTCGATTCAAAGTGGATCAGCTACATGCACGGTTTGACTTGTGAGGATCATGAGCAGCTAGACTAGTTCCAAGCATGCTGTAAGGTTGGAGTTTCCAGTTCACCTGAAAGGTTCATTGTCTTTACAAAGGATTTCAGGACACCTGGGTTTTAGTTTTGGGGGGGGGGGGGTCGTATACCCAGAACTTTCTTTATTTTCTATAAACAAGTTGTAATTTTGAGGCTTTTCTTTGCACTCTTGCATCTTATTTGCATTTAAAGTAGGCTACATGTCTTCATCATTAAAAATATAAGGTGTGTACCACAAAAAAAACCCTGTTGTTTATATTACAGATTCATTAATTGTAGTGTTGTTGAATATATTAGCATATTTGTTGGTAACTAGTATTACACATCACAAACAGAATACCTTACTGCTACCATCACCGTTTTTATTACTAGTTTGAAAAACTGTTGTAAGGAAACTTTTAACACATTTACTAATCCAGAACAATGTTGAAGCACTTGATTGAGTTTCTCTCTTTTTTTACTGCACCTCATGTACCTAATAGAGATGGTTACTTCAGATTAGATTTAGATTAAAATCAGAATAGCAGTACAAAATATATCATGTACAACATAATCTGACTAATACATTATGATATATTATTAGTACACTACCCAGCATTACATAACAGAATAATGGCTTAGCCCACTTCCACCAGCTGCATTGAAGTGATGAACAAATCATTCCAAGAGTCCTTTCACCACTGTTAACATCTGTTGATATTAATATTGAAATAGTATAGTAAAAGGTTTGTCTGTGTGTCTTTCTCTCTCTCCAGGCATAGCAGAAGTGTCTTAGAACCTGCATTCTCTCCACTGACCAGCAGGGGGTCTGACGTCTTTACTTGCAAAAAGAAGTCTGAATAGAATCGTAAAAGAAAAACAGAAATTAGGCCTCCATCATATCTTGTAAATCAGAGTGCATAGTTTACCCTTTCTTCTTTTTAGTATAAATACAATAAGATAGTTTTTCTCCATTTCTCCTCCAACATTACTCTTCCCACTGTGACTCACTCGGCGCTCAGTCAGACCCCAAGGCAACGAACATGAACTGCATTTAATTCGACAGTCTGTTGCGTTATGAAGCCTATCGCACATTCACACACATTGCATTTAAATGATGTGTGCTGATGCCAATGTCTCTGACAATGTGAGGAATCTAGAACAACCTACAGTGACAAAAAGAAAAAACATGCAAACTCCACACAAATATCACAAAGACATTCCTTTTTTTGCTGTGATGCAACCATCACTAATCACTGGGTCACTCTACGTACCCTGCCAGCATAAAACGAAATGTGACAAGGCATCTACGCAACGGTTGATGTTTGAAGACACACTCCGACCACAGCCAAACAATAACAAAATCTGGCGGGTGACTGGTGTTAATTTCCCCACACAACTTCATAGCCTGAAGCGTCCTTTTAATAAACCACTGCAACGATGCCATCTGTTTGAATGAAAGTGACCTCGGCCGTACACGGAAACCCAGCTGGCACGAGCGTCACACACAGTGAGATTCTGCGAACCTCTTTGCTCGACAACCACATTAATATTTCACGGTGGTTCCTTGGAATACCAATTAGTCCGGGCGGACGTCACACTGCTTGAGATTATTTCATTAGTTGTACTACAGCCTCGGAGCGGAACTAGGCTGGGTGTCAGATTGACTGATGTCGCCCGTGAAAGGCCTCTGTTCTTGCTGCTGCTGCTGCTGCACTGCATGAAAAGCGTGTCCAATGCCCTCCTGTCCAGCGAGAGCCTACGCGCACAGACTCACAGTGTGCGCTGTTGACACCCTCTGAGCAGCCAGCCTCCCACTACTGTACTGTAAAATATCGCTTTTTCCTTCTCTTCGCAGGCCCTCCGATCCATTCCTCTGTCCGCCCCCTGCTTCCTTCCCTCCTGTAGGGGCTGAAACAGAGCTGGGTCTGTGTAGACCGGCTTCCCCACCGCTGCCAACTCCGCTGCCCCTCTCGCACTCCGCTGCCGCTCTTTATGTGGCTGACCGGCACCAGGGAGACGCTCAGATGATCCACTGGGCCATCCTCAACCACATGGTCCACACGTCCAAAGACAGCGAGGACTAACTACTGCGAGTGCGAGAGAGCCGTCGGAGGGTGGTGTGAGTACCCTGTGAGGGCCGCCCTCCCCGTCGGGCCCGGCAGAAAGCTTGGCTCTTCCCTTCACACTCCCCCGGCCCCTGAGATGCCCTCTCCTCCCAATGAAGGACGTGAGTAAGAGAGCTCCATCTCTCTCTCTCGGGGGTAGCAGGGTTATTCTGTTACATGGTTAGTTGGCGTGCATCTTTTTTTTTTTTTGTTGACACGCACAACGACCTGGTTATATATGTAGCCGCCATCCTCAGTGCCACGCTCTCCTGCACAGAGCCACACAAAGCACACGCCTACACACGAGCACACACACAGATCATGATGCATGCGTCTATAGCAAACTAGACGCCTAATTCATTTACAGCCCAGCTCCGTAAACAAACCCCACTAAATCCCCCGAAGACACGAGCAAAATATATTACAATACTCCAGCAACTCCGGCTCCCCTCCCAGTGTGGTGCACAAGCTGTGACTGTATCTAGTGTTGTTTTATGCCGTCTTTTTCCTCCAGAGGATCAAGGAGCGTCCCCCATGAACAGGCCATCTGTGGGCTCCTTCCAGAGCATCGGGAAAAGGAAGGTGCGCACAAAAAAGAAGAAAGGCTCCATCGCCGCCAACGTCACCGGCACCAAATACGAGATTGGTACAGTACTCTGTTTCTAACACTTTTCAAATCACGTTAACCCACGGCCACAAATATATGGAAATGTTCAATGAAGACTTTGCAGTGGGACATGTTAGAAAAAGGAGCTGAACCGGGCAGGTGCACTTCAGATATACAAGACATCTCCTGATCACAGAGTTCGTCCTAATGGGAAACTAGTGCAGGATGAAAAGAGGCTTTCTTTGACATGGGTCATGAAACCCTTTCATCGATGTACATTATCCTAGTATTGATCTTTTTTTGTCAGAAAAGGGGTCAGTTGCCTGAAATGTTTAAGCCGCAGTGTCAATGGTTGGCTTCAGAGGTCGTATTAGTATAACTTTTCTCAGGTTACTGCTTGCTTATGAATGTTGGATGCCCTGCTAACTCACACTAAATTCAAATTGTCCTGGAAACCTTATTCCCATTTAGCTACATCGTGTATACTAAGCCTGTACCCCAAAGCCTCAGATATCACGCATTCAAGCATAATGATTTTCTTCATGAAAATTTCATGAGTGAGCCAGGACCAACATCTTGGGGGGTCCTGCAGGTAAGATGAATGTGCTGTGACAGTGGATTGTATATTCATTTTGGAAACTGCTCTCAGTATGGCTCAGTCAGTCCCTTAAAACACAGCAGATCTAATAACAATGTTGTCCACAATAAAACAGTACCCTGTGACGATAAAGTCTAATTAGCTTTGTTGGGTTGTTTGAAGGAGACCATTGTTATTTAACGTCTTAAAAATTAAAACTAATAGAGTTGCAGTCCTGCAACTAGCTGGCACTGAAGGCCGCTCGGCTCTGCGTGCATACATAAATCTTTATTGAGGTAATTTACCTTGGCAGTCAGGTCCTTTTGAGAAGGGCAAACAGAAGCATAGTAAGCACTCCTCACATGGTCGGTATATGCCAGTGTGGCAGCACCGCTCTCAGGGGTGAGCTCCAGCCTATGAAATGAAGGAGTCAGCAGCAGAAAGTGGAAGTTGGGGGCCTCCCGGACCCCGTAGGTGGATGGGAGTCTAGCTGTGATTCAGTTTGCCTGCTGTGACGAGACCCTCACGGTGGGCATTCGGAGAGTAGTGCAGGGCTACTATAAAGTAAAATTAACACTAAGGGCCAGATGGATGGCTCATTTCTGCTGTAGCCTTTTCTTCCCCAGCTGTCTTTTTTTTGTTTCAGAATTGATAGTATTACAGGTAAAGGCTAAAGGTCAGGGAATGTGGTGTTGGAAATGTGCTTTACACCCACTGAGAAGGGAATGTACACTCTGGCCTGAGGGGTGTCTGTTACGCAATATGTCTGAGTAAGGATTGATTACAGCTTTGCACTCAAAGACCCTACTGGTATCTGTAAGCATGGGGCCTGCTGTGATTCAAGCCCGGTTGGCCTCCACCGACATTAACAGATGGAGGAAGTTACATCGGAAACACCTTTTTCCCATTCAAGTGCCATCATGCAACATTAGGCAAGCCTTCTCCAGGTTTGTGAAGACTTTCAAGAAATTAATTAATACCACGTTTCGTTAGGGCATATGAATTTTTCATTACCCACTGAATAATGAATAGTTGTTGGATTAATGTCCAAATGGGCTTGCCACCTATCTCTCATACCATGAGGTTTCCAGTGGGATTTGAATGCATTACAGACAATTAATTTATCTCTCTGAAGCGAGGCATTACGATAGGTTGCTCCATGAATGGTAAATATTGCTGCAAGCTTTTTGATATATAATCTCCCGGATCCATTTCTCTCTTAACGTATGCAAAAACAGAAAACAAGCCTAGCAGAAAGTGAAACTCTTTGAGTGAAACATTGATCTGTAGAGTGGAAATAATTGATTTGTGAGTCACATCTTGTGACATCTTTGGTGTCTACAACAGTAAGTTAACTTGTGTCATGAATAAAACGTTTATTTAAATAATTCCTGACCTAATTCTGCTCCTGGAATACAATCTAATGTGATTATTCTTTTCCCAGTTCGTATAGTCATCAACGAGGTGGACTTCACCAAGACCCGGGAAGATGACGAAACTGCCAACCTCATCTGGAGTGACTCGGCCGTGCAGCATGAGAAAATCGCTGAGCTCAGGAATTATCAGGTACACGCCATGGCTACCATGTCAAGTCAGCAAACATTGTTCAGGGGCACTCAAGTCTCGAGGTTAGAGAAGAAAATAACGACGTCAGATCCAATAGCAGCACTGAACAGGAAAAAAAAAAACAGGACCTTTGCCTTTATAGTAGGTCCAATAAAGCTATTCAGTGGCCTGCAGCAAAGGCCGTGATACTGATCAGCTCCCAGCGGATGTGCTGTATGTAACTTAGGAAGTGAAAGGCCTCGAACTGCAGTTCAGAAAAAGAACATTTGTGTCCAGCTAATTTTAAAGGCAAACCAAATGTTAAAGAAAAACCGCCCTACCTCTTATGTGTTTATCACTGGTCGGGCGAGGAGGGATTTTTGCTGAGGAATCCTGAGTGAAAAAAAAAAGGAGCAAGATATGAAACAGGGCACAAGTGGAACGGCATACAAAGGATGAAATAAATAGGGCAGCGACTGCAACCTACCCGTGCTTTTTCATGAGGATTGTGTCTAAATGATTTTCCCAACGAAGAAAAACAAATTTCCTCCTTCAAACTAGTTTGGTAGGCGTCGGATACAGATGACACAATTACCCGCAGTAAGTTTTTACAGCACAAACCATTTATGGATCAGTTTATACACTCTCTATGATAGATCAGTGTGATGCAAATGCCACAACCCTGCAGTGGTTTGAAAGCATAATACATTCTATTTGTCATCAACTCATTAAAGCTTATTTATTTCACTTAATTTGTTTTTTTCTATAACAAATGACTGTGGGAAGTTGATATTCAAATAAGAATCATCAAAACCAACCAAAATCAAGTTTCCAAAAAGTCTGCATACCACCCTGGCATAAAATATCTTTTTGTAGTTGTTTTGGGTAGAAATAAAAGTATAGGTAATGAAAAACGATTACTGTTAACTATATATAGATTCGAGCAGATGGATTTGGATGGTACGTAGAGACGTTTTGGTCACAGTAGTAGCAAATACCAGATTGCAGTAAAATGGAATAGAACAAATGAAAAAGTGGTGACGGATGGAGGACTCTGAAAGCGGCCATCTGCTTTTAATCAGACCCTGGGAGGTAAGAGGGAGACAGCAAATAGGAAAGAGGGAGAGGGAACAACACAGCGTACACAGATACAGATAAGAAGATTGACAGCAAGACCGACAAGTTGTGAGCAGCGGGGGGGTTCAGGCCAGGTTGGATGTCTCCAGCGATGTTGACAAGACGGGCCTAAACAACAAGGGTTGCTTGTGTAGTCTCCGAAATGATCTTACCTCTGTTTGACCCCCACCGCCCTTGTCCTGCTGACTGAACTGGTTTCCCTTCAGCTCTGACCGTTAACCATCCATCTTCCAGAGTGCTTATTTGATTAGACCGGGCACTAATGATCGATTAAATCACATGCTCAGGAAGAGCATGGCTTGTTAGGACAGGGGCAGCAAGAGTTCAGCGAAGCAGATTGAATATTGCGAATACTGTAACGGCTTAACGTGCAGCAATGTGGCAAATGTTTCTGCGTAGATCTGGTGATTCGCTGTCAATTGTTTGCCATTTGCTTTCGCTGCTGTGTTATTTCATAAGATCATTTCTCAGTAGAAAAGTGGAAGTCCCTCAACAATTGCTTTTGATTTCCCCTCACAAGCCACGTCGTCTCGCGGCATCGGCGTAATTGTGCAATCTCTTCCGAATCCCTAATCACGTCTGTCTCGTTTGGATAATAATCATGGGATCCTTTTACACTCTTCCCCCCCCCCCCCCTTCGCTTTTTCTGTCTCCCTCCTTTAATTCTTTCATTTTTTCCCGTTTAGTGATGTACTGTGAGTTTGCTGTCAAGTTTCTCTTCATATGAGCCTAATTAACGCCCCTGTTCAGGCTCATTTGGTCAAAGAATACAGAAAACCCAGAGTTTTTCTTTTCCTTCCCACCACCCTTTTGGCGCATTCAAAGCAATTCATTCAACTGTCACTGCAGGAGCTTGCGATGCAGAACCAATTACCTCGGCCCCTCGCAGTTGAGATTGATCTTTTTTTTTTCTCGCCTCTTCCCTCCCCAACCTTTAAAGTTTAAAAAAAGAAAACATGCTACACTAAATAAGGGTTGAGAAAGGTCTCAGCGTCACCTTTTTGTTTTGGGTCCGTAATTGGGCATAAATGTCAGAACATTGTAAGCTCACTTCAGGTTGCTGCCTTTAATGTGCACATTTTTATGAAGGGGTGGGGGTGGAATTGAGTGGTGTAATGGGCCTAACAACATTATTATGTCTGCCTGTCCCTCTGCAGAGAATTAACCATTTCCCTGGCATGGGCGAAATCTGCCGGAAGGACTGCCTAGCAAGAAACATGTCCAAGTAAGTTTTCAAAAGAGATTGCCTTGGTAGAGTTAAATGTACAAAAGTGGCGTATTTCAAAGCTCAGTGTTTAGGCTTCTGGCCGGCTAAAGTGGGTGCTTGTTGCACTCCACCACTACCAGCCAAATAACTAGAAGATACTGTAAAAGCGCAAAATTCATCTTCAGTTCTAGAAAAAAAAATCTTCTTGTAACTTTAAAATGTACAAATGAAAAATCTTGCTTCACTCCCACACAGACAAACTGTCAAAAACCTTTTTTTTTTTCCAGAATGATCAAGTGCAAGCCTCAAGAGTACAGCTTCATACCCAAAACTTGGATCTTCCCTGCCGAGTACACTCAGTTCCAGAACTATGTCATGGAACTACGGAGGAAACGCAAGCAAAAGACCTTCATCGTAAAACCCGCCAACGGAGCCATGGGTCACGGGTAGGTCAGAGGCCAGCGAGTGCCCTCTACAGCCATCTAACAAACTGGCTATAAAAGGCACAAAAGAGAGAGTCGCTGGGGCAGAGGATAGAAACTACCCAAGATAATGAGTGCGTTGGGTCAATGAGTAGAGGAGGAAAATATAGAGCAAATAGATGACAAGCACAACAAAACAAGGCAATAAGAGGTTTGTGTCCCTGACATGAGTGTCTATGGAGAAGGTATTAAGGCCAGGACCAGAATGAGTATTTGAGCTGAGAGAGTGTGGTGAATGTCATTGTTGGCCTCATTGTCCTCGATGGTCACAGTCTCCCATAAATCAGAGGTTATCGGTGCCGTTGAGGGGACACACACACACACACACACACACACACACACACACACACACACACACACACACACACACACACACACACACACACACACACACACGGTCCTGGCAGTTACTGTAGTTCCTTCCCTGAAGGTCTCTGCATGTGATTATTTGGATTTCCTTTATGAGGCACCATCAGCAGACAACGATCAGTCCAGAAAATGGACCAAGATGGCTGCTGCAGGGGCCTCTGTGTCTCGCGATAGCATCTCTTTTTTCAAAACAGCTGGCTGTGGCACCCGAATGCATATTTCATACTTCCAGTCCCATTTGGTTAGCGCCACTCTCAGTTTGTGATCTAAGACTCCTAAGGCATGTCTTTACTATCCAGGATGTCTTACAATCCTTAATTATTAAGAGATCAGCATCAAATCATGGTGACTCCTTACTGTGAGACGGCGTCCAGCCCTCACATTGACCAGTTTATTAGGTGCACTTTTACCCTCTTAAGCAATCAGATGTCAAATTCCAGCAATCAACACACTTTCAGTGAAGCCCAGAGTGTGAAAACAGGTGTGGACAAAACATTACAAAGCAAAGTTTACCAAAGGGTTGAATTGACCGCTCTCTGACACAGTGTCAACAAAAGGGAACTCTCTAAGCCTGGGTGAGTATCGGGGTGGCATTGATCTTAAAGCTGCTTGCTTGTGGAAGAGTTCCTGGTATCACTGACTGAGAGGAGATCTGTTGACTTAAATCAGCAATGTGGATATTGGAGCTTTCCTGCTCAATCTAGTACAAAACACTGACCGGGACTTTTTTAACCAAAGTATGGTCGCATACAACACAAGCATCCAAAATTGTCTCCAATTGATGTAACTGATTCTAATATTCTCTTTAGGAGCAATAGAAAATTTGACACTTAAAACTGAATTGTTCTAATTTACTATGTGCAGGTTGAGCGTGCATTTACTATGGATTCTGGGTTCTGAACACTACTTGCAATTTATTTTGCACATTGCACAATACAGAATAAATCGAAACTGTTCCGTTTGCAAAACAATTAATAAGTATTTTACTTGCAATTCTCTGAAACTGTGATCCCTGTCGTGTGTGCGTGGAGAAACGCTTTGGAGTGCATTCATCACAAGCACCAATAGGTGGGGATATTGAAGTACAAATAGCTCAGTGTGCCTCACCTCCTTCTAATTCCCTTTGAATTTGTCCGTTCTGGTATAATGTGAGCATTACTTATAACTCCATGCTGCACTAAGCCCTTATTTATTAAAGAATAAAAGGCAGCAAAGGCTGAATCACAGCAATACATTAAGAATATGAAAGATGATGAGTTTAGCTCGACCACTCAGCGGCGGGCGTTCACAAGATTAGATTTTTCTCTATTTTTTTTTGCACGCTGTTACGCGGCAGGAAATTAACTTATATCTACCCCCTGTAATTTATTTTTCCGTCGGCCAACTAAATTAAGTTATTGTTTGTGTCTGAAGCGCAGCGTGTTATAAGGGAAACAAAATAAAAGCGCATAAAAAAAGCCGGCGATCCCCTCCAGTGCCAAATTAAATAGGCAGGGGAGAGTGGGCCGTGATTATCTGACACCCCAGCTCATCAATCATGGAGTCTTCTCCTCAGCTACTCCTCCTTGACTAACCAACGCTGTTAACCCCGTCTTCATCACTCAGCCTGCTGTTTGAAAGGCCCTTCACACACTCGGCCAGCCTGCTATCAACTTGTCCCCGTTCCTTTCTATTCCATCACTGTGATAAGCGGGCCGATGACACGCTTGTCCGTAAAGCGGCCAGATTTCAGTCGGCGGGAGCAAGTGGTGATGAGGAGCAGTTGATAAACCTGAAAGTAACAAGAGCGTAACTGACCTGAAAAAGCGATACCTGATCTGAGTCCAGATTCAGACTAAGAGGCTCATCCCCAATGCTCCAGTTTTTTCCCGTCATTAGAATGAAACAAGGTAAACTATCTTGTTGAATTACAACAACACAGAATGCTCTGTTCCAATGATACGTAACGTTCTAGCTGTGATTACAGAGCAGAATGACGTTTGCCCCCTCCCCCTCCCCCCTGTGGCTTTGTGCACAAAATATAGTAATACCTCAAACTTTTTTTTTCTTTTTCCTGACCATATATTGTGTTTTAATGTGGTGTTCCTGCTTGCATGTCTGCAATGGAGCCTTCCAGGCTGTGCATGTAACCAATTTAGTCCAAGTCTGCCTTGAGTAAGAGTGATGGTGATATAGGTCATTCGCGATGCTTGTACATAGTGGGAGATTGTTTAGAAAAACCGCCCCTCACCCTCCCAGCACACACACGCATACACCCACACACATAAGAACACACTTTCACATTCACCAAGTTTTAAAAATATTGCCCCTCAACCTCGCGTGCACGACCACATGAATGCACGTAAACTAACACAACTCTTTCTTGAGTCCAGCTCGCAAAGGCCTGCATACCATAAGGCCTGAGTGCCAGTGACATGAGACCAAAGCAAATGAATTAAAGTCAAGGTCTGACCAGAGCACAATGTCTGCCCCTATTAACCTGCGGCCAGCTAAAAGAGTCTGCTACAACATTCAATGCACCTTGCCATTCAAACTCATGGGGAGTTTGGCTTCAGAAAATCACAACGTCACCCAGACGCCTGCCAAATATTTGTCAGGACAAACCAGCATTGTGTCATAGCTGTCTGTTGGTTGTACATTTATTTTTTGAAAGAGTTGTATTTAAATGGCTGTGGAATGAAAAAAAGTAGAAAAACGGTTTAATGCCCCTCAGAGCCAAACAGAGTGTGCTGTTAAGACCAGACCAAAGGCATGCTGAGCGCACGCATTTACATATGTGTTTTTAAGGGAATGTTCTGTAGAAGTGGTCGCATCATGAATACCATCAGGGCACGGTGACTCTGACCCGCTCACTGCTAAGTGCTAAATGTCTTCAGTCATCTCGTGCCCAGTAAGGATATATCTTCCCCCTGTGATTGCATCTAGTGCTCGTTCTACTTTTCGAAGTGAGAAGATTAAAAGTCCCAGCATAAATGGCAGATGTGTTCCCCCCTCCCTCCCAGTAATATGTCATCAACTTTTCCTGATGATTTGGAATGACATATCGTGCTAAAACCCATCAAATCTGTATACTGTTTGGCTTAATTCTTTTGCTTCAACGCGTATGTGAGACGGTGCCAATATCATCAGTCATGTTCATGGTCTCCGCTATGCTGCCATCGATCATTTTTTTAATTATCTTTTTTTGTCTTTACAACGCCATATTTTATTATCCTGCTGACGACATCCCAATTTCCCCCCCGAGGATTAATAAAGTTTCTGTCTATCCAGGATCTCGCTTATCCGCAACTGCGAGAAGCTGCCGGCTCAGGAGCACTTTATCGTTCAAGAGTACCTGGACAAGCCCTTCCTGATGGAGGGCTACAAGTTCGACCTGCGCATCTACATCCTCGTCACTTCCTGCGACCCACTTCGCATTTTCCTCTACAATGACGGCCTGGTTCGCATGGGCACGGAGAAGTACCACGCGCCCAGTGAGGCCAACCTGGTGAGTCAAACAATAATAGCGCTGATGAAGGCGATGGTAACCTTTGTTAGTGTAGGACTTTCCCCTATAGACTGAGAAAAGCGCACACATGCTCACACACGAACCTTGCAGCTCATAACAGGACTTGCGTCTTTGTGCACAAGGTCAGTTTGATGAGTTGTAGACACAAGCTCAACGCTTCATGGATTTAAATTTGGAAGGTACCTACAGAACTTTGTGTGTGGCCAATCGCCACAGACGGATAGTAGAAGGAGATTCACAACACACTCACGTGAACCGAAGACGTGGGCTTGTGGAAGTAATCAAATTAGACACACAAACACGCAGGAGACAGCGGTTGGGAAACAGAGTATGATCGCTGCATGATCACAAAACACGCATGCACTCATACACACACAGTCAACAGCGTCCCCAAATGCAGACAACTGTGAGGCTGATATTGGTTCACGTGCAAAATCGTGCAGACACCCACACACAGAATGGAAAAGCATACTGTATGAACAGTGTAAATGTCAATGTGCCAGATGTCTCCTGTAATATCAAGCCGTTCCTATTTGCCTCCGGGTTCTGCACCTGCTGAAGCACAGTCTGTCGCTCACAATGGGATGCATAGGCGCACACACACACATACGTACACACACACAGGTGTACACACACACACAGCTTCCCATCAAGTGTGATCCTTATCTATAATATGAACACACGCTCGCATAGATGCGCCGGACCCCTCCTGTGACACAAATGTGTATTGTCTTACCCAGTGTGTGACACATGATGGAGTGAGTCGTGCCACGGAGATGGATGTTCAATCCCACAGAGAGTGGCTCCCAGGCAGCCATCATGGGCTGGCGTGGCCCCCCGGTCACAGCGTTATTACCTTTGAGGCTAAGGACAAGGATGTATTGTCTTCAAACCGTGAGGGATAATGTTTAAAAAGACAGATCCTAAAAGGTTTACAAAGCATTTGGTTTTAATCATCATTGGTAATTCCCATATAGCAAAGCGAGCTGTTATTTCTACTGCACTATTTCTTACCATCTTTAGTTGTTGCCAAGGGACACAATTGTGATGTTTTTATTTTTTCCTTTATTCATGTCCTTATTACTTAGGAGAAAATGTTTCACATTACAATGTGGGTATGTGCACTGTGGAGATGAAACCATGGACACCCTCGAGGATGTTGTTTGCTCAGATGATTATAATCACTGACAAAGGTATAATTATGCTAAAGAGCACTTGCACGGGTACAATATACAGTTTATACTCCCATGTATTGAAATAACATTTCATTTTACCATGGAACTTGCTTCAGTGCAGTAATTTGTAGCCATTAGTACTAGGTAGAAGATTTACCTGACAGCTCTCAGCTATGAATCCATCTAAATTTGAGGAAGGAGCTAAACAAGAGCCTGCTTTCTTCATCAGCTAAGTGAAAAAAGACATACAGAGGAGACGCCCTCTGAACTCCCCTTTGTCTCCACAGAGCCAGCTCTACATGCACCTGACCAACTACTCAGTCAACAAACACAACGAGAACTTCGAGCGGGACGAGACGGTGGACAAAGGCAGCAAGAGGTCCATCAGTTGGTTCACCGAGTTCCTCCGCGCCAACGACTACGACGTGGCCAAGTTCTGGGGGGACGTCTCTGTACGTGGGTAGTCCACACAAACAGACACAAACACAAAAAAAACTCTTGATACATGCAGACGTACGGCGGCGGATGTGCGGCATGATGACAAAGCACGCCACAAATGCAAACAACACAGGCACGCATCCCTAGGTGTAATCTGTGCACGCATACACTCATATGGACTCGTGCTCTTTCCACCAAACAAAACACGTTGCGCAGAGAACACAAGTAGACCAGCAAAAAGGTTTGATGTGATTTGTTATGACAGTGATTCAGTGAGCTTCGGAGCTTTGTTTAAGAGCTGAGTGAAAACATCATTCCAGGAGGATGAGCTTTCTCCATCCGGCCCTCCTCTCGGCTCATCCAAACACCTTTACCAGCATACATTTTCTTTTACCCATCCATCCCATCCTTTACCCTGACGTCTTTCTGTTAGTATTGTCGTAGGTACATCTTTCTTCTGGACCCGTTTCTTCAGCCCTTGTTCTTATGTCGTTTTCTATTTCATTCTTCTTGACCTTGACTTTTTGTCCCTCTGTCTGTATTCATTTAGGGTATATGGTCCCTCAGTGATTGTTCTATGTTCCACTGTCTGTTCTTGTGCTGCAAGCGTTCAACCTCAAAATCAAATCCCATTGGTTGTTATACTTTCCTCAAGGCAATTTCTTCTCTCCATCAGCTTTTGCTCTTTTTTGTGTTCACTTTGAACAAAGTGTTTTTTTAAACAGTTTTTACCTCGCGCTTTTAAGTTCTTGTTTAGGTAATGTTTCCTTTTATTACGCTCCGCTCCCATCCATCTTCTGTAATCTCTCCATGTGCCCCATTTTGTCTGGCCAGTTCTATTTTGTTTTTTCCTCGCTTCAGTTTATTTTTCTCACATCCTTCCTGCCTCTCGGTGACACATCAGAGTGTCATCCTTTGCCTCAGCCAGGCCGTCCTCCTCTCCTCCTGCTCTCTCGGCATTTTTGTGTCTGCTCTTTCCTCAGAAGCTGCCTCACTCTGGTGTTAGTGCTGTCCGTTTGCACTCACACACTGTGTTTTGTTTCAACTCTGTATTTATGCTCCCCGCTCACTCTCCTCGTTCCTTCTCTTTTTATCCCTCCTCTTACATTTTGTTCCTGTACGGACCAAGCAGGCCCCTCCCGCCAATGGTCACGGTCACAGAGTCCGAGAGTTTGCCAAAAGATTGTCTGTGGGGGTTAAGAATATAGTGAATGTGTTTCTCCCCTTCCCCCCATGTCTCACTGATATCTCTTTCATATTGAGGTATTATTGATGTGCTGTACGGGGCAGAGTGTCCAAGGTTTGGCCAGAAAAGCCACAGTTTTTATCATGTGGGGGTCATTTTGAGAGCAGCGTCTGACTACCAACGCTAATTATAGAGTGCACATCAACACCCGCGTGCCGTTCTCCTGCATCCCGCAGTGGTACCAACAAAACCGCAGGTCAGCAGCACTGCGTGGGGCTTGACTGTTAAGGGGAAAGTTAGTGTAGATGTTGTGTGTGTCAAAGTAAACAAGTAGTATTGGGCACATACATGCATATGTCAACCTGTTTAAGCCCTGCAGTATTTGCGCTGTTCAGTTTTTGTAAGAAAAATATTATGTCCTGAGTCAAGTCCCAAGTTGTAATCTTTAAGTTTCAAATCCTAAACAAGTCCTCATGAGCTCTTCAACAAATGTATTACCAGTTGCGTCTTTTTTGTTGAACCCTGCATAGTTTATGTATGCAACTCAATTATCTTTAATATCATTGTCTCCATCTGCTGTTTGTTTGGTTCTCTCATGCATCTTGATTGGATACCGTTGGATTGGTTCTAAGTCAGTGGAACTGGGGAATTAAGTGTCGACTTGCTGTTAATGAAAGCAGTTACCGTTAGTTGATTGATGATAATGATTGATTCTTGGCAGGTTTTTTAACTAGCATACATTTTAATCTTTGGGCTTGGGGGGACATTTTTTTCAAAAGACTTGAGTCCAAATGAAGTCACAAATAATTGATGTTAACGTCCATGTCTAGTTGTGCGTAATACATTTTGTGACTCGTCCTGTGACTTGAATCCACAACTCTGCACACCGCCGGCTGTGCTACAATGACATCGAGAGAGAAGTGACGCTACTAAAACCGAGACAATATAAATGTATCATACATGCAAACACATAATTTTAAAAAGTATGCCGGTAAAATACAAAAATGTATAGATAAAATGGTTCAAAGAGGATTCTAAAACCGTTTCAGCCCAATACGAACAAAAGCGACATGCACAGTGCTGGGGGGAGTGGGGGCTCAGGATAAGGTGGGAGTTGATGGGAGTAGGGACAAAAACACAAATGCACACCAGCCAGTACTGGGGACTTTGGGCATAAACGGCGCGAGTGGGAGCAGGTGTTTGTGCGGCCTGTAGGTCAGACGCACTGATGGAGGTGTGTGAGCAACAGACAGAAAAGGGATGGGGCTGCCGCCTTATCAGGTCAGGGCCAGACCACCATACCCCACTCCTGCACCCGGCAGTCAGACTGGGAAGATGGCAGGCCAGCAGCACTTGCTTGGGGCTTGACTGGTGAGGGTAAGCTTTGTGCAGTGCTGCACTTTGGGGCTTAGGCCGGCAAGTGGCAGCCAGCAAAATGTGCACACACACACACACACATGAACACAGGTTGGGAGCCACTAGCCCCACAGATGGACCACAGGCCACACTGGTGAAAGTCTGTGTCTGAGTAAAATTGATATTTTTATACTTGTACATAAGTATCTTTGAACAAGTGAATAATTTCCCACCTCTTTAAAGCAGCTCTGTTGATTACAGGTGTAGTATGTGCTGCGATTACTCACTTGTCGGAGTTTAGTCCTGAATCTAAAGGTTCAAGCATCTGTCTGCAATCACAACCTGCAATTAAAGCCAGACCTTTAATTGCAGCATTTTCCGTTAAAGAGGACCTGCATAAAAAAGCAAGAGCTGCTATAAAAATTGCAGCATATAGCTTTTCAGGAGGTAGGCAAGTGACAAGCTCAGCATGGTAAACTCCATTTTTTTGTGTTTTTTGTCCTGCCAGGAGCTGGTGGTGAAGACCATAATAGTGGCCGAGCCCCACGTTCTGCACGCCTATCGCATGTGCCGACCCGGCCAGCCACCAGGGAGCGACAGCGTCTGCTTTGAGGTCCTGGGTTTTGACATTATCCTGGACCGCAAACTCAAACCCTGGCTGCTAGAGGTACAGCGCTGTGTGTCTATGTGTGAGGGAGGCGGGGTGAAATGGGCCAATCAAGTTTTTGTTTTTGGCATACTAAAAGTAATTGTATTTACTACATTTAAAGGCATTGTATCATTTACTGATTTATAAGTTGTAATTGTTGTTTTATATTTTGTCACATAATGAAAAAAAACCCGAAAAGCACTGTAGGGGACTTTCTTCTGTGATCTACAATGTCATTATAGGCTGTGTATGGGGGGGGGGCAGTCTAAGAGGGGAGGGCTGCAGTCTGCGCTGTCTCACCTGTCTGTGCTGCGACTAAAGTGACAGCGGCTCCCAAACTGAAGTAACGTGGCATCAGCGGGAGAGAGGGAGTCGTTGCTCCGCACTGACAGAAAGCATAAACACACACTGATTTTGCTTACACATTTTTGTCCCTGGTTTCTCTAACACACACACACACATCCACACAGTCTCAAGTATGTATTTATGCACAATCAAACACAACCAGAAGACACACTCTCATGTAAAATGAAAGGTATGTTCACAGCCACAAACATGCACACACAATTACATGGCTGTGTGCATTCACACACAGACACACACACACACACACCCACGACTGCAAATGGAGATGCAGGCGTACACAGCTGCATATAAGACAAGACAAAGACCCCTTTTCCCGACACAAAGGCAAACATGAAGGGTTTGAACACCCATTGTCTCCGTGTCAGTCTCTCCCAGTGTCACTAAAGCAGAAGATGGGTTTGAGTTTAGAATCCGCTCCAGGATTTCTGTCTCACCGTTCTGATGTCAGCCAGTCAGTTAAAGCTTGACCTAAATCCTTTAACCCAAAGTGGTTGCGCGCCTGCCCCCCCTCCTCTCCCACAAATTAACTCAAGGAAGAGAAATGCCTCCAGGGTAATTGTTTGTTTTTTTCCCCATCATGACATAATTACCTGACTCTGTGTGGTTGAGCAGTTGTATTAAGTGACAAAAGGTTGTAGAAGAGAGAGCAAGATGATGGTGTTCCTTTTGCTGCCATTGCACTGCGATAGTACGTATGTGTGTTTGTGAGTGTGCGTGTGTTTGTGTACGAGACATGGCAAACAGCCGTGAATGCAGTTGTTCCACTCCAGCAGTAATGATCCCCTCTGTGCTACTAGCAGCTCTCTATAGCTCATCAATTAACATCCCACGCACACACACGTACGCACACGCAACCAGACACACAAACAACAGTGTTTCTCTTTCACGCAACATTTACAGCAACAATCATTTATTTCCAAAATAATAGCTGATTAGTTAGGAGATACTTGTAAGCATAGTCTCAAATCCTCACTGTGGAAGCTGTCAAGCCTCAGAATAACTTTATTTCCTTTTTTTAGCCTGTTGACGTTCATTGTCACTCTGAAGCGACGCTACACACACAGTGTGTCCCGTAGGCTGGTTGCCACAAACGGTGCCCCATGGCAAGCCCTCTGGTCAAAATTTAATTTTTCAGCAGATTTTGTGGCAACACAAATGCATTTCACTGCATTTCAACATCTTTCATTTTTTTGTTTCTGTCACCCCTTCGAATGGGAAAACTTTAAAAATGGAATTGGAAGACAATAAAGGTCTCACAGGTTTGTTTTGAATTTTTGGACTACAGCTCTCAAGTTTCCCTAAGAGTGTCACTGTGAATTATGTGTGCCATGCCTCGTTGGGCCTTTACCCAGACTGCCGTTCCGACAACGTCTTCCTCTCTTACTCTTTAAAATGTCAAAATTGGTTGCTGGACATGCAAACTCTCAGCCAGGAAATGAAAGTTAAACCTGTGTAAACTCCAAGTCAGTCGGATACCTGAAAGCTAAATAGTATCATATACAAGAAACTGTCAAATAACATTAATCCTGCCCTTTGTATTTGTATTTGGGTCTGCTATTTTGTGTGTGTGTGTGTGTGTAGGAAGCTAAGGAGGCAAAAAGAACATGATTGCCTCTCACATCCTCCAATTACAACTCCAGAAAGTAGCCACTGTTTTTTTTTTCAAGACCAGGTATTCAAAATAGTGCAACTCCAAACCCCTGTGATTAGAGGCAAGTTGTCGCCTCTATTTTGCCTTTGCAAGAAGAGCCCTGTTCAAGATTCAATACAGCGACTCTTTGTAAGCAGGCAAGCACAAAGAGAAATCCTTCCAAATATACTGATAACAAATAGGGACAGTCAAGAGGAACAACCCACAGACCAGTACAAACCTGCTAAACAGCTTGTCACAAGGGAAGAGGGGGGGTGGGGGGGGCAAGAGTGATGCTTCTCAAACCAAGGCCAGGCATCAAACACGCTTCACAGTATAGAAGGTTAAAAAGAGTGAGGCCGGCTTTTGTGGGATCCTTATCTTAATTCAGCAGAGTTTTCAACACAAGTTCTACCTGCTATTGACATTCAAAACATCAGCACTCCATAGGCACACACACACACACACACACACTTGCTCAAATGTCGAAACCCGAGATGTTCGCTTTCACTAAACCAGCCCAGACAGCATCTGTGTCTGGTATGGGAAAGGCGTTTCATTGAGCCGTGATCTTCTCTTAACACGCGCACATGCTCACACGCTCACACACACACACACACACACACACACACACACACACACACACACACACACACACACACACACACACGTGCACACATGGACAGTCGGCTTAGACCGTAGTCTGTACGGTTAGTATCCAGCCTTTTGCTTTAAAGCCGTTTAAATTTCTGTTTTTTTTTTATTTCTATCACAAAATAATGAATAATAGCAGGAAAAAAGATAATAATTGGAAAACCGAAGAGAGAAAAACAGACTTAGTTAAGCTCAGGAACTTTCTGCTTGAATCTGGTGGTGTCTTAAAATTGGGGTACATGGATCAAAGAGAACGGCAGTCATTTCAAAAGTCAGTGTGTCATGAGGAATGAATTCTACTCGATGGAAAATATGGCAATGGGACAGCATTGCCACCTCTGCACCCCCTTCCTCTCTCAAGTATTTCCAGGGCCCATGTGCTGTAAGCCGGCGTGACAAATAAGAAAAAAATTACTTGAGGTTTGGTTTTAGTGGGCGAGGACAAAGGGAATATTTTCACACGCAAAAGAACTTCTTTAAATGCTCTACTCTTTGTTTTGGAGCATAACTCGACAATGAGCACAATTAATTGTTCTCATGTCACAAGATCGGGTGGATTGAGGCACATCCTCATTACTGGCTGTGGCTGACTTCATTTTCTGTTTGGTTAGAAAAAGAAGCCGGTTTTAAAGCCTTTTTAAGCGCTGGCCAGCTCTAAATGAGAATGGAACAAATGTTTGCAGTGAGCATGTATAATTCCAAAAGCTCTGTGAAAGGCTGTCCATCTATTGTCGGGCTCCAGCAGCTAAAAGGCCAGTCGGCACACTCGTTAGGCCGCAGCTTGTGTGTGTGTGTGTGTCTGCTTGTATCAGTACATTCTACCAAAGCCAACTCCCTTCTGCAGAACGACTTTTTATCCAAACAGAGAGGCATCGGAGGATCCTCGCATAAAAAAAAAAGAAAAGATAAAAGCAGTATGAAACGGATTGATCAGAGGAGGAAGAAGCCTTGTGTGACGGCTTTTTGTGTTGTTTTTCGCTGCGTGCCGTGGTGCCATTGGACACAGAAGCTTATGCGGCTCGATTATTGATGGCTGCAACTTAACTAGCGTCTCCTCATCCATCTCTCTTGCTTTCTCCCCTCGTGCCCCCCCTTCAGGACGGCTCGTGCAGAGTGATTGGCAGCTAATGAGGCGGGCACGGTTTGGTCAACCGTGGCACTGGTTTGTTTGCGTCTGAGTGTGTTTGTGCGTGCCTGTGTGTGTGTGTGTGTGTGAATGGGCATTTCGACAACAGACTGCAGCTGGACTGCTCCCCTGAGGGCGGTGATTCTTCACCCCTCCTCTCCCTCCCTTCACCCCTTCCTGCAACTTTCCTCTCGTTCTGTGCTTTGCCCGCAATTGTTTCAAGATGAGTTTGGTTTTGCCTCTCCATCCCTCAGAGCCAACATAATCCAGACTTCCTCTTCTTTTGAATGCGAGTGGTATATGTGTGGGTGTTTGTGTCGGGGCTGTGTTTGCGGGGAGTAATCTGCGCTGGCAAATGTAAACAGATGCCACCAAAGCCCACGTACACATAGAAATAAACACTACTACTATATAAACTATTGCACATCTCCAACAAACATAAAAAAGACACTCGCAAATGTATTACAACTCCTGAAAATACTAAAAATTCAGTTTCTTCTGTGCCGAATTGGATGAAGACTCCTTCCGTAAAAAAAGTGTAGCCATTCAAAGTGTAAACAGTTTTCTTAGGAGTTTTAGAAGAAGGAGTTAGAGGTTACCCTGTCTTTCAGATGTTTTCAAGCCCTTACAACAAGCGAGTCAAACATTGTTGTGTATTCAGGGTGATTAAGGATGAATTTACTTGCTACCCATGCTCTCCAAATTTCATCCCCTCGTGATTGAATTTTCTAGGGTGAAAAATGATGCAGGAGAACAGATACAGTTTAATATACTCAATTATCTTTCAGAGTTTCTCTTGCACCCTTCCACCTTTCATTCTCATTTTGCCTTTGATCAATCTTTTGCACTTAGTGGGATTCATTCTTATTTAAATGTAGCGCTGAGGGGGCGTCTTTCTCCCTGCGATCCCTAGGTGGCAGTAGTTACCTACGAGCCGCTCTTTGGCTTCTATGAGGTTTATTAAAGAATAATTAGAATGATGTATGGGACTGTCTGTCTCTATCCACATCCATTTTCCCCCAACATGACTATTTCATGGAATAAGTATCAAATTAGGAGAGCACAGGCCTCGTATGTGGGGCAGTGGAAAACACACCCCAACATTTAGTCATTTATCATCAGGCATGTACGGCAGCAGCAGTGACAAGTGTGTGTGTGTGTGTGTGTGTGTGTGTGTGTGTGTGTGTTTGTGTGCATGCATTTGATTGAGGGGGAAGTTATATATTGCAGGTTTATGAGTGACATATGGGACCGTAGTGTGTGTGCGTGTGTGTGTGTGTGTGTGTGCTTGAGTGTGTTAGAAGCTATAAAGGGATAGAGATACTCTTGCATATTTATGACATACACCTCAGGTGTGTTTGGTTGTTGTATGCACGCGTGATTTTTGAAAGTGTGCGAGCACGGCTGCAAAACTATGTACACTTTTACCTTTCGTGCAACTTTAAAGCCCCCCTTTTGCTTTCTGTGGCTGCGTCAGATCGTATCTGTGTGTGTCTTTTAAAGAAGAGAAAAGAGTAACAACAAGAATTGCAGCCCTCGCTGCACCCCGCCAGCCAGCCAGCCAGCCAGCCAGCCAGTCATGCAGGTCAGGCTGACTGGTGACTACGCTAAGCGTCGGCCCGCTTACTCCCAGGACCTTTACCGCCAGCTCAGCGCGCGCAGCTAGATTTTCCTGTGTCTGACTGGACCAATAGCAACGCCACGGAAGGAACAAAAACAGTGATTGATAAGACGGCTGCAACAAGAGAGTGACTCCAACATGGCGGCCGGCTGTCTGTCTTTCTGTCGCTCCGCTACTCGCGCTCTCCCTTTCCGCCTCGCTCTCTCATTCCACCATTGTGCGGCAACAAACACTTTCTGACAGCGGTTGAACTGTGCCGATACCCTCGAGTGTGCGGGGCAGGATGGGAGGCTTGTCAAAGCAGTGGTTGTTTACACTCTGCCAGGAATAATAAGAAGGGGGGGGGTATTTTTATTTTTTTTCTGAACCGATTAATCACGAGCAGCCCTTGCACTTGTCTGACGAGTTTTACAGACGCAGAATGGATGTCGATGGGGGGAAAGAAGGCTGGTGATTGTTGTTGATCCATGGCTGCTGCTGTGTCATTAGGGTTGGTGTGACACAGCAGAGGCCACATGCAAAAACTGCTCCAGGCTCACATTTTCAACAATGAGCGAGTCTGGAACGACGAGCGAGTTGGATTGGGAGTCATTGAGTCACTGAGATTCAGTGAATTCTCTCTCCATGTGAGCACCATGTCCCGTGGCCATGTTGATGGTAGTTTTATTGTTAGGGTGGGAATTTGCTGACTTATTAACTTTACTTGAGTAATTTTCCCCTCCACTCCCACACTACATCATATTAAACAAGGCAAGTTGAATTTGCTGGTTGCACTTCTACCTCTCCATACTTTTAGGGCCTGCAATAAAAATCAGTAGAAAGGATTTAGTTCACAGATAATTCAAACCTAATGGATAGCCGAAAAATAATAAAAGCCCCCCTCCCCACCCCCGTTATTTATGATCAGATGATCAGATAAACCTGTCCTGTGAAAAATTACAGACTGATATGTTCTTCTCCTACATGCTGGTTCTGCTGTTTGGCCAAGTGCTATTTGGGCTCCACTGATGCAATGCTGATGCTGAACCAAATCAAAGCATGAGTAAAAAGGAGTTTCTAATCTTTTCATCTGACATTTTTATTGAATGCGTCTTGGAGCAACCGAAAGCTCCTTTAAGACCCTGCCAGAGTCACTTAAGGAAATCAGAGTTGGGGTTTTGGGAGCCTGGAGGGGTTCATTAGTCCCAGACTGGTCCAACGTTCTTTGCCAGAGAGGAAAAGCAGAACACAGAAACACGGAGAAAGAAAGAAGAAGCGAGGTAATGACCAGAGCGTGAGTGGAGGGAGGGGAACGAGTGACCGGGCAGAAAGCGGCTTGAGTGACACAAAGACACCGAGTGGGAGGAGAAACTAACCAGAAGAAGAGGGCGACCAGAGGAGAGTAGGCGGAGAGAGAGAGAGAGAGAGAGAGAGAGAGAGAGAGAGACAAGAGATTGAGGGAGAGCAAAAGGGAGGCAGGGTGAGCCGCCATGCCCGTCCACTCACTGCCCGTGACAGCTTGACACCGCAAATCAAACTTAAGAAACGCAGACAAGTAACGAGACAACCGTCGCCCCGGATCACCGCCAGCCTGGCTGTTACCTGTGGGCCGCGGTGCTCTGAAGCCACACTCTTTTCATTGCGGCTGTCGTATCAGGGAGGGCGCTAAGTGGAAACAGACCCTTTCCCTCTTTTTCTTTTGTGTTTTCTTTCCTTTCAGCAAGGTACTGTAGGTCGAATGGGACAGTTCATTCTATTGAGTGACAGAGTTGGATAGCCGACCGTCCCCCTATCGTATATATTTGAGCCGCATGGAGCAGTTTCACTGATTCACTTACCGTCCAGAATTTGTATTTCTGAATTTTTCTCGGATTAATGTGTTTGAGTGGAAATGGACTAGCTGCCCTTTCGGCTGGAAACACATTCAACCCACTTGGCTCTCACTGTTCCTTGGACCCTGGTTGTGATGTAAATATGATCTTACAGAACTGTTCCCAAATCTGCCACACGGCATTGAGCACCTTTGTGTCAGGATTAGTAATGGCTCTTACCGTGGAAAAAAGAGAAAACGAGTTTCTGAGTGCTGCCCGTCTTTGAGGTTCTGTTGCGCATTTTTGCCCAAATATCTTACAAATGGCCTGATTTTGCTCACCGATGTGTTTTCCCTTCAGTATTATAACCCACGGTCCCTGGTTGATTTTATGGATCTAAATACTCCGATTGGTTCAATGCTGCCGCGTTTACGGAAATCTCGATCCGTGATTGGCTGCTTTGCTGCTTTTTATGAGTTCAACTGTATCCAACTGCTTTTTTTCTAAAGGAAGACAGGAACAGGACGAATTATGTCTCTCCGACACAAATATTCATCCCAATTGCCGGTTATTGCTACGGATAGGGATGCATTTCGAGCCACAGCACGATTAGCTGTGACCTTTCTTTGATTGAAAATGATCACAGATCTTTACCAACGTATGCAGCCATGTCGGGTTATAGAATAGGAGTTCCAAGTTCCATAACTGAACTTGTGGGGGGTGGGGGGGGGGCAAGTTTGCGTCAGTATGGTAAGTGGTGGTATTTCCACCCGAGAGCTGAGAAAAACATCAAAAGCCCATTTAAAAAAAAAAAGCAAACGAGTTTTAACGACGTTAGGAGGAGACCTGACTTATTTCAACTATCAAGGTTTATTAACCTGAGCCAGCCTTTCGGAGGCCATCTGTTGCATTCTCATTTCAAGTCACCTCTTTGGAAGACACCATTTCCATTGCGCTTGCCAGTTCATTCGCACTGCCGCCGCACTTCTCTCCAGCTTCTAATCCTTTTTGTTGTCTCCCAATCTGTTTTCTCACCTTGGCAAGAAGACAAGAAGGAGCAAACAAAGAGTAAAAGGGAAGAATTGATTTGTCGTGTCAGTTATAATAACTGATATCTGAACAGCTGCACCATCGTCGGAAATGATTAAGAATGCTAAGCTGCTCTTGAATTTGTCCCCTGGTGCTGCTGGCTTTTGTACCTCGAATCACAGGTGGCTTATCCTGTTCTCGCTCAGTTAAGTCTCCCTATGAGCTATCTCAATTTGATATGATGGGATTGAGCCGAGCGCTGGTAGTCCACTGATGCTCACAAAGAGATTACCGGTGGCAGTGGTACGGATTGGCCTCGCAGTGCCTGGGACACGTAAATGACAGAGTCATGGACAGTTTGCCGGGGTCACTGATCTAGTGACAGTTTAACTTTAACACAATCTGTTCGTATGCATGCAGTCACACACACGCGGACTCCTCTTCATGCACGAGTTTACACACATCAGTGTCGGACAAGATTTAAGCCGAGGCAGTGAGTAAGAGATCCAAAGTGTCCTTCAAGAAGACAAAACTCTCCCTTTCCATCTCTTTCTTCTCCCCGCTCTCCTCTTCTTATTGCGGGAACAGATGTCTTCTTTTGCTTTTTTTTTTTCTCCCAAATGTGCCCTGAATACACTCCTGTAATTGCATTTCTGTCTGCTGTGTTGAGAAGAAAGAGGGGGAAAAAAATGAAATGAAGTAGGAAAATATTCTTTGAATGTTTCTCTCCTCTCCTCTCTGGCAGATCAATCGAGCGCCGAGCTTCGGGACCGATCAGAAGATTGATTACGACGTGAAGAAAGGGGTGCTGCTAAATGCTCTGAAACTACTCAACATTCGGTACGGTTCTCCACCGTGGTCCTACACACCCGCGCGCAGGCTTGTTGATAAACATACATGAATCAAATTGAATTGTAGGGGCCCATTAAGTATTATGTGCAGAGGTAGACAAAGCTCACGGCAGAGCTTATTTTTCGGCGCTCTGAATTTCAAGATTTCAAATCGATTCTTTCAGGTTTCTTGGAATTACGTTGATGCACGGCACAATGCAGCTTTCATCCCGGTTCTCTTTTAATCTGACGTCACAGTGGGAACATTAGTCTGAAACCAAGAGGGGCTGTGGGTGTAAAAAATGTCTGTCCTTGTAAATGTGTGTTGGTGCTGCTGTAGTAGATATAAAAACAGACAATGGCCGAGGTACAAAGCTATGCTGCTACTGTGCGCTTTGTGCACCCTTTAATCAGGCATGCTGTGTGCGTCTGTGTGTGTGTGTGAGAGAGACAGAAACAGGATAACAATAAGTTCTGCTATGTCTATTTAAAAAGTTTACTTTTTTCTCCTGCTCTCTATAAGCTCACTGTGAACTTTTACTTTTGCTGTATTTGATTGCCTGTTTACAGGAGGTTATGCACACGCTCATTCTCGTTGTGTGTCGTGTCTTTTTTGTGTGTCTGCGTGCGTGTTTGCTGGCGTGCTTTTCTGTCCCCTGGCTACAGAGAGCCGGTCCATTGATTGATCATCGTACACCAGACCTCTGGATCTCTGCTCTCTTTTTTTCCTTTCTCTCTTTGTGCTTGTCCTCCTCTTACTGCTCTAAATATAGTAGCAACTCGGCGAGTCACACACATGCACAAATGCAGCAAACACACAGATCAATTGATCAATTACATGCATCCCCGTAGATGTAGTTTGGCCAAGCGTGGTGCTGGGTGCAGCCATCCCACATACCCCCCTTGCCCCCTCCCGCCCTGCTTCAGTCGACACAAACAAATCCCTTATCAAAATGATTGGTTTCATGGCCGATGTTTGCTGTGTTCCCACAGATTAAAAGGGGAGATTTGATTATTTCGTGGCAAATAAATCGTAGGAGGCCTTGAACGGCATCGGGGAGGTATTTTTCCACTGGACAAACTGCTTATGTTCATGCTGGAGTGAATGAAGGCTTTGTTCTACCTCGCTCACTTTTTCCTTATATAGTAATGGCTGTGCTTCCCACCAGGGAGGGGTCGCTGGTGTGTAGAGGTAGGGTCGGGTCTCAGCTCGGCTCCCAACAACTGTATCAACTTGGGATCAATTCAGACCCGGTCGGGCATGGACATTGATAAACCTCAGCCGGCCAACGGCATTCAATATCCAATTTAAGGGGCCAGCGATTGACTAAAATAAATTGCCCTTTCTCCAGACCGCAGGAGCCCACTTGTTCAGAATTAGCCGTCTGGTCCTGTTCATCCTATGGTTGTCACTTTGTTTGTGCCGCGGCTCTGTCCTTATCTCTGTATTGTGGAATTATTGTATTGAGGATTTTTTTTTTTTTTTTTTTAACTACCACAATGATGTGAAAAGGCAAATTGAGGTTGGTCCAAATGTCACAGATGAGACCTGCATGCTGTTTCATTGTTTACATTCATGAACACTGCTTTCTGAGTTGTAGCAATAAAATACTGCTTGTGTATACTGAAAGAACTATGACAGTATGTTATGAAATAGATATGAGAAAGGTTATGAGAACACGAGCAGATTTAGACAACAACATTTCATAATGGTGCAGTTTAACCTGCTCAGAAATTTGAATTATTGATAAACAGCAAATGTGCTTTTTTCCTTACATAGAAATGCTATTTTGAGTGCTCAAGGATCAAGTATAAAAATGTAGACACCGTTTTCAAAGGTTTTGTGAAAAAAACTCTGTACATGTTTTCTCAGAGCGAGTGATAAGAAACGCAACCTAGCACAGCAAAAGGCAGAGGCTCAACGACGCCTCTATGGACACGGCTCCACGAAGAAGCTATCGGCTGCCTCCTCCGACTGGGAGAAACAACGGCACACGCTGGAGCGTAGGAGAGAGGAGCTGGTAAGTCACATGATAAAGAAGCAAATGATTACACTCTTTGGAAACGATGCTGAGCAAGACTAGAGATATTCACGCACATTCACACCAGTAGCCCCCCCCCCACGAAGACTTTCAAAACTAAAACTATCCTGTGCATTCGCACTGTACCTCCGGATCTTTTTAGGCCACACCAAAATGAGCACAAAAGGTGGCTTTGCTTCAGCAGCAATTGAGGGGCAGTCGCTCATCTCTTTGAAATGAAAGGGTCGGGGGAGCTTTTGGGGGGAAAAGTGGCGGCTACTAGTACTTTAGGCCTCCCTCGCTCCTTTATTAGCCTTGGCAGTAATCAATAGGAATAAGGAAAGGTGGCGCAGAGGCACAATTTTAAAAAGAGGACTACCTTGTGGTTGAGTACTGTTATTGCTTTAAGTGCAAGAAGGGGATCAGTTGGGTTGAAGGCACATATCGCTCAGAGCTCAATGAAACGGTATTGTCAGTATTGGAGTCAATCCCTCCTCTCGGTTTCATGCTGAATTGGCCAACTAATCTCCATAATTATACCTCCCTTACATATCAATAAGGGAATATCTGGAAATAAGCCTCTTAATTATAAGGTATTGCTGGGTGAGAAGCCTTTTTGAATTCATCTTCCCTTTTTTTGTCTCCTTTTTATGACTATTCTCTACTACTAGTCTCTATTCTTAAGAAGTGGTAAGTGGGGTGTTACGGTGACTTTCACCTGCGAGAATAAGTCATTTTTCTTTGCTTTTCCTTTGCTTTTCCCCTATTTCTAGAAAGAGCGACTGGCCCAGGTTCGCAAGCAGATCTCTAGGGAGCAGCATGAAAAGCAACATCTGGGGAACTACAGGTAAGGCAGAGGCCAACAGCTGGGTATAGAGGACTCTGACTCCAGAAAGTTCCCACTATATCGGCACCCGCTCCGCTCACATTTCTGGGGTTATCTGCACACAGCTGCACTCTCAGGAGAATAAATAATACTGCTGCACAGAGAACAAACACAAGAGAACACCCAATGTCTTTAAGGAGGCGAGGTGGAAGAACTAAGACAGAGAATAAGTGAAAGGAAATGGGAGGTAGTTTGCCATGTCTAATACTAAACTGTTACTCATCTATTCATCATGTTTTCAGCATTTTACAAATTATAATGTATGTATACTTTGCCTGACTACAGCAATCTATTCTCGATCTCCTCCTTCCACCACATTTCTACGCTTTTCCCCTTTGACTCCAGCTGGGACTTTAGAAAACACTGAGCGCGTCAATTCTTTATAGTCACCTCACAGATGGAGCAGATCCATCTTCGTGCATGACTCACAAACACAAACTTCTGATTTGGCGATTATCACTTTCCAACTAGTTAACCCTTGTCAGTCCCTCAGTCTGTCTTCCTGCTTTTATCTCTTTGTCCAACAAAGTCTCTCTTCCCCAGACGCACATGCCTACACACACACACACACACACACACACACACACACACACACGCCTTGCTGTCTGCCCAAGTGTAAGTGACTTTTTGACTCATCACTTGACTGATAGTGAGAATACTGATCCTAGCCTGCGTGAAGTGCCGTCACATCTTTCCTCTTTTCAGACATGCAGCCAGACAGTCAATCAGACAGGCTGAGGTCTGTCTGGAGCATCCTTAATAAAGACCTCTTAGCATTCAAATGGTGTCCCAGCGCTGCACTGGAGTCTGATTAACACACTGCTTCTCATTAAATGAGTTTGGGTAATGAACTTACTTACATTCTGCTATTAGATGAGAATTGTATCAGCTACAGAAAAGCCAGGACCCCACGGTATCAGAAAGAAACCCAGCGGGCTGATGCTATCGTAGATGTTCATTCAATTGATGATTTGCACAGTAGCAACTGGGAGGTTTGAGAGACACCAGAACAAAACTATGATACCAGGATTTTTTTTTGTTTGGGAGGAGAATATGAACTGGCACGAACATTTCACTTAAATTTTAAAAAATACTCCAGGGTCACCCTCAAATAAAATGTCCATATGCTGCCAAAACGAGGGAGCAGTTAACACCCACTCCTAAAGTTTTGAACTTTTGCTTTTCACTCAAGTGATTTATCTGGCTTGTTGAGGATTTAAAAGTTCTGGCTCTCTTTATATATTACGATTTAAATACAGTTTATCCCCCTGTTATGAAGATCATTTTTTCCACATTTCTCACACATTTCTCAGGTTTGCTCTCAAGAGGAAGAGAAAATTGTCCATGTACCTTAAAGATGGTTAAAAATGGTGGCAGTTATACAATCTAATATAATAAGGGAAGGTAATAAAGTGATCCATGGAATTGGGTCAACCTCTCAACAATATGGAAGTCATATACTAAGAACTTCTAGCTTCTATGCATAAAGTTTTTAGATGGCAGATGGGACGCAGTAAAAGTTCACAGCTTAAACATTTTACTTGGCATTGTGCATCCATTAATATAGACAAATTGGAGGCCAATATGTGTGAATAGTTTGTATTAATGGCTTAGTCATGGCGCTGCATAAACATTACGACTTTGCATCTCTTTGTTTAGAGAAAACCCGGCTGTACTTTTAAGTCCCTTTAAACTGTTGATTTAAAAGGCCGACGCGGGGGGAATCTGGCTCTCGATGTCTGCAAAGACGCCAAACTATTTCCTTGCTTTTACACTCCGAACTGGCCCATGCTTATTAAACCGGTCCCTGTTTTGATTTGATGGCTAAAGTGACGACAGGAGGGGAGTTTGGAGATGTGTTATGAGCATAACCAGCCAGAGGTTTAAACATTTTCCAAATCCCGTATAGCCTAAGATAAACACTGCGCATTGTTAAGAAGAAGCAGAGCTGGGAAGAAGGTGCGTATAAGCCCATTAAAGTGCCCATCACAACGAGGGTTTATGAATATGTACTGCATGTGTGTGAAACAGCATTAATGCACTACTCCACCCGAAAGGGAGGAGTTTGAAGTTTGAAGTCTGTACGGTTTCGTGCCTCAAGGTCTCCATTAATACTTCTTCACCTTTCTTTTGTCCCTCTATCACGCCTGAATTACTTATAATTCTCCCCGCCTGTGTGTTTCTCTCTCCTGCTCGCTGTCTTTTTGTCCATCTTCCACACTCACCTGCTGTGCCTCGACCTCCCTTTGCCTCCCTCCATCCACTCCTCCCTCTTCCTCCCCCCCTCCCCCTTAATCTTTGTATTCTTTTCTTTCCTCCCTATTTCTGTTTCTCAAACAACCTACTTTCTCCACTTTTATTACCCTTCTTTTTTCCCCTCGTCATGGCTCCCTCCCTCCCAATTGTCCCCATTCCTCCTCTCACCTCATATCCTTCTTTTGCTGAACCCCAATACACCTCTTCCATTTCTTTCTCCCGCCGTCATCACCCCCACCCTCTCCTTGGTGAACCCAACCTGTGTTTTCTCTGTTTCATCATCTCTCCTCTCACCCTTCTCATCCGCGCCGATGACCCTCCTTCTTTGCCTTTTCTCTCTCCCTCTTTCTCCGTGCCTTCCTCATTCTCCTTGCTGTTCTCTCTCTCTGCGGCCCACAGACGTATTTACCCCCCAGACGACAAGCTGCTGCTGGAGAAGTATGAAAGCCTGCTCTCGGCCGCCTTTCAGACCTTCCTCGCCGGGCGAGCTGCCTCACTTCAAAAGGAAATGAATAATCCTCTGAAACGAATGAAGGCACGTACGTCAGTGGCAGACTGTCAAACACGCACACACAAACACAAACATCATATAAACATGCATAGACACACAAACATATAGACACAATATGCTCTTGTGGACCAGCACATTCTAAAGGGAAAGAAACACACATGCATTTCTATTAGGATTCTGCCCACAGAGATGCGAAAGGATGCGCAAATAATGTGGAAAGTGTGTTGCAGTCCTTTAGATTTGTTAAGACGTCCTTCTTCTCTATCTGCCTTACTCTTCGACTGTCATTCACTCACTCCCTCTGCAAATATCTATTGTGCTGTGTACATGAGCTCTTAAACGCAGACCAAATCCCGCAAAACAATGTCAATCCCGTTTGTTTTTTTATTCTTTAAGATTAAGGGACACACATTTGAACATGTATATGAGAACACACGCAACCGAGGACATGCACGTGCTTGGATGGAGGTAGAGGAATATAAATGTCAAGTCTCTTTTGGTACCAGAACAAATGTAGTTTCAGTTAAACCCTGAAGTTATTAAAATGTGGGAAGAAGAGAGCTAGATTTACATTACATACACCTTAAGAGTAGAAAGGGGGGTATGTGAATTGAAATTTATCTCAAATTATTCTACAATGATCAAATCATTTAAAATTAAGATTTAAAAATGTGAGCTTTGTGTGTAGTATAGGTCATTCACAAATGCATATCTCAATCCACACACAAATTCCAAGCACGATAGTTCATATTATATGAAGATCAGGAGATCAGGTGAACTGCATATCTACAAGTAATTACATTTGGGTGTTGAGTTTCTGCCCCCTGTTCAACATAAATCTATGCATACGTGCTGCGTTTAAGTGCTAATGGAAAACTGGGATTGCCGTGTTTTCTGAGAAAACGCATGTAATTTCAAAGTTGTGAATATGCTTTTCCGCAATAGACAGAATAACTTGTCACCCTTTGATTAAAACACACACGTTTTCCTTCTATATACTACTGAAGCCCATGTACAAATCATAGTTCTGTTGTACATCGAGCCACGCTAGCTGGTTCCGCCTGTCGCTGTGATATGGACACGTGGCAACTGTAAGGCAACTGTTAACGAATACTTAAGTCAACAGGTGCTGCGGTTTAAACAATAGGCTTCACAAAGAACAAATCAATTAAACAAAAAGACACAGAGGAAGCCGTTGTGGGATAATAAAACACATGGAGGTTCAAGATGCATTGAGTAGGAAAAATGCAGATAAACAAAAAAAAACATGGAAATAATAATAGTAAATACTACCCCTTTTTTTTTATCTCCAACTAGTTTGGACATTACACATTTTCATCAAAGCACAGGGATGAGATGTAATATGCAATGATTGCATCGTTAATAGAAACAACGCTACCCAAACAGCAACTAGCCCCTCGGTCATTGTCTGTCAAGGATCTCTGCAGAGAATCCTTACAGAGATGTCATTTAAATACCAGGCGGGAGATGGTACAACAGGCCGAGGTGAATTTAATTAAGTCAACACAAAGAAATCTGACTGTTGTTCAAAGTAGGAAAAGAAAGAGATAATAGGAACATACAGTGCTCAAAAATGTGCAATCTAATAACATGATCATGAGTGACAACTGGACCGCCCGTATTAATGGACAGAGTGGGTGATACTAATCTTGGCCATTTTTAGAGAAGAAAGGATGTTCCTCAATTTGAATATGATTTTCAGCAGACAAGGGAAAAACACAAATTCATTTGAGTTACTTTTCTTTACAGTCTTCCTGTGGGGTTGCTTGTGCTCCTCACCTTTGCTTTTTGTTAAGTCATTGTCACTGATAGCACTGCACACACACAGAATTTAACTCCTTTATAGCCTGCTTGATTTACACTTAGTTTGAGTTCTATAAATGCCAATTCAAGTTGTTGGGAGTACTAGTTTTGCTTTTATCACTAACGTTTGTGTTAGTGTCAAATTTATACTAACCAATCTTTACTTAATACAACTGTTTTAAACTTTGTGGATGAACCTATTCCTCCTTACGGTTTCTACTGGAACAACAATTTATGATTGTGTGTTAAACCAAAGCCATTAACTATGTGCAATGTCACTGTACTTTGGCCCACAACCCTGGTGGGATCAATAATCTGTCATAATCTGACGTGAATTGCGCGTTTGGATGCTTTTTCTTGGGGCCAGAGGTCATTTGCCAGCAGTCCATCAACACATCTGTCAAGCCTGACACACATTGTACCTGCAAGACTCATGTTTGATGCCTTTGTGGCTTCACAGGGCCATGAATTGAGAAATGTCATGGACTGTCACGCTATCAAGGAAAATAAAACGTCTGTTATTATCCTGGTGAAAACATGCACTGCTGAGCTCGGCTTCATTGCTGTGCTGCAGACAATACACCCACTGGTTACTCCGGTTTCTGCAGGGTTTACATCACTCTTCTCCCCACTTTCATTACTGATGTTTGACAGGCATGCATCAAATTGTATGTTCTGTTGTTAGGTATCCGTGCTTTCCAGCTCGCTCAGCTGATGCATTCCCATTCTTCAATTTTTCTCATATGGACACTAAAAATAGAAAAATAAGAATGCAGGTGCTTGCTCAGCTGGCCTTTAGCAAGCTGTCAATGTAATGAAAAATGTTTGTGGGAGCACTTCACAGTCAGAGGTGTGAATCTTCACTGGCTCCGCAATTGGATTTGACTACAATCCACCTGTCAATGAATCAAGAAATTCTAGATGCATCTCAATACATTCTCAATGCATCTCAATATTTTATATTACGGCAGATACTTTCAGAAAAATCGGAATTATCTTTTTGAAAGAAAGAAAAATGCTTTGATGGAAACATCTGTGTGCATGCAGTGCGTGGTTGAAACATAGCAGCTAATATCGGTGGATACGGCAACAAGTTAGCGGATGGCGGAGTGCGTTTCTCAGCTCCCTGTGCACACAAAGCTTTGCCCTCGGTCAAAGGAGAGGAGAGAAAAAACACAGCGGGTCAGTAAATAACAGCAAAACACCAGTAATGACTGCCTGAGATGAAATGAAATGAAATACTCCTGTTGCGGACACATCAAACTTGACTTCCAGTACTTATACCAGAATAGGAACATAGGAAGAAAACATGAGCTCTCCATGAGCTGAGTTTTATCGCAAAACACCGAAGGTTATTTTGAAAATACATTGTATATATCCAACAAGCGGATATTGACAAATGTAAAACTGACCCAGCGAGTCCGTGTAGCTTCACTGACCAAGTTGCTACATCTGACGAGTTGGCCGGTATCATCCAATGCAACGCTTTTCATCCTGCAGCTCCAGCCCGACCAGTGCCACCTACAGGCAAAAACAAAAACAGTAGCAGCTATGAGCTGCCACCCATGTGCATGAAACGATCGGGAGAATTGTGTTTTTCACAGCTGCTGTTTGTTATATAACAATCCTTTAAAAATAGTGACATATTTTCAGTGAGAAGAGTCCCTACAAAGCTTATCCTTCATGCTTCGAAGAATAAATGAGGTGTCCTTTGGGTTTTTCTTTTATTTGTCTAAAAGAATGAGCATGATTTTAGCAAGAGGTTTTCTTCTGGCTCGGGGGGGTATGTTTTTCTTTTTTTTTCTAAGTAAAGGAAGTAAATCCCTCACCACGATGAGACAGACTCATCCGTCAAACAGCCAAGAAATATGAAGTCAGTGAATGTTATGGTAAAAGCTGCCAGCAATAGAGAAAATGACGGCTTTGTAATAATAATGGATAAAAATACAAAAGCTCTCTGGACAAGACTACAGACTCTGTCGTGCCAAAGAAGCACTTTGTTCGGATGATATAGTTTATGATCTCCATACTCAGAGATTGTTGGCGTCACATCCAGCCACATCGGCTAAAAAAACATTATAGTCTAAAATATTTATTTGTAAAAATTAGTCGGGAAATAGAATTAGAATTAAGATGTTAACTCTCCTTTTGATGTTTTCCACATTTCTTCTTCTGAACAGCTAAAACTGTCTGATCAATTCAGGCTTAATCATTTACAACTTTACACACCATCGCGCACAGTCGCACAAGGGTATTTTCATACTTCCAAACGTGAAAGTATGCCACTGTGCACGTACCGTTTGTATCCACACACAGATGTTGGTGCACAAACACGCCAACACCGAGAGCCAGAGCCCAGTGACCTTTTCAGGAACCCCGGAAAGCTGCTTGATGCCTAATCTGAGAGAAAACAATCACTTTTCAACCGTATTTGAGCGTTGAGTGGGAGCTTTTGATGTCCCCAGCCGTGAAGCAACATTAATCACCTTTGCTTACATTTCAGCGACGGCCAAATGGCCAAGACCCCAGTACTCTGGCCGTGACTCCGCCTTTTTTCAAAGTCAGCCTCCAAGCGCTGCCAAAAAGCAATGCATGTGCAGCCAGGGCCTTTTTTGTAACCCCCAGATAAGGTGCACATGCCTTAGTCAAACTTTTTCACGCCTCACCCTTTTTTAAGTAAAGTTTCTTAATTTCTTAAACTCATTTTGACTGCAAAGTAGTTAGAAACCATCAAAGAATTTAGATTACCAGCGTTAAAATTGAACTACTTTGTTAGCCTTTGGCGATGCATGAAACTTTATAATATGTTCTTAATGTGACAAACATCCTAGTTTGGGCGTATTCTCATTAACCTTGTGTTTTCGGTCTTTCCAGGAGGAGGACATCTTGGACCTGCTGGAGCAATGTGAGCTGGACGACGAGAAGCTGATGGGCAAAACCTCCAGGCAACGAGGCCCTAAGGTGGGTGAGAGTGAGACGGGGGACAGGGAGTCACAGACGAGACAGAGACGAGGGACAATAAAGGTCCACAAGGGAACCACGGAAAAGGTGCAAAGGAGACTATCAGAGAGAAGGAAAGAGGAAGAGGGGGACAGCGCAGGCAGATGCCTGAAGTCAACGCCCACGGAAAGCATACAGGACACGATTCTTAAAAATAAAGAGGGGGCCACCGGTGAGAAAGAAAAGAATCCCAAAAAGATCCAAAGAAAAGACCCGACTCCCCTGGGGGACGGCTGTCAGGCTGTCTCTCGTGCTCTCTGCGTGCTATCTTTCGTTCCGTCTACCTCCCTCTCTTTCTTTCTGTCCCTCTGTCACATACACCTCTATGCCCCCTCAATTTCCCACGACAGCACATTACTCCCTCCATCACCTTGCTTCCCTCTTCTCCCTTCACCTCATCCCTATTCTCTCTCTCTCTCTCCCTCTCCCTCTCTGCACATCTACATCCGTCCCTCACTCGAGGGCTAAATTGGCTGGAACACTCAAAGAGTGTGTTAGGGACTCGACAGCGCAGCATTAGAGAGGCCTTAGCTGCAATGAGGGCTTGTTCAGACACAATCACTGTTGTCCAAATTAATTTGGACTCCGTCAGTTTCGATTTTGCCGAGTGTACTGAGAGAGACATTGAGAGCAGGGGGAAAGAAGAGCTGTGACGGATAGATTCGCCCCTCGGGGGTGTAGCGCTCGCGAGCCATCTGGTGAAACGGAACCGGCGAGTGCGGGAAAGCTCAGAGGGAGAGAGGAGTGAGGCTGAGGGATTAGAGACAGGATTTTGAGGGAAAGGGAAGGGACGCTGAAGTTTGCTATTGCCGAGGAAATGTTCAGACGCAGAGGACAAGTGGTAGAGAGCAAGGAAGGCAGGAAGCCAAATGGTGAAAGGAGGGAGAGCAAGCCTCTCCTCATATTTAGTTGTTTCTTTTAATGGCTTCTTCTGTCCAATTTTTGTAACTAAGATATTCACTGTATCAAATGTCTTCCTCGCTGTGTCCTCAGCTGACTACATAGGCTGTATATTGATTCACTCTCACTCAGTCACCCGAAGTTCTCGCTCCTCGTCTGTTCAGATGACCGGCCGTCTCTTTTTGTCTCGCGCTCTTGTGTTTATCCGCTGTGTGTTCCTGTCTCCTTTTCTCTCTCCCAACGCGTTCATTGTCTCTTTTGTCTCTCCATGCGACTTTCTCTCTCTCTCTCTCTGTGCTCATTTCCGTTCACTCCGTCCATTCAATGCCTCATCTCGGTTCCTCCCTGCTCCGATACTCAGATTCACCTTGTACTCCTCTTTATTTCTCTCACCATCAATCTGATGTTCCCATCTTCCCTTTTTATTCTCCTCTCGTGTATTTAATCTGTCTGTCTCCATCCACCTCTATCAGTCACCTATACAGCTACCCAGCGGTGACTGCGCAAGCCCTGTGATCACTTCCTGCCCATTAATTCGGGTGGCCTGACAGCACTGCCCGAGCTAACCGTTGAATAACAGATGTGTAAATCCTTTATTAACGCTATCAGTGTGTCCCCTTACAGGATGTGAAACCGACAAGGCTCGACTTAATGAACTCCTCGCTGTGAAAAATGTGTTTGTGTTTTTAGGGCGAAGTAGATCTTCATTTTACAGGCGCAGAACAAGGCCCACTTTTGATATGTGAGGAAACTTTTAAAGTCATATTTCTTAACTTTTTTACATCGACCAATCGGGTGCAATTTGTTCAAGCTGCCGCTCCCATTGACAGCCGGGTGCATGTGTAATCGTGCATCCCTGCATAATGAGCCCGCAAGCAAACATGCACTCATGTAGGGACGTGGACTCGCCGAGCCACCAGCAGGTCTCCCAGGGACAGATGGTAACAGACTGAGGGTGAGGCGAGGCTCAGGGAGGCTGACAACGTCTCAATGTATTTACGTACACGTGTGTGAGGGTTTGTTTACTGTTGTCCTCACGTCCTTTAGAGGGTGTTTGAGTTGTACACTTCCCAAAGGAGTTACTTCAAAAAGGCGTAAGGCTAGGAAGTCAACACAATCACGTGATTTTGTGTTTGTGTGAGATCACGTAATAACGATCACGTCTGTGTCATCTAATGTAACATAGTATGTTTTCTGCCCATTTGTATTTGCCTTACGTGTCCATATCTGCGTTTGTTAGCCCATGACCGCCATGCCAGAATGCAGCCAGACACCAAGGCGTCAACGACCGGACTACCTGGCTGATTTCACCAGCTGCAGCAGCGCCGATAACTCCTGCTCCTCCTCAGACGAAGAGGAAGAGGACATGGGGAAAGCAGGAGGAGGAGGAGGAAGTTGCGGAGAGAAGAGGGAAAAGAAAGTGTCCTACGACCTCGGGGAGAGCAAGGACAAGAACTTGGCTGAGCGCTCAGGTAAAGAGGCAGGTTGAGTAAAAGTATCTCAATGTCTTCATTAAGAAGCCTGAGCGAGGAGGTTTGACAGGGACATTGATTCCTGCCATTTCTTTCTTGCTTTGGTTTCTTTTTTGTTTACTGTGTGTCTTTTTTAACCAGAGCTTTCCATCTGATTACAGCAATTAGCTTAATTGCTAACAAAACAAGTTTTTCCCGTATCAGACACATACACATTTTCTTTAAGATGTCTCTTACAGCATTTGGTTCTCAATTTAAATATCACAGAGAGTGCTTCCTCCAGCCTGATACAATTTCCACTTTAAACAGTTTGAAAAACAGTCATAGTTGTAAATAACCCATTGCCTTTAAAAATTAAAAAGTTTTTTTGCTTTGATCAGTACCGTCAGCTCACGTACACAGCACAGGGCCGGTTGTGATGATGTGAACCAGCCAGGGAGGGCAATAGAGATGTTTCTCATCCCAGTATTTATGTTCATATTTCACGTGATGAAATGGAAGGCAGGTACTTGGATTTTAATTAAAGTGCTAGCATCATGATCATTGTCGTGGTTGTTGGAAAAAGTGGATTTTTTTAAGTTAAGTAGTTTCCTAGCTTTATACACTAGCTGGACACACACACACACACACACACACACACTCAAATGATGAAGGACTGAATAGCACTTGAGGGAAGGAAAGCACTGGGAACAGTACAGCAACACTCAACGGAAGGTGACGGCAGCAAAGAGGCAGGGAAAGAAAAGAAGACCCTCTTCGGTGTTTACCTTGAAAACACCTTGGGTTTATTAATAGAATATTCTTCGTTTTAAAGTGACAGCGATAAGTCCCAAGCAGTCCCACCAAATCGCATAAGTCACAAAGACTGACTCACTTGCAGCGCTTTGAAGTGAGGCAGACGGCACCTTTCACTGCAGTCTCTGTGCAAACCTTGTAAAGAATAAATTCTCTGGTTGCCTGTTGGGGCGGAGGGTTTCACTTTTCACTCGATGGGCTCATTCCATTTGTCACCAAATACGGGACAAAGCCATGAAAATTCCCAACTTTCAGATCTGTGTGTGTGTGTGTGTGTGTGTGTGCAAGTGTGCAGAGAGAGACAGAAACCCTGCCAAGCCCTACTCCATACCAAGCCACCAAAGGGTTGATGGACTAAGCCACATAATACTTTCATTTGGCAAAATGTCCAAACCTCGGACAGTTGGGCAGCGCCACGCACACACATGCACGCACATTCATAATCACTTGTGTGCAAACTTGATGTCAGGCGGACACAAACTGCACAAATCGACAACACACTAATATGCTGGCTGCTAGATAATCTGGAGGAGTCCAAAGGTTGACGCAGACGGTTAGTGCGGAGTTTCAGCTTGTGTGTCTCTGTGTGTGTGTTTGTGTGTGTGTGTGTGTGTGTGTACATCTGTGTGTCTGAAAGAGAGAGAGAGATGCTCTTTAATCCATCCCCAAAGCAGACAGGACTACTGTTCACTTTCTGGTTTCCACTACACATGCTACACACACACACACTCATACTAGGCCGCTGTGCCGGCGCGCCGGGGCGATGCGGCACTGGGAGTTTTAAAGCCACCAGGCAACGGATGGAAAGCAGAGAAGAGAGCTTGACAGTGACCGGAGCACAGAGACAGGATCAGGGAAGAAAAGAAATTGAAATGTGACAGTGTGTCGCTGCCCCCCCCCCCCCCCTCCCAGCCTTCCCCCCTCCCCTCCTCCCCACTCACTATCCCTCTCTTCTGTGTCTCTGCAGGTCGCATGCACTGGAAACCTCCAATCAAGTCACTCAAAACCAGCCCCGCTGCCTCCGTTTCGCCAACGCTTTCTGGTCCAATCAGACGCTCCATATCCTGCCCACGCTCCATCGCCTCACTCTCATCGCCCAATGAGCTGCGGGCGCCGTCTTCCAGGCCTTCTCCCACAGTTCCCGCGGCCACTCCCCTCGTCAGGCCGAGCTCCGCCACGCTGCGCTCTCACTCCCTGAGCCGCAGCGGCTCCGCCCACCGCGTGCCTCACAGCAACAGCCTGGGGACCATCCACTCCAACATAGTAAGATACTTGACTGTGTTACTCACAGCAGAATTTACATTACTTCGGAATGGCGGTCGGTCATAGAAAACTACGTGAAATTCATTTTTAAGTAGCAAAGCTGGCATTTTGTGGGAATCCTCTGCTGAGCTACTCCTTCAAGAGAGTTTAAAGTGAACAATCTAGAATTCCTTTTAAAAGGTATTTTTCACTAAAGTCTGACCAAGAAATTAACTTCTGCCATCGTTACGCTTCTCTTCCTGTGGCATATATTATATCCGGGCCCTGAAAGAGTTTCCCAAGCAGCTCCTTCAATACTGTATAAGCCCACTGTAACCTTCTATTATGTTGCCATCTGTTGCTTTCCACCTGCCTCCTCCATTCCCCTTCCTTCTTTACAAGTATGCCGGTAACCTTTGCACACATTGTAACAAACCTGAAATGGAGCAGAATAATTAACATTGAGGATAGAGCTAAATGGAAAACCTTTCTACTGAAAAAGGCCACGGACTGTCCCACTTGTGTGCATGTATACTAAAACACACGTATACAAAATGAGAGATTTTTTCTTACACATTTGCATTCCTTGTGGGAATCAAACCTCTTGGGATGAGTAAACTAGTACAGGAAATCTCATATCAGATTTTAGTTCACCGGTGAGTGCTAATAAAATGGTAATAAATGAGGAGGGTTCATGTATATTACTGAAACTGCTCCGCGCTAACTGCTACGTGAACACAATAATGAGCCGTGACTATACTGGTGGCAGCAGGATCATAAATTAATGAGAGCTCTGGGTAGAAATGGCAGTTTCATAATAATGACTAATATTCATAAGTGATATCACATTACACCCTGCTCAGAGAATTGTTGTTTTGACAACACGTTAACACATTTGCATAGGACACCTTAATGCTTGCTTGTCCCTCGGTCATTTGGAGGACCCCCCCTCCCCCCTCTACATACACAAGGAGTGTTAATGATTCATTTTCCTAAGTGATATGTTAATTGCAACCCTTTCAAGTTATTACGTCTGCTTGGTGAACTTTGCTATAGAAAAAGTGTTACATCGCCGTAGCTTTGAGTGAAACTTTATTGACTTTATTGTTATGTGCGTCTTTAGACTCATCCGTTTCTCTCGTGTGTGCGCGTAGAGCGATCCGCTGATAAACCTGAGGAGTAAAGAGCAGGAAACCGAGCTGGTGCGTCAGACTCTGGCTGCACTCACCGCCATGAGAATCAGGTTTCCGGGCAAAACCGAGGAGGAGGCTGAGGCAGTGCTGGATGAGGTGTGTGCACCATTTCTACTCGATTTGTGGATGAAAATAACGTGTTAATATGCATTTTATTTTTCAAATCAAAGTTATTCATATTCAGAGGTAGATACAGACTGGAAGAAAACAAACCACGGGAGAAAAAGACTAAAATAGACAAAGTGAAAGCGAACATGGATTACAAGAGATACAGGCCCGCTGTATTCCCAGAGCTCCCTCTGGGACCAGGTGCGGTCACTCTGCAGCCTAACTAAAAGTGACCTCCTTGCCTCCTGGCACAATGGCCTGTCCGCTCCGGCCTGGCTCCCATTGTCTTTCAAACAACCCCAGTGACAACATGTCGGTCAGTTTGCTGGCCCACACTATTCCCCACTGCTCCTTTGTATTAATCAATGCCACCTCTATTTCTGGTCACATCTCCATGTCCTTTTATTTCCTGTGTGTTTGTACAGTATTTTATTGCTTAAGTTATATTGTAATATATGAATGTATACCTGTTTTAAGAAACCACAGCTGTGTTACTTTATTCGGGCCAAAAATAGAAAAAAAATGGTAAATTGAATTAGCATTTTGTCAAAGCATAAACAAAAAGAAAATTAAAAAGGGGGGGCGGAGGCTAACCTTCAACTCACAAAGCAACGCATCAGCGGCACAAAAGTACTGTGAAAGCGTTCATCCGTCCAGTCCACGTTGTCTCTGACCTCCGTTATGGCCGCCGCCGTCCTCAGAACCAGCTGTTTGTTGAGCAATACAATACAATACACTCCCGGGGTGCTGAAAGGACAGCAGCCGGCCAAACTGCCTCCACCAGGCTGAGTAATTATACAAATACCAATGATACATGTATATAAAAAAGATCACAGTTGGCTACAATAACAAAAAAAGAAGTTGTTTATTCATGTTACATAATTAACTGGCCGAGCTAATTAAAATAGTTGGATGCCTTCGATCGTGTGTCGCTATGGGTACAATGCTGTGTCTAAGAAAAGAAGGTCAGGGAAGTGCTTGGGCACTAAAATCTTGATTTGCAAATAATTTAAACCATTGTAAGCTTTGAAATATTAATGTAATTTAGCATTATATTATTGCCACAAACACATAGAGTGCCTAATATTCTTTTAAAAACTCCAAACGGATGCTTTTAGTTGTTGAAATTAAGGTTAAAATGTTGTCTGCTTATACAATTTCCTCAAAGAAGAGCAAAAAAAAGGTTCCTGACATCTGGGTGTGTCCGGGTCGTGAGAGACAATTAGCACCACACCTGTACTGTTAACAAACCCTAATGAGAGCAGCGTGGAAACGCAGACGAGCCGTTGCATCTGTATTGTTCTCTTCTCGCCTCAGGAGAGACACGAGTGTTCTCTTGGCATGAAAAAACAATCTTTGGCAATTCCTTTTTTCCACGTTAAAGTTAACATCTAATTGGACTAATGATGTGTTTCTATCTGAGTAATTACCTTTATTATCCTTCACTCAAAACCTTTTTTTTGTCACATTCGGAAAACAATTTAAAGGGGGAATGTATGGAGTGTGCTTTGTTACGCTGTAATTGAGGGTAATTTGTTTACTGCACAACACAAATGTGACAAATAGTCGAACATCCTACCAGACAGGGTTCATACGGTTTCATTGAGAGGGAATACTAAACAAGCAAACACATAACTTTCTAAAGCAATCAAACATGTTCCTGTGCACCTCTGTTTCTGTGAATCACCGATGATGGTTTATTTGTGCCTGTCTGTGTGTGTGTGTGTGTGAGTAAACATAAAGTTTACACTGGAGCCTCCCAATGGGAGCACTGTTGGATGTAAAATGCACGTGAGAAGTGTATGTGCACCACTGGGGAGATGCAGACTAAGTCAACAGAGCAACAATAGCAGTGCCTGTAGGTATGCAGTGATGTCGGTACCAGGAGCAAGTGCATGGGAATGTCCCGCCCAGCTTTTGAGCATTACGACAAATGCCCCAAAGGATTTTTGACACATCTGTAAAACATTGGGGGGGTTTTCCTTCTGCTTAAGAACCGAAGATCGCTGCTTGACTTTCCTATTATCCCCGAGCCGTGCTATGAAAACAGAACCCTGTTACAGAGAAGCACTGCGTTATCTAAATGCTCGCCAGAGCCAAAAGTTTGGACACATCTGACGTGTGAAATGTAGTCTGCAAGGATAATTATGTAATTGCGTAATTTTATTGTGTGGTCTTATTGCCTAGTTAATTGGTTGGTCAGCACTCCAGATACGTAAATGTGTGTGCACAAAAAAAATGTGTATGTATAAAATTAAAAAAAAAGGGAAAGTTCTAATATTTGATTTTGCTGTAAATTGTCAGTTGCAAAAAATGTTACATTTTGTTAAATGTTACATTTTTACTGTAGTTAAGTAATTAAATTGAACAACCCAATGTCCGCCTTGTGAGAGTGTTCTGGTAGCCCCAAGTTCTGATCTGGACTTTAAGCATCATATGTGATAAAATGTCAGCCAAGTAGACCTGCAGTGGGGGGGTTGTTGAAAAGAATAACTTAAAAATACGTAAATGGTTACTTGATGTTCAAATGATGAGATAAAAAAAATCACCAACTTTTTTTTCCCATAGATCCTGGACACCTGGAAATATCACAAATCAAAAGTGGCCTCCTATTGGTTAGTGAAGCTGGACTCTACAAAACAGCGAAAGGTGAGTATTATGCTAGAATCAGATCATAGATATCTGAGCTAATTTAAATCTTACTGGTGCCTCCAGAGAATTTTAATTTGTCTTCTGTGGCTACCGAGGCTCAGCAAATACTGATTTTCTTCAAGATACAGTACGCATACAGAATTTGGATGAGCGGTCACTGCTTCCTGAGGGGACTAGACGATAACCCCACTGATAGAAAATTCAACAATAAAGAGAAGTTGAGAGTTGTAGGAAATGCTGAAGGAAATGTGGCCTCAAAATGCAGAGATTAGCGTGTCCCCAGAGTACGAGAAATATTCAGAGATCATTGTCAGAGAAAATGCTTTAAAAAGTTTTAAAAATTGGCCGGATTTATCTTTTGACACCTGTACAAGTTTCTTGCCTTAGCCCTTTCATTCCAGCCTATACACTCACCCGGTATAGAATGGACGTTGTTAAAACTGGTGAATAGGAAAAATGTCACCACTCCTACCTACTCTGAATCCTTTTAAAAAAACTTTTAAAGTGCAAAAATAATCCCCAAATCAAGCTTCAGGGAGAAAAAAAAAGAAGAGAAAAACAGACACGCCTGCGGATCATTATCATGTCAGTCAGTGAGAGGCAGAGACACCAAATAGGATGTAAACATAACAGAAGAGGGGGACAAGACGAGAAATGCCATCCGGTAGGCGTGTCAGTAATGATGTGATCTCTCAGCCGCTGCTTTCTGCACAACTGTGCTCGCCGCTGTTGTGGGCTGTGGCGGTGCGAGCCGATGTTTTATTTGGAGTGGAGCAGCCTAATGAGCAGCAGGCAGAGGTCAGGAATGGAGCGCCATCTGATTACCATAACCAAAACATATCTGTGAGTGAGTGAGTGTGTGTGTGTGTTTACTTATCTATCAGTTTGTTGGTGTGTGTGTGTGTGTGTGTGTGTGTGTGTGTGTGTGTGTGTGCGCGTGCGTGCAAGTCGCCTCATTCTGGAAATCTTCCGTCTTCGCATCACACGCACACACAGTCAGACGGGAACGTCAGTAATGAGGAGCCGAGGAATCAAAGCAGAAGAGCCAGAGTGCTGCACTCTGAGCGGGGTGAAAAGAGACAGAAAAAGGGGGAGGCAGAGAAGGCAGTAAGGTGGGTCGGGGTGGGAATACGAAGAGAGGAAGATGGAGGGCTGGCGCAGGTGTCCTCAGACCGCTTGGGAACTTCTGACACCTTCTCTCGAAGACTGACGTCGGTGCAGCAATTAGTCCTCTCCCCTGCTCTCCACTGTCTGCCCCAGCATCCCCCACACGCCCATCCTTGTTGTACCACAGGCACACAAGCAGACTACACACGTTGTGTGCGTCCTGTGCCATGCTTTACCGCGAATGCGGCGATAAACCTGCACAAATCCTCATTATCTGTGTTTCATGTTTTCAGGATGTGTTGGTTAATTTATAATACGTTGCCGGTGTGCTCAGGTGTGCGCATGCATCCGCCTGTGTATTCATTAAAGCGCGCTCGCTCTGGGTTACTGAGTGAATGCATTAGCCTCTGTGATTGCTAATTTTAAGGTAAGATTTTTAAAAAAAGAGAAAGAAATAGTACTTTTGGAACAAAGGCCAACCCATGCATTTCAATTAGAAATGCTGTCACCTTTTGTCTCGCAAGAGTCATTTCCTACTTTTTCTCGATATTCTCGATATTCTTCTTCTATTCTCGATATGTAACCGTTGAGGCTCTCTCTTCCCTTTTGCGCTCCCACTTCCTCTGTCACGCAGGTGTTGGACATTGTTCGTACAAATGTCCGCTCAGTGTTGCAGCGCATCTGGAAGGAGCCGGATGTAGAAAGTCTCCACCTCTACCGGCTCTTCAACCGCGTCTTCAACCGGCTGCTCTGGAGTCACGGCCAGGGCCTTTGGAACTGCTTCTCCAACAGCGGGTAGGTCACCTCAAAACTGAAAAAAGCCTACAATCAATCATGAATAGGACTGCAGTTGGCAACTTCGAAACAAGAAAAGAAATCAGATCCAACCAGGAGGGAAGAGGGACATTTCACCATTACAAAGAACACCATTGAATGAACAGACAGGTCCATGGACACTAATTCTTTGACGCAACACAAACAAGTGACTGCAGGCCAATTATCACTCCCTTCATAGCAAAATGCCACTATCTCATCTCAATAACTACAAGTTCGCGCTCCTCACAATCTCCCCATGTCCTTAAGCCCAGTGTTTGTCGAGATATATCATTTTCAGTGACAGAGACAATTTGCCATTTTTATTCAGTGTGACGAGGGAAGCGACTGCAGCTGAATGACACAGAATGAGTGACAGACCGACCAGGCCCCGCTGCACTTTCCTGAAAGCTCTTTGGGATGAAAGAAACATTTTCTGGGTGCAAATTAAGGTCACAAATCGGGGCTGTTAATCAGGGCTTTTTCACAGGTGAGAGCAAGAGAAGGAGAGGGGAGGAATGGAAGCAGGAAGGAGGTGAATAGAGGCTGCTCAGTTCTTTTATTACGGCGTGTTATCAGATACTTTGAACTTCTCATTCGGCTTCTTCTTTATTTATTTATTTCTCCTCCTTTTTTTTTGATGCGACAGTAAGTGGCTTCATACAAGATGGTGACAGCCAACTTGATCAATTTCCCATAGAAACCCTCAAACAGCAGACACAAAAACACACACACACACACACACACAACCACAGAAAAAAGACAAGAATGGTTGTTATACTAATTATTTCACACTTATAAGCACGCTTAAACAAAAACCGCTTATGTAGCACCAGAGACAGAGACACACAAACAACCCTCACATTCAGACAGCTGCTGCGCCGGAAGCTTTTCATCTCGTCGGGGACGGAGGTGTGACCTTCTCCCCCACCCCCACTCCATATTCTTTACAGTTCAGCAGCTCGGTGGCCGTGTTTTCCTCGACACACGGGGCTCAAAGGGTGTAATTGAAGTCTCTGTCCACCTCTCCCTTTTACTCCTCCCCAACTTCCTCAGCGGCAGTCGTAATCGAGGGAGAAGTGAGAAAGGCAGCGGGCGGGTGATAGAGATGAAGGGGGCGATAAGCAGAAGGTGATGGTGGGGGGAGGCCCCGGCGACAGAGAAAAAGAGAGGAGATTGATTGGGGAAAAAAAGCTGTCGAGAAAAGATTGGCTGGAGGGGGTAGATGCACGGCAGGATTAGCCTAGCCTAGCCTCAGCTACCCCCCACCTCCCAGCACGCTTCGCCCGGAGCAGCTTTTGTCCGAGGACAGCCAGCCGCGCCGATCCAGCTAGGAGGCCGGCCTACCGCCTGGCCCCTCCCTACCACAGGCAACGGCCCCAAACATGGATGAGCCCAACGGGGGGTCTCGACACCCTGCGGCGACAGAGGACGCCGTGGACCTCGAAACGCACACTCCAAATCAGAGATCAGCCCCCCGAATCCCCCCAACTCCCTCCGTCTCCGGTTTGATACTTTATCTGAGGGGACTTAACAACAATCAAACGGCCCAGCAGCCATTGTGGCCGATGAATTCAACAGGCTTTGAAAACGACTTAGAGAAAAAGAATTTTAAAAAAAACAACTCAGTTTTTGAACCCTTTCAGAGGAAGCACGCCCCACCCCCTGAGGAGAGAAAGGGGGTGGACATCAAACGCAGCCCCCTGGGTTGTGTGTCTCAGTTGTTGAAGCTCCCTCACAGTCAGGGGTATGTCCGGCATTGGAAAGGGGGTTAACTGTACTCGGATTTGTTTCACACTTCCTCCCTGTGTGTCTTCTGTGTGCATGTCTGGGTGTAGAGTTTCTCACGCGTGTACAGTGACCAAACGGTGTTAAGGACATAGAACTGAAGAGATGGCACTTAATCCGTGTGGCTGTACAATGCATGAGATTGAATACACGGTGACGATTTATCTTCAACTACTAACTTTATTTGACGCCCGCCCTCTTGTTTGTGCTCCAGGTCATCCTGGGAGAGCATCTTCAGTAAGAGCAGCGAGGTGGTGTCCCCCCAGGAGCTGCTGTGCTCCCGCCGGCTGGTCCGGCTTTGCCAAGACTGCCTGTTGGTCGTCTACAAGTTCGTCTCAGAGTCCCGTGGCTCTTTGACCGGACTCAGTCCAGAGTGGGACGACACCAGGTGAGACACCCTAACCCTTCAATGACTTCCCCCCCAAGGTCTTTAGTCTTTATTTTCAAACGGTTCTTATAGCTTTGCTGCTGTAATAAATAGCTCCTCGTAGAGTCGGGTGGTTGCATACGGTTCAATAACAGGATGGGATTCATGAGTCGACTGGTTCCAGGCTAAAGTTGTTCTTTGGTATCATTTTCAGATGTGAAAATCTAAATGCGTATGTAAGGTGACGCCAGTAATGAAACACAAAAAAAACGGTGTTATTGTTCCGTTCTTTTGAATTGTTGAGTCAATGAATGAACCCCCTTTGACACACAGTAAACCTCTTAGAGTTATTATCATCTTTATCAAATAACCCGATGAACAAAAAAGAAGAAAAAAAAAACGCTCATTCTATTTTTACGGTTGATGGAGACAGGAGCTCAGGTTCGGAGGGAACTTTTAAAGCACATATGCTTTGGGCTGGCAGACAGTGAGGGGGGAGAGGGAGAGTGCCGTTAACAGGAAATAATGGCCCACAGATTAGCGTCAGGTTAGCCCGGGGCCCCCCGAGGCCTGCTTAATTCAATTAGAGCGCAGATGAGCCTGTGCAGCAAATGACCTTACGAGAGAGAGATTTCTTTTCCTGGGGCCTCGCTTTACATGATTCATAACTCTTGCGCATATTTTAACAGGCTATCACTTTGCGCCTCCAGAATAAAAACCTCTGCCGTTAAAAGATAAATGTGTGTGGGGTTTGTGTACAGTTGTAGAGCCACTTGTGCTTGTGACTAATCTCAATTTGTTTCCATTGATTGTTTTATTTTAACCATATTCATTTTGAGGGGGGGGGGATTCAACATGATAAATTAGTGGACTGCGGACAGCACAGGATTTTGAGATAAGAATGTAATTGGATTTTATTAGTCAAGCAAACACAAAATGACACATGTACCCACGTTTGCAGTAGCCGTGCTTGAGAGTCCCTGTTAGCGTGCATTGGTTTGTCTCTCCTTATTTCTTCTGTCTATATGTCTGTGTAAAAAAGCTTACCATTTGCCGCCGGACCAGCCTCTACCCATGGCTCCACCCCTGCTGCTGTCGCTGCCGCTTCTTCCTCCTCTTCCTCCGTCTCTTCGCCCCTCGACGCAGGTCTTTGCTTGGTGTAGTTCCGCTAAATCCCCCCCCACGCCCCCCCATCTCCAAGCACCGTCCCTGTTCCCTGCTCCTCCGCTGCTGCGCACCACCTCACCGCTGCGACAAAAGGCTTGGTCCCACCTGCCACACGGATGTTTTGCTTTAGCTGCACAACCAACAGTCTAGCATGGTCTCCTCTCCTTCCCCTCGCTAATCTTCAAATAAGTGGATCTACTTATACAGGAGAATCGGATGTATTTCATATTAGATCTGATGCCCAAAAACTCCAAACAAAATATTTGAAAGGAAGGAGGAGACAGGAGAAGAAAGCACATGAAGACTGTTGACACCACTTTGTCCACATCGCAACCATTCGGCCGGCTTGCTGTACGTCACCAGCCAATCCCCCTGCTGCCACATGCTCAACTACGCCGCCTTTCACTCCAGACGTTTATCAAGAGCTTCTTACACTGAGTGCATTTAGAGAAAGAGGGGCCTTAGTGGGAGCTGACAGCCTCACCTACATCGCATCAGTGCCATGATCAGCGTAAGCACCGCTCGTTTTCTTGTCAAAACAAGACAGAAAATGGTTCGGCTTGCATCGTGTGGTTTGCCGTTTCACAACACACACGGCTCACATCTCCCCATCAGGCATGCATGGAACAGACGCAACGCGTCGCCACTTCAGATAGAAGAGACGCAATTAGGATTATTGCCTCATTTATGCATAAGCTTTCTCTGGGAGGGTAAATGGTGTGTGTGTGTGTGTGTGTGTGTGTGTGTGCGTGATCATGCACATGTCATGTGAGCGTTGCTTTACTATCACTGACCCCTCAATGTTTTACACAGAAACCAACCATACCCTATACCCATCAATTCTTATTTTTTTGCCATTTCCATTTTTTTCCTTTTTTTTAAACTATATTAACGTCATCTGTAGCGGTTATTTGGAGAAAACAATTAATATGTAGGAAATAAATGATAGTATTTAATCTTAGCATTACTAGTTTCAATTATGTTTTAATAAATGCCTTGAGCCAGTGCTATAAAGTTAGACAGATCCTATCTGATATACATTTTACATTCCTTTAAAAAATTCTCCTTCGAGCAGCCGTATGTATTAAAGATTTAAGAAAGATTACAATTGAACACATGATGGCATAACTTAAAGTTAGCCGTTTGCTTTATAATAAATTATAGGGAAAGGCACTGCGCTGTCGGCAGACGAGCACGTCGCCGTGGTAACTCTGAGCAGCATGCATTGAAATTAATTACCAAATAAGAAGTGTCTCAATAATTGTTGTTCCAAATGGTTTTACGGTCGTTGTAATGATTTGTGTGCTTCATGACTTCTTAACTCACCAAAACCTGTTGGGTGTGACTAGTGACTCTGTGCTTGTGGCAGCCGTGCGCAAGTATCAATATGATCAACAACAGAAATATAAACCGACCGGCCAGCCACCGGTGATCGGCAACTAATCAATCAGTTCATCTCTAATGGTATTTAAAACAATACTCTCATGCCCATATGGATGGAAAGAGGAGTGAGAATGTCCTTCCCAATGACTTGTAAATACAAGATTTAGCAATGATTAAATTCCAATAGATTTATTTAACTGACAAAATCACTGGAGAAAGAATGGGTCAAGAACACAGCATTAATGACATTAATGACTGGTTTTAACAAACCCTCCCTGTGTCGATGACTTGAACCACTTCTAACTCCATATTCACACAGTCTCTTGTGCATGTACACACACACACACACACACAACATGCAACAGTTCTTGGCATGTCACAAAGTACAGATCTTTAGGCTGGGGTCTGTGGCGTCTCCATTGTTGACCGCAGCTGCCCGCTCTTGTTCAAGCCTCCGTTGAGTGTCCTCATCAGGTATGTCAACAGCCCCGTGCGTCCCTCAGTCTGTGTGGGCAGATGAGAGGAAGTAACCAAATGACTTTTCCACTAATGACTTTCTTGTTAAGCCTGGAATTACTGTCACTACCCAAAGACAACTTCCCCATGATAACAAAAGTTTTAGATTCTATTAACTTTCATCTGTCTGAAAAGCGTGGCAGTAATTAGGGTTAATTGGGGTGTTGAGCTGAATGTGGGCTGCAGATAACCTTCAAGGCACTTTGTACCTCTTGGTTTGTGATTGCGTCAGCTATCGCGGCAGTCCGTCTTTCGCTCCATCCGTTGTCATGGTATTTGGTTTTTGTGTGGCGGCGGTTGCATCTCGTGGCCGAGGAGCGCGGAAGGCCTGTCGGGAGGAACAGCTGTCGGTTGTGGCTTTGCATGTCAGCAGCGGAGCAGGAGAGTATCTTTACGTCTCCCTGTCAACGGATGGATTGAAGAAAAGCACAAGTGCATTGAACAAGCCTCCCTCCAGGCTTTCAAGCATGCGCGTTATTAAGACCAGCTTCGTGATCAAAAGGACGACGGACCTGGAAGATACAGAATGTGAATCCAATTAAATATAGCCTGCAGAGACGGGGGCCGCTTGGACGTGAGAATCGCTCCTACCCCAGCCTCTTACCAGCACCATGATGCTTTCTAGAAGCAGAATATTCTCAAAGTGAATAGCGGAGGATCTCTGAAGAACAAAGAACTCCCAATAGATGTTCAATATTTGATTTGATTTTTTTTTTTTTCTTGACTGTCATTTCCATGTTTGGGTTTGGGTTTCTTCAGCCTAAGCCTTAAGAAAATGAAGGGGATGGGAAAAAGAAATAAAAAAAATCTTACCACAAATTCATGAATAGAATCCCAACGGATGAATCGCATTGAACCGCACAGAGGGGGGGGGGGGGACTAAGCTGCCGAGCAGGGGGAGAGAAATGTAACAAAAAGGAGAAGGAATTGAAAACAAGGCTGACACTAAATCATGGTATGGATTCACTGAATGTCACCTTGAAGACTTCACTCAGGAGTAAACGTGAAAGGCTCGTAGCCGAACATATGCTCCCCACTTGTTCTCTTGAGTGAGTTTCACAAGTGCCGGACTGAGCCGTTGTTCAGTCCAGTCGGAGCCGAAGAGGACGCGCTGGAGGGAAACCCACGGCCCACTTGAAGCCGCTTCGAGGACACTCTCGTTGGGACTAAATGAAGTTAATTTGGATCTGTTCTAACTCTCCTGAGTCTGTGGCTGTCTGGAAGCGGCCGCCCTTAGCGACATGTACTTTTTTTCTTCTTTTTCTCACCGGTCGACTTTAGAAGAAACTGCTCGGCTAATTTGTCCGAGAGCTATTTCACAAGGAGAGAGAGCTGTCAGCGGAAAACGTATTCTGTCTCTGCACCGGCTTAAATGAAGATATCCTTTCTTCAATCTGGGATCCTCCAGCCCGGTGGCTCCCTTTTGATTAGATTGTGTCCTTTTAAAACACTTCCACAGGGACGATTTCTTTTTGTCCATGCTTCTCTTTTCAACTAAACGATTATTAGATGCATTTCTCATTGGCTAAAGATCCCCGCTGCGGAAGTGGCAAAAAGGTCACATCATTTTTAACGTCACAATATAACAAGTTCTGCCGCCAAAAGCCCGTAAGAGAAAGTCATTCCTCCAACTGATCAGCCTGGGAGACCCAGTCGTCTGAACAGCACCCCGACATTTGCATAACCTTCAGTTAACCTTGCCTGCGATTTGATCATCTCATCTGACATTGCTCTGACAACCATATCTGACTCATTTCCAGTAGCTAAGGAAGATGGAAGCAGGGTTCAGCCCCTCTTTACTCGATCTCAACCTGACGCTGGTCTCATTCTCAGGTACTGGAACGCTGTTAGCAGGAGCTGCCTCACTGCTCTGTCTCGGTGGAAGGTGTCATAGAAAAGTCTTAGAAAGGTACTGACACCTGTGCCTCGGAATGATAGGTGAGGATTTTCTGTTCATGATACCAACCATTTAAAAAAACAAAAGGTCAAAGTTGAGAAATCCCATTGTCCTGAAAGGGTCTGCTTCTATCAGTATGAGGTCAATCATTTATATTTTTACAAGCACATACATAAATGCTGCGTATGAGCTACTTACACCGGACTATCTTGGTTTAGTTTCAGCACATTATATAAAATTAGAGCTGGAATGAATAATGGATAACTCAATTAAATTATTCAGATTTTAACCACTGATCGTAAATCCACTTTTCAAATTGAGGATGTGATGCTTTTCTTTGCCATCCAGTAAAGTAAACTGGATATATTTGGGTTTTGGACTGTTGGTCAGACAAAACAGAACATTTTTTCACGTTGGTGTGGGAGGAATTGAAGAGTCATTTCCAATTAATGGCTGTCATATATAGACAAAATGTTTTATTGATTGATCAATTAAATGTTAATCCTCAGCAGCCGTAGTAAAAAATAACCTGGACCTCATTTACTTCTCATTTTCAAGGGGAGGGTGATGTCATGATATCTTCACCCAGCTGTTATTATGGTTGAAATGAGCATATGGAGACGGCTGTAAAATGGAACAACGGTAGAAATATATGAAAAGTCTGCAATGTGTGGTCTCAGTGCCGCGCACTGATCGCCCTGACCTCTAAAATGTGACCTATGCCTATCTAATCCTCTCATTATGTTCATCCTCTCCCCTAATCCCTCCGTCCCTCGCTCGTTTCCGTCTGTCCAGGTATCTGCTGCCAGTGACCTCCCAGTTCATCATGAAGTGGCCTTCGTCCAGGTTTGGCCGCATCTCTTCTACGGTGCCGCGGTCACGCGGCCTTTTGGCTGCCAGGATGGGACACTTCTGAGGTCACCGGGGGCAACCACGGCTCCCTTCACCTTGCCTTTTGACGCCGAACCTCCCTCCTTCCGACTCTCACCCCAGCCAAACACCGATCTCTGCATGTCCGGCACAGATCCGAGGTCGAGGCAGCTCCGGAAAGCGTCCGGAGCCTAAACCTGTGCCGATTCCCCCATTGACCGACCACAAAGAAGGGACAGGTGATTACGGATTGCTGAAGGGACTTTTTTCAATTTCGATTAGTCTGGGCCGGCATAGAGCAGCGGAGCGCTGGTACCCTCAAGCTCCACCGTTACCCCCAGTGACAGCAGACTAGGGGTTCTTTTCTCATTGTAATTGCTGTATTATACCTACTCACTGTACAGTTACAAGTCACGGTACTGTAAAAGGAAAAAAATAACAAATACTTAACAATGCAAGGATTATTTATTTATGTACTTACTTATTTTGGAAAGTATTCCACGAATGCAGTGAATGCTGATGCACAATGCAGATATGGAATGATTAACAAAACTATCCCTTGTTTGATGTATGGATGTATGTCTGTCATTGCTTATTTGAATTTAATTTATTTCATAACTTATATAAGAGGCTTTATGTTTATAAGTGTTTCAATAGTCACTTTATGTTCCAGTTTTTACAATGAGAGAGGGGGTGGTCTGAGGATTCAAACCTTTGAATGTTGACGCTTCATGTTTTACCTTCGTGATATTGAGAGCTGCATTATTAAGCAACACAACGTTTAGAATGTCAATGTAGTAAAGCCAAGCCTCTTTGCCTCTTAGAGATGGAGCTAACTCTGATGCCACAGCGCAAAGGGCCAAACTTAAGTCTTAGGAGAGCACCCGGTTTCCTAATATGCACATTGCAGTACGTCACAGAAAGAGACAGCGGGTGCACATAGCAATAGTGTTTGCATGTTTAGATTTTTAGTCGCTCGACCAGATGAGGTGGAGCTGCGTTTGGAATATACTTGAAGTTTTCTTTTGTTATTCCGTCATTAATTATTGTGTCTTTGTAGCGCTTTCACTAGGAAGGAGACACTTCACTCTTAGATTTGTAGTCCGGAGTATGGATTTGTCAGAGATAACAAGGACATCGCTCTTCAGCTTGTGTGGCACTTGGATCATCAGCGCAAATGTTCAGGACTGTAACGGCGGCATGTTTTCTCGGGACGAGCTGCTGCTGCCTTTTCTCCCCCATCGCACTGTAGGTACAAATGCCAGATCATGGATGTGCCAAGAATAAGCACACGTGCTTCATGTGTTCAGGGCTTTTAGTGCGGTTACTATGTCACGAAACACAGTAGGACCTCATTTAAACATAGCATTACATGTCGATAGGGAGAAACGCAGCGTTAGTTATGTACTTTTCTGCGTCAATGAGATTAGAGACTAGACCCTTTAAAGATGATCCTCTGTCAGTGTGCATTTTATAACATCGATCCTGACTAACAAGTGTCGCAGCAACGCTGTGCTGAATCTGTCCCATACACCTAACACTACTGCACAATGCCAAATATTTTCATTTTGCCTGATTTCTTCTGTGTTAAGAGTAGTACTTTTTCCATTGAAGGTATGAGATTTTTAATTTTACATAGCAATAAAATATTTAAACAAACGCATTTGCTCCTTTTGTCTTGTGTTTTTATAGTTCCCGATGTTACATTTTGTGATTGCAGACAATTCCATGCACACATATACAACTTTTGCTGTGGGACCATGCTTAATTAAAAAAGGTCACCAGCTCTCCATCAGGCTGCAGAATGGATGACTACCGTGGCAACAAATGACGGCTGACATTCGTTAAGCTGCGACAAATGACTCATCACTTGACATGGCTGTCTCAACCCACTTGATTCTGAAATATAGGTGGTACAACTTGACAAGTCAATAAGGGGGGAGCCACACACACACCTTTTGTGCTCGCTTCAAATCTCTTTTCCAGTCCAGTGAAAACCCCGATACACAACGGAGATGGTTAATGAGAAAGGATGTTAAATTCCTACATAAATGGATGACAGAACTCGAAACTACTTGTCGTAAAGTGTTTTTTTGGGGGGAGGGGGGACCAGACGGGTGGGCATCACGCCTTCTTATCGACACCGTCGGTGCGAAGGCGTTATCAGTCATGGGCTGAGCAGAGAGGGGCACGCTGCATGCACCAACAGGCACGTACGGCTACGCAAAAAAACGCTCTGATTGCAACACAAGCTCAGGAAAACAATCATCACTCTACATTCTTACCTGCAATGGACGGCAGATTGTGTGGAGACAGACGGCAAATGAAGACGGAGCAGAGCGGTATGACACGCATTTGGGCGACAGGCCGTGGTTTAGCTAGAGACCAATTCCCATTGATGTTCTTTGAATAATGGTGAGGCAAGTTCAATAATCTTCACTGTTATTTTTCAGTTAATTAGCCCAGATAGTATCGACAGAAGTAGGAGCTGTGAAGCAAACACTGGGGCTAAATGATTCAAGCAGAACTAATAAGAAACACCTGAGGTGCCGTCAATCTGATGGGTTCAGAATTTCCTTTCCACCTGATATCCGGTATACTGGAGCGGCCTTCTGGCTATCTGGGTCAGCCTCTGAGGGAAACTACTTCTCACACAAGAGGACCGCGATGGGCAGGTGTCCCTCGCCTCCGAAATGAAAAAGTGTGTGTACCCGGGCAGTTATTTCTTGCTCCATCTTGACCTGAACGCCACTCTGCACGGATGATCATTTGTGCGCACACACACCTCCCCTGAAAAAAGGATGAAAGCCAGTTCTATTTAGACCTGGGAATGCGGCACGGCCTTCAGGTCCTTGCGACCTTTCCACCCCCTCCGTCCCTCTCTCCTTCCCTCTTCCTGTCAGCAGAAAAGGTGCAGGGTCGTGACCTTGAGGCTCCCCTGCCTCCGCCCTGGCCGGGGGCCCTGAAACCGGCCTAGAGCGGAGGCTGACAGTCTGGTGCTGTGACCCCCGACGTGCTGTCCAAAAATATCTCCCCGCGCAACAGAGCTGCGCCGCGCTGCTGTCCTGACCTTTCCACTCGTCACTCTCCTCGGGCCCATCCCATCAATTGCTCCTCCTCCTCCTCTCTCTCTCCGCTACCTGAGTGTGGTCCAGTCAGCCTTTGCAGCCAGACTCCAGCCTTTTCTTTTCACAACACCCAGGTGACCCAGTTTTCGGTGCCCTGAGCCGACCTCTCCGGCTTTGGGAGTGAAAAGGGCGACTGGGAGCCGGCGAGAGAGGTAGATGGTTCAGATGAGATAAGGAGGCAGACAGAGACACACACACACACACACACACACACATAAGCTCAAACACAGATGGTCGAGCTTAAAAAAAAACAGATTTTATGCTCTTAATCCACTACTTCAAATGACATGGAGGGAAAAGAGCAGTGTGATTTGTTGTGTAATTACGACTGGCTGAGCGAGGTGTCCGGGCGGCTCGGCTGCCCTCTTTTCTCTTCCTAGTGTAGCTTTAAAAGTGCAGCCTGTGGTGGTTTGAAAGCTTCTAAAAGTGACCTTTCTTATCAGACAAACATTGCTTGTGTTCAGCCTGTGTATGACACAGTGTGTGTGTGTGTGTGTGTGTGTGTGTGTGTCTCTCCTACCCACACAGTGTGCAATGAACTGTGTTTGTGTGTGTGGCATGTTCACATATGTTAACTGCTGTGTATTAATAGTTTTTCAGACCTCACACCTGCCTTTATGTCCTGGTGTTTGTGTGTTTAATGGGTATTCTCAAAGGGACACGTTCAATGACACCTGCTGCAAAACATTATCTGTCGGGCCTCGTTTGCGGCGACTTTGCTCTCAGCGGGGGGCTTTAAACCAACAGATAAACACACGCACACTGAGGAGCCCGGATGGTCTTCACGCCGCTCTTCCCAGTTATTTACCACACACACATTTGTGTTTCCTCAGCAACACAAGTCTTTGACCACAGGATGTTTAACTAGGGAGGACATTTCTAGCAGGGTGCAAAATGATTCAAATGTGACTTCTGACTGCTTGTTTTTCGGTTTAATTAACATAGTGGCAACATTTCATTTTATTTATATATATGTATACTAGAATAATATAATTGGGGGTTGAAGTGTTATTTAAATGATGTTGTTTTGTGGTAAGGCTAGTGCTGGACTAATGCTGGAATGATTAGTCCACTAATTAATTAGCAGATTGGCATAAAATGAATAAAGATTAGTTGTTTTCAATGAAATAAAGACGATTATGGTTGTGGTTTCAGTTCAGTTTATGCTAGTGGGGGTTGGAACCTCTTTCCCTTTTAAAGGCATCATATTTCATATTTTTTGAATGTTCAGATAATTGTGAAAAGTAAAATTGATTAATCAAAAATAAAAATATACATTAGTCACAGTCCTCTTTAGGACCTCCATCATAATTTAGACTCTGACCCCGCTCATCTTTCAGACGTTTGAGTTGGTCACTGACGCAATTAGCCGACTTACAAGAATCTTCCTGCAGCTTCTATGATGATCAATTAAGTGTCGTTTTTCAATCTTGTTTTTGGGGCAAACAAGGCATTTGAATATGAAGACTGAGAAATGAATTAAGAAAATAATCACAGATTAATCAACATAAAGACAAAAAAAAGCAGTGGAAAAAGGAGAATAATTCCTAACCATGGGGACAGCATCCACACGCAACCACGCATGAGGAACCTGCAGAATATGGAGCTTATTCAAGGTGACATGTGTTTATTCAAGCAGAGGTCATCACACTTCCGTCTTTCAACAAGCACAAACAGCTACATTAATTAACAAACTAACTACAACATGTTTTATCGTTTGCAATGAAAATAATAATCAATTATTTTGTTTCATGGCCAAACATGCCCACATTAACACACAAACACGCACAGCACTGTGCATCGCTCCCCATACACTTGGTTTGCCCTATTCGAATGGTAGGTCATTGGTTTGTTTGGAGCCCTGCGTTGTTTCGTCTCTGATCCGCCCATCAGTCACCTTGTTTTGTAGTTGTTTCCTCTATTTACCAGGAGGAGGGTAGTGCTGAGCTTGCAGCTCTGCTTTGTTTCACATTCACTTCTTAACACACTTCTACACCTGGGAGTTGTGCGCTGACAGCCGCCCGCTGTTAGCCGAACAGCGGTCACATGACTCTCACAGTGATTTCCTTGAAGGTACAGCAGCAAGTTTCTTGTTCACCTGTCCGGTCACATTTCTTTACACACACACACACACACTCACTCACACCTTTGCATTTTAACCAGTGACCCAACCACACACTTCCCTGCTCTCACTGGAGCCGCCGACTGCGTCTGGCTGAATCAGACTCATTGCACTGCACCACTCCGAAATCTTAACCTTGGTTTCAACGCTCAAGGAGCCCGCTGTACTTTGTTCCAACCACGGGGGGGCTGAGGGGGGGGGGGTGTTACAGATGAGCGCAGTTCTGCATACGGCCATCATTCACAGCCCCGGGCTCCCCCAGAGTGTGTGTAACAAATGGAGCCGAGTAGTAAAGGTATTAATGTGAAGGAAAGGGCCCTGTGGTGGAAGTGCAGCAGGAAGTCACTTTCTCTCCCATCTGGCCCCTCTAACAAGATGGAGAGGAGCAGGCAGGTGTGAGAGGTGGTCTCCACCTCCGCTGGCTGGATTAGCACTTCTGATGGGAGAGAAGAAAGGAAGACGATCCTCGGAGTGGGCTGTCACTCTCTCTCCCTCTCCCCCTCTCTCTCTCCATCCCCTCTCTCATACCTCTCTTTCGCCTCCTCTGTGATCACTGCTCACTCTGCAGCGAGGGGGAGAGGAGAGACTCAGAATGAGAATAAATGAGGTGTGGGGAAGGCGTCCGGGCAGCGCGCCCGTTTGCTTTCACGTGTAGGAGTGTGTATGTGTACCTGCCTTCTATCATGCTCAGATCGCTTCCTCTAGCTGCAGTGTCAGGCGGTGGAGCCAAAAGAGCGTCCAGGGACTCTTCCTCCTTTTGCTGCTGAGCGCCCCAGGGGATGATTGAGCCTTGCAGGCCGGGATATTATCAATAAAGTCCCTTCAGGCGGCGGAGCCACTGACTCACTCTGCCCATTACTCCACAGCTGAGTGACGGTGTTGGAGGGTGGGGGTTGCGAGGAGGGGGCAGCTACAGTTTGAATGGGGCTTTGCCTCATCTTTACCTGCTTAGTCCTTCTGAATTGCCTCCTCTTTGTCCCGTCCTTCCTGATCCTCCAGTGTGACGTCCCTCCTCCAGGCCTTGCTCCTCCGTCCCTAACAGATGTCTTCATAATTGTCATTATTTGGTTAATTTCTTACTCATTCGTGTGGCTTTGACGGCACGGCGGTGCGGCTTACACTCAAAATGTGCGGCCCACTCCTGTAATTACACGGATATTTTTCCACTATGTTTCGCAGTTGTTTGATATTCCGCTGCCGTAATGAGGAGGTTGACCTTGTATTTACATTTCTTAAAATTAGTTGAGGGCTAGTTGAAGCTGTCCACATGTTGACCAGAAGCCAAAGAACTCAATTGAAAATTAATTCACTGAAAAAATAATTTGCTGTGATCGTTTTATGCACTTTTTTTTCCACAAACTGAGCCAACGGACGAAGATTCAGATGTGAACGGCTAAAAACACATATTTGTGG